TTTAAAGTGATGGCAGGTGACAGGTTAAAGCCACAGTATGGAACTTTTTAGCCCCAAAGATTTGGAGATTAGACCAGAACTAATCTAAGCCTGTATTGGGTCTAAACCAGGTCTAAAACCAGGTCCAAACTCGGAACTAAACCTGGGACTAAAACTAAACAAAACTAAATCCAAAAAAAACTTCTGACCAAGAATGAAACCAGATTATCAAACCAGGACTAAATCAGGTCTAAATCAGGACTAAAACGTGTGAAACTGAATTAGGACTAACCCAGGACAAAATTAGACTAAACTAATTCTAAACCAGGTCTAAACCAGGACTGAACCAGGACTATCCTAGATCTAAACATGGACTTAATCTGGTCTAAACCAAGACAAAAAACCCCACACCGTAACCAAAACTAAACCATTTCTAAATAGATTGAAACGAGAATAAAACCAGATTCAACCCAGGATTAAATTAGACCTAAAACGGGACTAAACCAGGACTAAACCAAGACTCCAACCAGGTCTAAAGAAGGATTAGACTAGAACTAATTTGAATCATATCTTAGTTTTACATCAGGTCTAAACTAGAAACTAAAACTAAATTAAACTAAGCCAAAAAAAGGTCTGACCAAGAATGAAACCAGGTCTAAACCAGGACTAAACAAGGACTTAAACTGGCCTAAACCAAGACAAAAAACCCACATCTGAACCAGGAACTAAACTAAAATTAAACCATTTCTAAACAGATTGAAACAAGAATAAAACCAGATTCGACTCAGGATTAAATTAGACCTAAAACAGGACTAAACCAGGACTATACTAGGTCTAAATCAAGACTAATTCAGTTCTAAACAAGGACTAAACCAGGTCTAAATAACAATTAAACCAGGACTAAACCAGGACTAAACCAGGACTAAACCAGGTCTAAACCAGGTCTAAACCAGTACTACAAATTTTTACAAATGTTAAAATAAAAAATGTAAAATAATGATTTTCTACGATCAAAATTACTTTTCTTGAACATGTTTGGTGGATTTTTTTAAGTTTAAAGTGACGGCAGGTGACAGGTTAAAGCCACAGTACGGAACTTTTCAGCCCCAAAATATTAGCTTTTGTTTTTTTTTCCTTGTGTTAGTGACTCATATTATTTGGTCCAGAGGAGGCGTTTTTTTCTTTTTGTTTCCATGGAAATGTTGTTGTTTTGGCGATAATGTTCCGCAGTCCGGCTTCTGGAGAATGTTCCGAAGTGTTTGGTTTTATCTTTCCATTTCCTCACAGAGTTACAAACTGTACCTTAAACGACTGTGGTTTTGTTTTTCTTTTTCTGTAACGTGTTGATGCGACTTTCCAAGATGGTGGCACAATTTTTGACGCAAATCCGGCAGAGACGGATCCGGCAGCGACGGGAAAACAGACTCGTGATGACGCTCAATGACACTGTGCTTCAACTTCAAACTTCAGCACTGGAAGGATGTCAAACCGAGACCCACCGCCCACCTGTCCCCGCCCACCTGTCCCCTCCCACCTGTCCCCACCGCCACCACCAAAAACAAACCGGCTCCCTCTAGTGGCTCCTCCTAGAACTACAACAACAACAACAACGACAACAAACTTCTCGATATTTCTTTCCTTTCTCTCTTCTCAGCTTGAAAGATTTTACGGAAACAGACTGAAAATAACCCATATTGCATCGGATGTGCCTTTTAATTTTGTTTTCTACTTTACAGAATCCGCAGATGGTGTCTAAATGCTCAAAAATAAAGTTGCCTATGTCATGTTCAGAACAAACACACTATGAATTGTATATTTGTTGTGGATACCGTGTATATAAAACCATGTATACACTAACTAAATAATTTGTATTTGTAAAGAATGGCCTTTTTTTTTTTCCTTGTATCGTTCCCTCCGTCACAAACTTTGCCGATTAATAATAATTTAATAATAATAATAATAATGCTGCTGCTACGGAAAAACCACAAAAAATAAATAAGAAGTAAAAGTTGAGTTTTGCAGGTGATGGTGTTTAAAAACCGAAACGTCCCATAAAAGAGTCTGGACACACCACAGGAAATAAACCAGGATTAAACTAGGTCCAAACCAGGTCTAAAGCAGGTCTAAACCAAGGACTAAACCAGCTGTAAACCAGGACTAAACCAGGACTAAACTAGGACTAAACCAGTCTAAACCAGACTAAACCAGATCTAAACCAAGGACTAAGCAGGTCTAAACTAAGGACTAAACCAGCTGTAAACCAGGACTAAACCAGGACTAAACCAGGACTAAACCAAGGACTAAAGCAGGTCTAAACTAAGGACTAAAGCAGGTCTAAACTAAGGACTAAACCAGGACTAAACTAGGACTAAACCAGGTCTAAACCAGGACTAAACCAGATCTAAACCAAGGACTAAAGCAGGTCTAAACTAAGGACTAAACCAGGACTGAACCAGCTGTAAACAAGGTCTAAACCAGGTCTGAACCAGGACTAAACCAGGATTAAACTAGGTCTAAACTGGGCCTAAATCAGCTGTAAAAAAGGACTGAACTTGGACTAAACCAAGACTAAATCAGGTCTAAACCAGAATTAAACCAGCTGGTAAATAAGGACTAAACTAGTTCTAAATCAGGTCTAAACCAGGTCTAAACCAGCACAGATCGTCTCCATCATCATTTCCACTCGTTCTTTCTCTGAACCAGAAGCTTCCTTCAAAACTCACGCCTTTTCTGAATCTAAAAACAAAACTTTTTGAAATGTCAGTTGGAGGGAAGGAGCCCGAGAGCCAGACCAGACTTTCACCAGTCCAAACCTCGGGACGTTTCGACTTCAGAGTCAGGACCCAAACCTCCTTCTGTGCAAAATGACACGGGTCTGTTCCAGAAAAGTTACACAGTGCACCTTTAAGATCATTATATTTAAGATTTCACACCACAAAGACGCAAAAATCGCCCAGTTTGGCAATTTTTATGTGTTAAATTTTACATCGTGGTTGGAAATCATGACTGTTACCATAGCAACCATGATGCACACTGGGCCAAAACTCCTCTAATGTTTAAAGTCATGAAATTTAAAACAAAGAATCCAGACATGAAGAGGAATAAAACAATATGACCTTATAGGGGTTTATGTATTTATGTTTATAATTATTAAATCATTTATAGAAATAAAAATCAAAAACCCACAAGAAAATCCTCAGAAAAACTCGACGGGAGATTCACTGGTTTGAAAAATAATGTCCAAATGTTGAACCTTTTCATTATCTGTTTTGCTTCTTTAATCAAACACATTCAGAGAAAAAAACGTTTTGACCAAGTTCAGCGATTCATTTATTTTCAAGTGTGTTTCTAAAATCAACAGAAAATCTAAAAGCAACAAAAAGTCCAAAGTTCAACAGTTTTGTTTTTCTTCATGCGTTACAAAAAAAACAAATGTTGGAACGTTTTTCATCAACAAACTCTTCAAAAACCTCACTGGGACGTTAGGAGCCGGGTTCTGAGGTTTCTCCAGTTCAGCCGCAGTTCAAGGTGTTCGGATCTTCACGTGTTCGAGATCTTAAGGTGTTCAAGATCTCTGGGCGTTCGAGATCTTTATGTGTTTACGATCTTCGGGCATTTGAGATCTCAGGGCATTCGAGATCTTCGGGCGTTTGAGATCTTCAGGTGTTCGAGATCTTCGGGCGTTTGAGATCTTCAGGAGTTCCAGATCGTCTGGTTTTCGAGATCTTCGGGTGTTCGAGATGTTTGGGTGTTCGAGATGTTTGGGTGTTCGAGATCGTCTGGTGTTTGAGATCTTCAGGAGTTCCAGATCGTCTGGTTTTCGAGGTCTTCATGTGTTCGAGATCTTCAGCCGTTAGAGATCTTCGGGTGTTCGAGATGTTTGGGTGCTCGAGATCTTTGGGCGTTCGAGATCTTCAGGAGTTCCAGATGGTCTGAACGTGTCTGAGAACGCCTCTCTGAGAGTCTGTGTTCACACGGTGCTGCAGGGGCCCTCGCTGTCGCTGTCGTCCCACAGCGAGGCTCCCGTGTTGGTGTTGCTCTGGTTTCCTCCAGGGGGCGCTCCTCTCTGCTGCAGGAGGCTCTGTCTGGAAACAAAAACAGTTTAATCAGATTTAACCTCAAATCAGACCTGACAGAATTATGGTCTGTTTAAAATGGAGTCTGGGATCATGTGGAGCTGAGTGACACTTCACACTTCACCTGAACCATCAGAAGACGCAGATGTTTCTCCAGGTGTGACAGTTCCACCTGTGTCTGAAGTTTCCAAATTAACCCCTTAACGCCGACTTATCACAAATACACAACAAACCATTTGGATTAAGATATAATCCGAGACAGCGGCTGCGTTCCTCTGATGTCGGTTCGTGCGTCTGCAGAAACTTCCAAAGAACTTTTTGTAAACTTTTGTTTCTAGTCGCAAATTTGCAACACGCACAAATTTCGTTAAACACAAGAGAATCCAGGCACAACAAAGAAGTAAAACTCAGGGCTTCAGTCTCAGCTCTGGTGAAGAACAGTTGAGCTGAAACATGTCGCTTTGGCCTTTTAACTGTGTGTTTTTCCTTGTTCAGTTTTACGTCTTTGGAGCGTCTGGAGTCTGTTGTGTTTAAAGTTTTGATCCTTTTTCCCAGAGCCTCCACCTGCTCCACCGACTCAACACCTGCAGCAAACACACACACTTTTATTTTCCATTCCCAAATTTCTATTAATTTATTTTGCTCTAGTCAAATAAATAATCTCAACTTCATTTACCGTCTACTGAAAGACAAAAACACACAAAACATTTTTTATATACATCTGGTCCAGTTCCTGTTGATCCTCAGGACTCAGTCTGAGTTGGAGTTTCTCAGTTTAGAGTTTAGAGTTTCACTTATTAAAGACACAGAGTCTCACAGAGACTTTCAGTGAAATGCACCTGTGTGTGTGTGTGTGTGTGTGTGAGTGTTTGTGTTTCTCTTTTGCTCCAAACTGTATTTTTCTTGTAAATTCCCACAGATTCTCCTGAGTCGTGTTTTATTCACCGTAGATTTTCTCTGTGAGAGTTGAACAGGTGGAAACTCGGCCTCGGTGCCTGAATCGGGACAAAACCCTGTCGACTCTCTCTCTCCGGAGACAAGTCCAACTGGAGAGAAGAAGAAGAGAGACAGAAGAGAGAGGAAAAGAGGAGAGAGAGAAGAAAGAGAAGAGAGAGAAGAGAGAGAAGAGAGTTACTTTAAAAACGACTTAATCTCTCGGTGGGTTTAAAGTTGTTTGTTGTTGTACCTGTTTCGTGGCGTCGTCCCAAATCGGTCTGAAAGCACTTTTAGGGTGCAGAGGAGGGGACCCCGTCATGAGCGTCACCAGCCTCCTGGCCCCGCCCCCCTCCTCCCCCGCCCTCCTGGCCCCGCCCCCCTCCTCCCCCGTCCTCCTGAGCGGCGGATGCGGCGTCAGTCGTGGAATCTGCCATCGCAAACAAACCTGAGGAGGTGGAAAAGTGCGTCAGAGTTTGACAGATTTTCAAGTTTGTTTTTAAAAATGTTCTTAAAGCTCCACTGTGTAACATTTGAGTGGACAAGTGGAGCTGCCCTCACCGTCCTCTCTCGGGGTTTGAGCAGCACCGGGACGTGGCTGTCCTCCTCCTCCTCTTCTTCTTCTTCTGCACTGTCCCGCCGCAGCGTCCCGTCCGGGCTGCAGGTCGTCACAGATGAATAATCGAACGTGTCGTCGTCGGCGTCGGTGTCGGCGTCTCGCGGTTCGGCGGCGGCGCCGGCCGTGGCGTGGCTGTGGTACGTGCCCTGGCCCGAGTCGCTGGTCTCGCCCCAGCACTGAGGCGGGTCTCGGGGGGCGAGCAGACGGAGGGGGGGCAGTGGGGGCAGTCTCTGGGGGGTCGTGGGGGGGTTTGGGGGGAGCGGTGGATTTTCGTCGCACGGGGCTGCAGGACAAACACTCGACTCGCAGAGACGGACACGTCCCGTTTGTAAGAACCGCTTTGTCTCTGCAGAAGGAGAAGAAGGAGACGAGTGGTTAGATCAGTGGTGGTTGATCTGGGCCGAGTCTCATTTCTCTTTCCTTGCTTCCTCCTCCTTGATTCTTCTCCTCAATCCTCCGTTTTTAAGAATCGTCCCAAAGAAAAACACAGAACAAAGGAGTAAATCTGAGGAGGTTTCAGGAGCAAACGCCAGAGAAAAGAATCAAACTTTATTCTCCTCCTCTCGCCTCCTCTGTCCTCTCCTCTCTTTCTTCCTCTCTTCTCCTCCTCTCTCCTTTCCTTTCCTCTTCTCCTCTTCTGTTCTCCTCTCTTTTCCTTTCTTCCTCTCTCCTCGAGGAAGCAAGGAAACAGAAATGAGACGTGGTCCTGCTTTAGTCTCTTGGAATCACCTCTTTGCTCCGGGTTTGTCCTCTCTGCTGTTCCCAGAGCCTCCACCAGAGGGCGCCACCGCGTCACTGCAGCACAGACACTCGGAATCAGAATTTATTTATCATTTGAGTAAAAAAAACACACAGAAACGAAACACCACACTCAGGTCCAGGTCAACAACAGCATAAATAATAATAATAAGAATAAACTGTTTAAAGTCTTTAAAAAACAGCCCCCACCTGCCCTCATTTTCTAAAGTGTTTTCTTTTTGCTTTTAGATCCAATAACAGTGTTAAATTCATTTGTGTTTTGGATGATCCTGTTTCTCATTATTATTATTATTATTATTATTATTCCTGATATTTCTTCTACAGTTCTCCCACAGTTAAAGTAAATGAAGTGAAAGTGAGACGTGACCTGGTGGCGCCCCCTCCTGGCTGCTCCCACTGGACGTCGCGCTCCAGGATTTGGTGACACTGGTTGAGGAGGGACCTGAGCGCTCGCTCCGACCCGAGCAGGAGGCTGCAGTCGGGATGATCTTTCCCCGTCCACTGCAACAAACTCTGGAACAAAACAACAAACACGACCATGAAACAATAAAAAAAAAAAATGATCTAGACTTAAACCGACTTTACTGAGCCACAAGGGAAATGAATTGGACACAGGAGTCACACGTCACAATAATTTATAATAACAAAGAAAAAAAGTAAATTATAAAAAATTTAATGAAAAAAATAAAAAAAATAAATTCTAAATAAGTAACAAAAATAAGAAGGGATTTCTCAAATAAGAAATAAATGTAAATGTACAAGTAAAAATAAAATATAGAAATACAGTCTTGTCGTACAGTTGTAGGGAGTATTATCTGTTACATAAAGGTGAGTTGAACAGTTGTAGGGAGTATTATCTGTTACATAAAGGTGAGTTGAACAGTTGTAGGGAGTATTATCTGTTACATAAGGGTGAGTTGTACAGTTGTAGGGAGTATTATCTGTTACATAAAGGTGAGTTGAACAGTTGTAGGGAGTATTATCTGTTACATAAGGGTGAGTTGTACAGTTGTAGGGAGTATTATCTGTTACATAAAGGTGAGTTGAACAGTTGTAGGGAGTATTATCTGTTACATTAAGGTGAGTTACAGTTGTAGGGAGTATTATCTGTTACATAAGGGTGAGTTGAACAGTTGTAGGGAGTATTATCTGTTACATAAAGGTGAGTTGTACAGTTGTAGGGAGTATTATCTGTTACATAAAGGTGAGTTGTACAGTTGTAGGGAGTATTATCTGTTACATAAGGGTGAGTTGTACAGTTGTAGGGAGTATTATCTGTTACATAAAGGTGAGTTGAACAGTTGTAGGGAGTATTATCTGTTACATAAAGGTGAGTTGTACAGTTGTAGGGAGTATTATCTGTTACATGAGGGTGAGTTGTACAGTTGTAGGGAGTATTATCTGTTACATAAAGGTGAGTTGTACAGTTGTAGGGAGTATTATCTGTTACATGAGGATGAGTTGTACAGTTGTAGGGAGTATTATCTGTTACATAAAGGTGAGTTGAACAGTTGTAGGGAGTATTATCTGTTACATAAGGGTGAGTTGTACAGTTGTAGGGAGTATTATCTGTTACATAAAGGTGAGTTGAACAGTTGTAGGGAGTATTATCTGTTACATAAAGGTGAGTTGAACAGTTGTAGGGAGTATTATCTGTTACATAAGGGTGAGTTGTGTACAGTTGTAGGGAGTATTATCTGTTACATAAGGGTGAGTTGTTGTACAGTTGTAGGGAGTATTATCTGTTATAAAAGGGTGAGTTGTACAGTTGTAGGGAGTATTATCTGTTACATAAGGTGAGTTGTACAGTTGTAGGGAGTATTATCTGTTACATAAGGGTGAGTTGTTCAGTTGTAGGGAGTATTATCTGTTACATAAGGGTGAGTTGTTGTACAGTTGTAGGGAGTATTATCTGTTATAAAAGGGTGAGTTGTTGTACAGTTGTAGGGAGTATTATCTGTTACATAAAGGTGAGTTGTACAGTTGTAGGGAGTATTATCTGTTATAAAAGGGTGAGTTGTACAGTTGTAGGGAGTATTATCTGTTACATAAGGGTGAGTTGTACAGTTGTAGGGAGTATTATCTGTTACATAAAGGTGAGTTGAACAGTTGTAGGGAGTATTATCTGTTACATAAAGGTGAGTTGTACAGTTGTAGGGAGTATTATCTGTTACATAAAGGTGAGTTGTACAGTTGTAGGGAGTATTATCTGTTACATAAAGGTGAGTTGTTGTACAGTTGTAGGGAGTATTATCTGTTACATAAAGGTGAGTTGTTGTACAGTTGTAGGGAGTATTATCTGTTACATGAGGGTGAGTTGTACAGTTGTAGGGAGTATTATCTGTTACATGAGAGTGAGTTGTACAGTTGTAGGGAGTATTATCTGTTACATGAGAGTGAGTTGTACAGTTGTAGGGAGTATTATAGACCTGGATGTGGCTCAGGTATCCGTGGATCCTGGAGACTGGAGCCAAAAGCAGCGACAGAAGTTTCATCTCCTCTCGCTCCAGGTCACCGCTCTGAGACACAAACACGACTCGGGTCAGCTCCGTCACGCTCGGGACGGTTGTAGGGAGTATTATCTTTAAACATGAGGTTACAGTTTGGAGACCTGAGTTTTGGGGCAGTGCGCCATCTGCTGGCTGAGGCGGCCGAACTCCAGAGAGAGGAACGAGGCCAGAGTGGTGGTGTAGCCCAGGTACATGTCCGAGAACGAAGACTGAAACCCAACGCAGAACATCAGAGTGAAGATAAACGCACTCTCTCTCCCCTCTGACACACACGCCCCGCAGCAGCAGAACCAGCAGCCCCCCCACACTCTACAGCAGCAGATCTACAACCAACACCCGGGCCACGAAACACGAACGAACTAAACCAGGACTAAACCAGGACTAAACCAGGACCCAACCAGGTCTAAACCGGGACTAAACCAGGACTAAACCTGGTCTAAACCAGGACTACTAAAACAGGACTAATCCAGGACCCAACCAGGTCTAAACCAGGACTAAAACCAGGACTAAACCTGGTCTAAAAACCAGGACTAAACCAGGGTCTAAACCAGGACTAAACCAGGACTAAACCAGGACCAGGACCCAACCAGGTCTAAACCAGGACTAAACCAGGACTAAACCTGGTCCAAACCAGGACTAAAACAGGACTAATCCAGGACCCAACCAGGTCTAAACCAGGACTAAACCAGGACTAAACCTGGTCTAAACCAGGACTAAACCAGGACTAAAACCAGGACTAAACCTGGTCTAAACCAGGACCCAACCAGGTCTAAACCAGGACTAAACCTGGTCTAAACCAGGACCCAACCAGGTCTAAACCAGGACTAAACCTGGTCTAAACCAGGACCCAACCAGGTCTAAACCAGGACTAAACCAGGACTAAACCTGGTCTAAAACCTGGACTAAAACAGGACTAAACCAGGACTAAAACCAGGACTAAACCAGGACTAAACCAGGTCCAAACCAGGTCCAAACCAGGACCCAACCAGGTCTAAACCAGGACTAAACCAGAACTAAAACCAGGTCTAAAACAGAGCTAAAACAGGAGCCCCCGGTCCTCAAAATATTGTCAGACATAAATCTGGTCCGTGGAGCGAAAAGTTTGAGGACGACTGAAACCACAGAACCACAAAAATCAGGACCGTTGCCACGGCGATTAACAACTCAAAACAACGTCTTTTGAACAAGAAAAAGTCATTGAAAAGTCGCATAAAACAGGAAAATAAAACCCAGGACCAGCTGATGTGCCAAAGGGAAGCAGGGAGACAGAGTGTATTTATTTAAAGCTGCACTGTGTAACTTTTCTGTAAGATTTTCAAGACAACAACAAAAAAACAAAAAAACTCCTGTGTCGTCGTTATAATAGTTTGAAAATTAAACGCAGTGACTCTGAGCCTCCAGCAGGGGGAGTCCAGACCCCAACACCTCCCCCAGAAAACTCCTGTCACTGAGGAAATAAAACACACACATTTAAAGCTTCACTGTGGAACATTGCAAAAAAAGCGACCTCCAACACCTCCCACTACAGAAAAGTGACACAGTGGAGCTTTAAATGACCTGAGAGGCAGTACAGTGCAGTACATATGAACTCCTAAATGTTGTTGTGATTTTGTTTGCGTCTCACGTCGTTGTGTCCGATGAGCTGGACCAGAATGTCTCCGATCAGAGATTTCCAGTGTTCGGCCGAAAGTCGCTCCTGCAGAGTGTTTCTGAAGAGAAGCTGCCGCTGAAGAACCTGCTCCACAAACGCCACGAACGTCTGACTGGAACAGAAACACAACACACAGATGTAAAGAAAACCTGTTAGAACATTAACATCATATAAAATCTATTTACTTCTTCACTTCTGAGACTTGGATGAGCTGAGAAACTTTTGTCCTGTTTTGTGTTGTTTCCTGTAAATATTTCTGTGTCTCGTCTCCTGTTCTTTGTGTTCACAGGTTTTGGCAAAATAAAAGTTAAAACTTCAGCCTGGAAACTATGGAAAGATTTTATTAGCACCCGAAAATAAAAAAATAATTAAAAAAAGGGAACATCAGTGACGTTCCCTGTCCACTGCTACTCAAACGTTCAAATATTTGTTTTTTCTTTTCTTTTTTTTTTATTTTACTTTGTTTTCTTAAAGGAAAGGGGGAAAAAATAATAAATAAATGTTCAGTCCTCTAGTAGAGAAATATGTGAAGTGAAAGAAACCAAGTACAAGGAAGAACGATGAAGAGGAAAAAAGAAAATTGTACATTTGTGATTTGTAACTGTCGTCTCTGTTGGACTGTCAATAAAAATTTGAATAAAAAAAACAAATTCAGCCTAAACTACAGAAGCCGAGAGGGTCACAAGAAACGCAAACGCCGCAACAAATACAAATGCGACAACACAACAAAAAGCCACAGCACAACAAAAAAAGCCATAACGGGAATGACTGCAGGAGTCTATTTTAATGCAAACGCCGCAACAAATACAAACGCCACAACACATTAAAAAGCCACAACGGAAGTGACCACAGGACTCTATTTTCCGACGGACCGATCGAGCGGCAAGTGAAGAAGAAGAACTACAATGTGAAACGAATAATGATAAAACAATAAATTACTTTTACTTACGTTTCCAACTTTCTCCGTTCTTTTACTTTTGTTTACTTTACATTGTAGTTCTTCTTCTTCACTTGCCGCTTGATCGGTCCGTCGGAAAATAGAGTCCCGAGGTCACTTCTGTTGTGGCTTTTTAATGTGTTGTGGCATTTGCGTTTGTGTTGTGGCATTTGTATTTGTTGCGGCATTTGCATTAAAATAGAGTCCTGCAGTCATTTCCGTTGTGGCTTTTTTTGGGTTTGTTGTGGCTTTTTGTTGTCGCATTTTAATGTGTTGTGGCTTTTTGTTGTGGCTTTTTAATGTGTTGTGGCATTTGCGTTTGTGTTGTGGCGTCTGCATTAAAATAGAGTCCCACGGTCACTTCCGTTGTGGCTTTTTGTTGTGTTTGTGTTTGTTGTGACCCCTCCACCCTTCGCTCTGTAGAATAACTTTAGTGAAATGCATAAAAAGGATCATTACTGTGTTAAATCACTGTAATATGACGTATGATTAAGTTAACTGACCGAAGAAACTAAAATAAACTAAACCCGACCCGTAGACCCGACCTGACCCGACCCGTAGACCCGACCTGATCTGACCCGTAGACCCGAACCGCAGACCCAACCCGCAGACCCGACCCGCAGACCCGACCCGTAGACCCGACCCGCAGACCCGATCCGTAGACCCGACCTGACCTGACCCGCAGACCCGACCTGACCTGACCCGTAGACCCGACCCGTAAACCCACCTGACCCAACCCGTAGACCCGCCCCGTAGACCCGACCTGACCCAACCCGTAGACCCGACCCGCAGACCCGACCCGACCCGACCTGACCCAGACCGACCTGACCCGTAGACCCAACCCGCAGACCCGACCCGTAGACCCGACCTGACCTGACCCGTAGACCCGACCCGTAGACCTGACCCGTAGACTCGACCTGACCCAACCCGTAGACCCGACCCGTAGACCCGACCCGCAGACCCGACCCGTAGACGCGACCCGTAGACGCGACCTGACCCGACCCGTAGACCCGGACACTCACTAGGGCTGTGGGCAGAGGTGGTGGTCCGGGGGGCTTCTGTATTTCTCGTAGAGTTGGTTCAGGGTCGAGACGTACTCCCACTCCGAGTGCAGCAGCTGCATCGCCACCTGGTGTCGGGCGTCTGCAAGTACAGTTCAGTCCTGACCTTAGAGCCTAATTATGTCACTGGAAATATACAAGAGCGGGATTTAAAGATGCACTGTGTAACTTTTCGATAAATCCTTCTTGTCTTTGCTTTGCCTGGAAGGAAAATAAATTTTCATGTGTCTGTTCACAAGTCATATCTGTGGAGAGGCGACTCTGCTTGCAGTAAGTTTGCATGTTCTAGTCTAGAAAAGAGACTCTTCTGATCCTTGTTTAGTCTCGATGTAGAACTGGTTTGGATCTGTTCTCGTCCTGGTTTGGATCTGGTCTAGTCCTGGTTTGGATCTGTTCTCGTCCTGGTTTGGATCTGGTCTAGTCCTGGTTTAGATCTGTTCTAGTCCTGGTTTAGATCTGGTCTAGTCCTGGTGTAAATATAAGTTTATAATTTGCCTTGGTTAAAAACACTCTATTTTCTGTTGTTAACCATTAACCTTTTATGTTTAGCACTTTTATTTTGAAAGGCGTATTTCCTTTTAGTGTAAAAACGTTTAATTATCTTTACATGGAGAACGGCAAAACGTTTGTTATTGATTTAAATATTTCTTTTGGATAATTTTGTGTCTGTTATCTTTGTTGTTGTCAAGACAAATGTAAATAATAATCAAAGTTTTGTGTATTTGTATTTAAACTCTGTATGTTGTTTTCCTTTTAGCTCTTACAGCAGATTGGAGGATTTATTCACATTAAACCCAAAAATCACCAGTTTAAAGGTTGTATAGAGGATTTTTTAAGAGAAGTGAAGTACAGCGACCGTCCTTTTCCAAATGTTGTGCATGTGTGACACCACCTTCCTCCTCCACAGCTCCTCAGTAGAAACACCTCCTCCTCCCGCCTCCTGACTCTAGAAATCACGTTTGTTTACAGTCAGAATTACTGTTGAAGTTTCCTGTCTAGAAGTAATTTAGCGACCGACACATCAGTTTTTAGACCCTTCGTCTGCTTCACTCGCGCCGTCGCTGGAAGAAATCTCCAAGAATCACCTCAGTTTGTCTTTGCTCCTTTTCCTCTTCTCTTCTTCTTTCACCGACCTCAAAAACGGACTTTCTTTTGCGGCGAACTGGTCGTGGATTCTCGTCCGTCACAACAAAATTGCAAAATTGCAAAATGCGAGGAAGTGACAGTTTTGAAAAAATCTCTAAGAACCGCTGCATAAACCATGTAATCCCCGCGCACCGACGAGTCAGTTACACTAGAAACATAGAAAGTTTGATTGACAACCTAACAGCCAATAGAAAATGAGGCAGCCTCGTTTTCTATTGGCTGATGTTTATCTGTCCTCAACACGTCCACTGTTGATACATTTTCATTCTTTTTTTTTTTTGGTCATCTTAATTACAAAGCTGCTGCGTCTCTGTAATGGTATTTTAAACTTTCAATGACAATTTGAAACTAAAAAAAAAAATCCTCCATACAACCTTTAAGTGTCAGTCTTTATTCAGGGAAACACTAGACCAGGTTTAGTTCTAGGTTAAGTCCAGGTTTAGTCCCAGTTATGATGAAGTGTGTGAAAGTGTGAATGACGCTTTAAATTGACTTAAATGTTAAATTCTTAAACTGTGTCTTGAAAAACACTGTACAAATATTAATTAATATACTGTAACATTTATAATTCCGCCATTTATGGACCAATTGTCACCAAATTTGGTACGTGGATCAAGCCCTCATGCCTGATGCCGCAAAAAAAGTTTGGTGACGATCTGAGGTCATTTGAGGTCAACTGAAAGGTCACTCCATTATAAAGGATCAGCAATTTCTGAACCATCGGCGGCCTAAAATATTCACCCAATCATCACACAAGTTGGCACACACAAAACCGGAGCACACTGGATGTTACAGGTTGAAACCGGTCAAGGTCACTTGAAGGTCAAAATATCCAATGTCAATGTGTTTTTGGTCATAACTCCGCGAAGGATGGAGCTCGAGCGACGGGAGAAAAATTATGATCTATTTATAATTCTCTGCATTTGTAGAGTCAAATATGAATAGTTTTCCAGATAATCCCTATTAATTAAACTAATTATAACATACAAAATAAATATAAAATAATTCCTGTTTCTTGTTTTTCTGGTGAAACACACACACTGATCTACAGTCACACAACAAACACAACTCATGAACAATCACATTTTGGTTCCACACTAGTAAACACAGATAATTTTTATCAGTAGTAGTATTAGTAGTAGTAATATTAGTATTAGTATTAGTATTAGTATTGTTCTTGGACCTGTCTCTTGGCTGAGTCCGGCCTTCAGTCCCTGCAGGAAACAGTGCAGCAGAAGTTTCCCTCTGGACCCGGAGCAGCACTGAGACCTCACAGGGTCCAAGTCCTGGTCCTGGTCTACATCCTGGTTCTGGTCTGGGTTTGGATCCTGGTCCGGGTCTGGGTTTAGGTCCTGGTCCCGGTCTGGGTTTAGGTCTAGAGCTGGTCCGGGGTCTGGGCTTGGGTCTGGACTCGGGTCTGGACTTGTATCTGGTTCTGGAGGGAGACTAAGACAAACGAGAGAGAGACTGAGGTTTATTCAGATTTAAAGAAAATGTACAGATACGATTATTATATTTATGATTTAATCCTGCGCTGCAGGTCTGGTTTGTCTTCGCCCAGTTAAGTTCATGTTTTAGTCCTGGTCCTGGTCTGGTCCTGGTCCTGGTACTTGCCGGTCTGGGGGTTTGGGGGGGTTTCTGTGTCTGTGGCTGTACAACTGAAGGATCTGAACCCTCATCACCGTCAGCTCCTCCTGGAAACAGAACAGAACACGAGAACACGACCCGCGGCTTCAATTTAAAGCCCCACTGTGGAACATTACAGACAAAACAATCACATCTCCACGGAAACGAGTCGTGCATGTTTAAGTTTAACATGAGACAGTCAGACTGACCTGGACTAAGTGTTTTTGTCTGTGTTAAACGTGTTTTATAAAGGTGCTGTTACCCTGAGCGCCTGCACCAGCGTCTCCAGGCGGTGCGCCCTCTTGTGGCAGCTCCGGGCGTTTTCCTCCAGCTCGTCCCTGAGACACGAGTCCGAGTTCTGGATCTGACTGAGCTCGGACAGGGCGCTGCTGAAGCCCACCTTCAGCTCACACACCATCCTCTGCAGCTACGGAGAGAACGAGACGAACAACAAACACAAGACAAAACTGTCACACGTGACACGTGACACGCCCCTTTTCCTGGGACGGCGCGACTCGGAGCTCGGTGATGGAAAAAGTCGACCGAGCAAAGATTCAGCCCAATGTGACGTGTAAATATGAAGTGTTTTTATTGTGTTTAAATGACAGTTTCAGTCGCTCGTGTCACTGCAGAACTTTACCGCGTCTGTATTTCTGCCTGTGGGTTTGGGAGTCGGGTTGTGGTGAGGCCGATATTGAACAAATACTATTATGGCAATAAACAAAGGGAAACAACAGGTTAAGGAGAAAGAAAAACAGAACCAGAGAAACAAAAACAAAACAGAAAAAATGAGCACAGGCATGGGAACATTACCATACATCAGGGGCATAACAGAAAAAGTACAGAGGGCAATGAAAAAACACAATATCAACACATGAGTGAAACCGAACAGAAAACTCAGATAATTACTCGTCCATCTGAAAGACAAAGTAGAACCGGAGCATAAATGTAATGTAATATACGAACTATCCTGCATGTCCTGCAATAAAACATACATCGGGGAAACAGGGAGGGTGTTCAGTACACGAAAAAAGGAACATAGAACAGAAGGCGAGAAGGAAACAGCGAAGGCGAAACACGAGCAACAAAACACAAAGCAGAACAGGAACAACTCAAATCGACCGTTTCTGACCAGTGTAAAAGAGAGAACCACGTTATGAACTGGGACGGAGCAAACATCACTGGGACAGAGGAAAACAAACATCGCCGCTGGATTAAAGAAGCAATCGAAATACGGAAACGTGCCCACAGGACTGTAAACCGGGATGAGGGGCTTTTTTACTCTCACACACCTGGGATACTGTCCTGAGGAAGTGGGACTGCAGGTGGCGCTGTCGTCCTGCCTCCACCGGTAGGAAGACAGCGCCAAAACCTGTTTAAATCAACTGACCAGACACGACACAACAACATCACGTGACTCTGAGGAAGACGCTAGTGAACAGTCCAGACTGTCAGGGATGAAATAACACTCCAGGTCTGAAAAAAAGAACCTAATAACATAGAACAAATACTCGATTTAACGGGCATTAACGTCCCTGAGCTTGTAACGAAAGAGAAACCATAACATAAAATGAAGTGCAAATTTCAGCGTTTTCATAAAATGAGGGAATATTCATGATCATAATCCACGGAGTCCGACACACCAAACAGAATCAAACACTTGAAGCTCGGACGTGACGTCAAATTCGAAGTCCACGTGGGAGTCGGAGGAAAATCGAACACAGGGGAGGCGGGGCGTGTGGGCGGGGACACTCTGAGGTGTGGAGGAGGCCGAGCGTCTCCGGGGTCCAAACACGACCAACAGTTTGAGTCAACGGGCCGAGCTCAGCGCAGCCGAGCTCAGTTTAGACTGAACTAAACTGAAGGAGTTTGAACTGAGACAAAGTTTAGGCAAAATTCAGCACAAAATCCAACCTTTTTTTAATAAAGCTGTCAGTCCCTGTCAGTCCCTGTCAGCTGAACAAGAGCAGTTTGTGTTTACGTTTCTCTTTGCTCAGACTTGTGTTTTTTATCAGTTTTATTTTCTGACTCTAAGGAACGAATCAATAAAACACAAAAGTGTAAAACAGCAGAGAGTTTGTCTCTGTCTGAAACTAAAACATCATCAGTATTATTCACAAATGAACAACTAGATGTTTACATTTATATATTGAGCTCCTCTGTTTCTGTCCATCAGATGTTTACAGGTGCAGCAGCCACAGTCCGGCAGCTGTAATATTGTGTGTTATTTTGTTATTTTGTGCGTTGTGTGTTTTTTGTGTTGTGTCTCTTTCAGAGCTGAGGAGAATAAACGAGGGGAGAGTTTTACCTTTGAGATTTCACTGATGAGTTCAACCTCCTGAGGCTTCATCACCTGCTCAAAACAAACACACAAACACACAAACACACAACTGTTCAAAACACACACACACAACTGTTCAAAACACACACACACAACTGTTCAAAACAAACACACAAACACACAACTGTTCAAAACACAAACACACAACTGTTCAAAACACACACACACAAGTGCAGTTTGCAAACAACAAAATGGATCATGAAGAAAACACTGGTTTTAAATTCAGGATTTTAACTTTAAATTGCATGTGACAGGTTTGTGTGTTTTTCTAATTCTGACTTGTAAATATTTGTTATATTTTTACATCAGTTAAGTGTGAGTTTGTGAAAAGAAAATTGTGAAAAAGTAAAAAAATATAAGACATAAAGCTGTGGACTAAAACAGAATCCCTGTACCTGTGTCATAAAACAGAAAACTCCAAAACACAGAGACAACTTCTGCACATGGAAAGTGATTTTTTTAGCAGCTTAAACCTTCTTTTAACAAAATAAAGCTGTTGTTGTTTATTTTTATTAGTTTAATCATAATTATTGTGTAATCTAGACTCGTTTTGGCCTTTGTTTACATTATGGTCATATTGTAATAAAACTTCACTAAAATAAATGTCTAATTAAATCAAACTAGGCAAAAATTCTAGTAAAATCTTAAATATGAAAATGTAAAGTGAGAGTTTTAACCTGTCACTTTAAGATTTTTCTTTAGAATTAATCCTTTTTCACATTTTAAAAGAGTAAAGGAAGTATTATTAACACGACACTGACCCTCGGCTCAGATTTCACATTTGATAAAAGACAAAAAACACAAAGCGGTGAACTCCCAGAAATGTGACGCTTTCGGAAAACTTTCAGAAAACAAAAATACAACAGCAGTTTTAGTTTTGACAAAGTGAGAGGATTAACCCAGAGAACAGCAGGTCAGTGTGTTTAGAAAGAAGAAGGTTAAATTTAAAAGTGTGTGTTTACATCAAAATATAAAATAAGCCAAATGTCATGTGACTACAGTGTTCAGAACCACTTTTTAATATTTACAATACAATTTAAACTTTATTAATAGGGATATCGTATCGTCAGAAGTCTGTAAATAATATTGAATCACAAGTTTCTTTGCTTAAATTCATTGTTACGGTCCAGCAATAGCAAAAATAACAGAGAGAACTACATAGACCATGATCCTTTGCTCCATTTCAGTGCAAAGACAAGAAGAAACAACAGTTCTAACACTTTTAAATCTTAGATCTTTGAGTTAAGTTTTGTCAAGGCATTTTAAGAGGAAAAAGAAGAATATTCACAATTTTGTTGCCTCCACAAAATATCTCGCAATAAATATTGTACCGTGAGATTTGGAAATCGTGAAATATTGTACAGTAAACAGCAAAAACTTAATTTATGTGGTTTCCTCATCAAAAACAGACCTGGAGTTGTGTTTTTTTTGTTTCATTCACACATTTTAGTCTGAGTTCTTCTCTCAGATCAAAACACAAACTTGCTTCTTGTATTTCAGTTTTTCATTTTAACTTCTCAAGATCTTGGTGGTAATGAATGACCTTTTAATAATAAAATAATAACTACACTTTAATTAAGTTTTAATAAAAATCTGTGAGTTCTGACGTCGTTTCCTCGTCACAAACAGACCTGGAGTTTTGTTTTGTTTCATTCACACAAGTTTAACACACAAACCTGCACATTTAGCACGAGTTCTTCTCTCAAACTGAAAAAAAACCCCAAAACGCTCTGTTCCACCTCGTGATGTCATCATGTGGTGGTACAGGAAGAAAGTGCTCCACTGTGTTTTTAAAACTCCACACACCTTCACGAGAATCATTCGGATCATTTCAGACCTGGAGTTGTCAGTGGAATTTTGACTGAACTAAAGGCAAAGGAGCTGTTCATTTGCTGTTAAACCACCACTTCATGACATCACAAGGTGGAACAGAGCGTTTTGACCTTTTCAGATGTAAACAAACGAATAATAAAGATTTAATGAAACATGTGAATGAAACAAAACACGAACACAAAAGTCCAGCTCTGTTTGTGAGGAGGGAACATTAGAATATTAAAGCTCACAAGATAAATGACTTTGTTTTTTGTTCAGGGTTTATTGTGGGCCTGTCAGCTGCTTGTTTCCATGGATACGTCACTGCTCTGTCTGGAATGTTCCTCGGTGTGACATTAAACAGCTCGACTTGACATTTATTCAGTTACAAGTGGCTTTAAAGCTCAAAAACACTTAGAAAAACAGACATTGTGAGTGTGAGCGGGCTCGCCTCTCCACAGATCTGACCTGGAGCTTGGTCTGGTTTGGTCTCCGTGGAGATAGAAAGGTTTAACGCCGTACTGTGGAACATTCCAGACGAAGCATTTGAGAGATCCTCCACCAGAAAAGTTAAACAATGCAGCTTTAAGTGTGGTTATTATAAAGTGTTTCTGAATGTGCTTCTTAAATTTTTTTTTTTTTTAAAGCGACTGATTGACGAGATTTCCCAGTGTAACATTCTTCATTTAACCTTGACTGATTAAAAAAAATATATATACAAATTTGCTTTAGTAAAAACATAAATTGATTAATAAACGACGTACAACTGATTTAAAAAAGTCTGATATTGTATAAATGTAGGTAAAACTTTGTAAAAACAGCAAATACTCAGATTTTCTGTGTATTTCTCCGTTTTCAGATTCATGTGGACTTTTTTTCTGGAGGCGAACACTTGAGAGCATCATAAATGTGCTGATAATCTTATTTTGTGTGCGTGTGTGTGTGTGTGTGTGTGTGTGTGTGTGTGTGTGTGTGTGTGTGTGTGTGTGTGTGTGTGTGTGTGTGTGTGTGTGTGGTACATACTCCAGCGAGGGGCCCCTCTGTGCAGGAAGGAAAACTGGAGCCAAAACCGCAGGAAGTCCAGGTCTGATCCAAGGTCCAGGTCCTCCTCCTCCTCGTCAGTCTGCAACACGAGTCACCAGGTTCACAGAGAATACTACAGTACTACTACTACTACTGCAATACTACTCACAATACTACTACTTTACAACACGATTTACTGCTTTGTTACGCTGTTGTAAAGAAAAACAAACCCACGTCACACGGGAAACTGCACACCGAATATTATGAGTTTATTATGCAAAAAACTGAAATAAAACCAGAAATGGACTAAATTAGAGTGTATTTTGTAAAAACGTAAACAGACAAAAAAATACTGATTTGATATTTGCGTTCGGTTTTGTAACATTAGCGGAGAAGCAGCGAATAAAAGAGGAGGAGCGAAAAAAAAAAAAAAAAATCCAAACTCACCTGTTAAAGTCGAGTCAAACGTCTCGTCGTGCATCCTTCGAGCTTTAAATTAAATCCGTTTTGCCACGTAAAAACAAAATAAAGATTTATTTCCACGAGGACGTGCCGCCGCTGCGTCTGCTCCTCGTGCGTGACGCTCTCTGCGTCAACTGCACGAGCCACGAAACAGAAACACGAGCGCGCGAGCTGAGCGGGGTCCGCCACCAGAAAACACCAAGAACTGGAAGATTCAAACTCTCAAAGACTCAAAGACTGAAGGACTGATCTGTTCTACACGAAACTCTGAGCTCATGTACAACACGACTACTGTTATACAATACACATTTATATATATATATATAAATAAATAATAAATAAATAAATAAAAAATACCGTAATCTAGAGCGACTAGACTTCCCCAGTTTTGAGCCCTGTGTCCCCTGTCCCAGTGGATTTATCCAAAACAAGTCATTTGTCCCAGTTTTATACAAGAAATGTTCCACGTGTCCCTATTTTTGACCAATTTGGTCCCTGCTAACAAGATAAATTGTCATTTCTTTAGGTAAATTACAAAAAATCTTCTTAAAAACGACCAAAACACAAAGAAAATGTTAGTTATAAATGGTCTCTGTATAACAATGTTCCTTAATTACGCACTCGATTCACAATTTTATTATTAACAACAACCAAAAAACACCGGGGATGTCCCAGGTTTTTTTTTTTTTTTTTTCTAAATTCCGGTCACCCTAATATATTTAGTTTAAATTTATATAGTAAAAGTAGTCTAATTATTTTGTACTACGAATAACGATTATCTTATTTTTTATTTAATGTTAGTTATTTTAAGACGATAACAAATTTATTTCTTTTTTTTTTTATCTTATTTTTTTATTATATTTTTTACGTTATTTTAATTATTTTTTTTTTTTAATCTGTAAAACGTCTTTCCCGCTTACTACAGTTTGAATCTGTACTTGATAATAAATAATGTAATTTTTGACTTATAATTAATTACTTTAGCGATGTTTTCTGTTTTATTTTATTTTTTTCTGTAAATTTTAACGTTCTTTGCGTGTGGGCGTGGCCAAGCGAAATACTCGGTTCTGATTGGCTGCTTCGCTCTCAGAATTTTCAAATGTTGCGGCAGCTGACGGGAGCTGTCAAAACAGTCACACACGCACGGGTAAGCGCCAAATAAACACTATTTACGCATTTCTGTCACGATTTCTAAGTTTAAATGTGTAGCTATAGCGCTGTTATAACGGGTAAAGTTTATTTCTCGTGGGTGCACTTGCAGATTATTTGTACTTCTCTTGTTTAGTCAATGTTCGCTGCCTCGTTAGCATGTTAGCAGTTAGCCACGATTGGTTTACGATCATTTCCAAGCGTTAATTAGTGCATTTTGTGGATATTTTTTGGTTAAATTATAGAAAATATAATGCATTCAACTCTTCCTTTTGTATAATAGTGGTGTTTTTAATGAAATGTATTGTTTTCTTGTTGCGAAGTGTGCAAAGAGAGGTTTAAATGACCATCTTAACGCCCCTATCACAACTTTATTAAGTTATTTATGAGACAACAAACGTACAAACGAACCAGAAAATAACATATATACATGCATTTAAACCGAGTGTTAGACACGTAAAGTACTATAATATCACTAAGCTCTATGATGTAAAAGTTTAATTGAGTTATTATAATACTTTAATTACAATTTACAATACATTTTTCATTCGCAAAATCCAAAATAACTCACGTGTTTTTCAAGAGATTTAAGAGAAAAGTGCAACAGGAGCATGTTTAAAGGTTGAGTCAGTATTTACCTTTAGGCTTTAAAGACCCAAAGGCACAAAATAGTGTAATTTAACCTTTTTCATTTTTTTTTTTTCTCCAGTTGAAGCCATGAGAACAAATGATTTTGATTCTTCGTCAGATGAAGACGACGTCAGAGAAGAAGACCTCACGCCGTTCCACATTTCATGGTGAGTACAAGCGTTTTTATTTACTAATTTATTTAGACGTTTCCATTAATTTTCCATATTGTTTGAACTGTTTAAATGATTCTTTTATTATAGTTATTTATTCTTTGCTGTTTCTCCTCCAGGCTTCCTCTCTCGGTTGTGGGGAGTTCTCAGTTTTTAGGGATTTGTCCACTTCCAGGTTTGATTTCACTCTATGAGATGTCAGATATCAGAGTTTATGTAAATTTATGGAACAATTTTAAGTTTCTCTTTTGTGTTTTGGCTGCAGGTTGCAAGTACAAAGATATACGCAGAAGTTTGCAGAGAGATATTGGTAAGAATAAGAAAAATCTGAATGTAAAAAATAGGGATGTAACAATAACAGAAATATGGTGATATCGTATCGTCAAAGTTCTCACAATAAGATCGTGGACCATCACAATATATCAAATCACAAGTTTCTTTGCTTAAACGAAGAGTTATGGAGTAACAGCTTTAAAAAAACACAGGGAACTACATAGACCATGATCCTTTGCTCCATTTCAGTGCAGACGACAAGAAGAAATAACACTTTTAACTCTTTGTTCTTTGGATTAAGACATTTTAAGAGGGAAAAGTATCATATTAACAGTTTTGTTTGCCTCCATAAAACATCACAATAAATAAACCGTGAGATGTTCATGGTGAAAATATCGTACAGAGAGATTTGGTTATTGTTACATCCCTAATCGTGAACTTTCCCACAATATCACAATAAATATTGTACTGTGACGAGATCGTATCGTGAGACTTGGATATCGATACACTCCTAGTAAAAAAAAAAATCTGTACTTGACTCAGAGGTTATAGTAGTAACATAGTAGTAATAAAACTGTAAAAAATATTAAGTGTAGAGATGAATATTTGGACAATTATACATGGACAACAAAGTGCCGCATGGACTAAACCAGGACTGAACCAGGACCGAACCAGGCTGTGGCCCTCTCCTATGGAGCTGCACATCACACTAGAGCAGAGTGTTTTTTTAAATATTTGGACCAAAATGCCGACACGACGACACTCAAACCTACGAGTGTCACCCATTAAAAACATCAAACTGGAGAAGGACGTGTGGGTGTCACATTGGGTTTGTACCTCTGCAGCTGAAAACAAGGAAAGATTGACAAAGGTCTTGAAAATAAGAGATGAAAGATTCCTTAAACATGCATGAATCACTCCAAATACAAATTCAGAGAGTCTGTGAAGAGAAACTTCTATAACATGAAAATAATCTGAGAAGTTGATTTTGCACAAGAAAAAAGTATAGAAAAAATGTGAGACATGCTGAAAGGTCTGTTTAACGTTCTTGTGGTGTTTGTGTGCAGAGGAGCTCCAGTCTCAGGGCGTGCAGGACGTGTTTGTGTTTTGCTCCAGAGCAGAGTTGTGTAAATACCGCGTCCCGTCGCTGCTGGAGCTCTACGTCCAGAGCGGCTTCAGGCTCCACCACCGGCCCTTCACCGACGGAGACGCCCCCGACCTCCAGCTCTGCTGCAGCATCCTGGAAGAGCTCAGACACAGCCTGGACCAAAACCGCCGCACCGTCATCCAGTGAGTCACAAACACAGACTGAAGGTTACACTGGCATGAAGTGTTTTGTTTTGTGATCATAAACTGTAAATAAACGGACAGAGCTATCCTGAGAGCCGCCGCGTTCCAAACAGAAAGTGAACATGGACGCACTCACCAATTCACCTTACACTGTAAAAACTTTGCCCTTCTTTCTGTAACTGCTGCACTGAAACTCTTCATTTTCATCTTAAAATGTTCATATTAACAGGAACATCTCACCTCTCTGCCCTCAGGACGGAGGTACAGGGCGCTCAGGTGCAGGAGAGCCCGCTCAGCCATCACATTTCTAAACACCAGGCCCTGCTGTACTGTAAAGCCTACTACCAAATGAGCTCTGTGTGCGTGGAAATGAATTTCCCCTTGGAAATTCAATAAAAAACAATAAAAGTTTAAAGTCTAAAGTCATTAAACCTCTCAGGCTCAAATTAAGTTTTAGTAACAGGAAAAAATCTGATATTTGGGGAAAATGATCATATGGGGCAGTGATTTACAATCCTGACTTTTTTTTGAGACCTTCACATGTCGTGTGTCTGGGATGTTGCAGATGTGCTGCATTGGTCTGGTGTGGTAAATTAACACTGAAGACTGAAAATGATATGAACATTAACTTTATGTGTAAACCACTTTTCATAACAATGAAAACATAAATCACAGTGTAACAGTTTTACAGCGGCAGAACAACAGCACTTTTTCATGTGCTTCTCCAAGAAACAATTTTTATCCTTTGTAAACAACAAAAGTACTTTGCACTTGTGTCAGGTCGTTTGTGTGGAGTCGTTCTTACACAGTTTGCATCGTCCATGTTTATCAGCATGGATGAGAGAAAAAGGCTCCTGAGTAAAAAAAGCTCATAAAATATGGATGTGGAGTAAATAAGTAATTGGCATTTAGCTGTTGCAAATCTGCAACGCCTGAATGGAGAGGGTTAACCTGTTCCACATGTTTTTTTTTATTTTGTGTTTTTGTTTGTAAATGAATTCAAATCAAAAATCAAATCAAGTTTATGGATGATGTGCATCTGGGCAGGTCCAACATTTCTGCAGCGTTTGAGCGTCGATGTCACAGACCGAAGACGCCAGAGTTGAAAAATCTGAAATTTTGGCAAAATTCGCCACACGTCAATTAGTTTCAAGTGTCTGCTTCAAATAACGAGGCGTTTGGTGCATTAGTCCACTTCTTTATACAGTCTGTGATCTCGATACCTCGTGCCAGTGTATTTATGCCCTTGAAATATAAATCTGTGACTCCTTCTGTATGAGCAGTTCAACAGTTTAATCTCTGTTTTCACTTGTGTTTGTGTTTCAGTTGTTATGGAGGACTTGGTCGCTCTGGATTGAGTAAGTATAGTTCACTTTTTGAATATTCTCACTGTTGAACATTATTCTTCTTGTCATATCGAGCTCTTCTCTTTCTGTTCTTCTCCAGTCGCCGCGTGTCTCCTGCTGCAGTTGTCTCTCACCATGAGCCCGAACAAAGCCATCGAGATTCTGAGGGAGCACAGAGGAGGCGGCGCCATCCAGACCGTCAAAGTGAGCACCACACACAACCATTTCATTTACTCTTTTATAAATACAAAGATTCTGACTTGATTTCTTTCTTCTTTCATTTCTTCGCAGCAATATAATTTCCTTCACGAGTTCCGGGAGAAGTTTGTGTTGTACCAGGCGTCCAGGGAGGAGTCGTCAGAGAGAAGCGTGTCGCGGTGATCTCACATCTTAAAAACAAAATCATCAAATCTTAAAATCAAGTTTGGATCTTTTCTGATTCTGGGAGATCCGTGTGTCGTTCGTTCATTCGTTTTTCAATATAAAACCAAAAATAAGAAAATGAAAAAAATCACTGTTTCCTTTTCCTGTTTCCGGGACTTAAACTACGATGCCGGACTGAACCAGGACTGAACCAGGACTGAACCAGGACTGAACCAGGACTGAACCAGGACTGAACCAGGACTGAACCAGGACTGAACCGTTTTCAGTCCTGATCTGGTCCCAGTTTCAATCACGGCCTGATCCTGGTCAGGTCCCAGTTACAGTCCCGGTCTCAGTCCTGGTCAGGTTCCGGTCTGGTTGGACCTGTTTTAGTCCTGTTTTTAGTCCTGGTTTAGTTCTGGTTCAGTCTTGGTTTAGGCATCACAGTTTGTCACGTAAACGGGAAACGTCCGTTATCCGTTTTTTCCATTTTTCATTTAAACACAAAATTGGAAACTGAAAAATTAATAATTGTTTTTTCATTTTGGTTTTGGAGACAAATAATGAAGAAAATTGTTTTTTCTTTTTGGTTTTCTTTTGAAAAACGAATGAACGAACGACACACGGATTGTGGGTGACAGTTATAATAATAATAACAGCAGCCGTAGTATTCTGTGTTTCTGCTTCTGCACTTTAAGATACTTTAATATATGGATTTTTATGTGAAAAAATTAAAGGAATGGGTGAGGAAATGTTTGTTTTATTCACTTTAAAGGTCCTATATTACACACAATTGACTCTTGTGAGTTTTAAGTCGTGTTCTAATGTTGTTCCCTCGTCAAAAACAAACCTGGAGTTGTGTTTTGTTTCTTTCACAGTGCACAACACATTAACTAAAACAGAAGTGACGGGAAAGATGCTGAACATGAACGCTCATTTACACCTGCAGTCCCTGAGCAGGTTGTTTGAAATACTAAAATACATTTCAATATCGAGAGAATCTGACCAAAAATAAATTAAAACAGATAATACTTTGGGCCACAGTGTTGAAATACTCTTATGAGAGCGGGAAGGAAAAAAATGGTTTTCTTTGGGTCAGTGTGACCCCGAGGAGAACGTGAGGGTTAAAACCACAGTGGAAAAAAAAACATTTGGACAAAACACAGTAAAATAGAATAATACACTGTTAATTGAAAAGAAAAAAAGGTCAAAATACCAGGTGTGAGTATGTTTATGTTTGTATAATGTTGGTTCTGTGTGCGTTTTGGGGTTGCCAATAAAAAAAAAGATTAATGGTGGCAGTAGTTCAGTTGGTGGAGCATTCGCCCACTGATCTGAAGGTTGGCGGTTCGATTCCAGCTCTCGACATAAAAACATCACAGTTTGAGCGTCAGATCCACTGACCCACAGGTTGTTGGTGTGATTCCAGCTCCCACAGATGAATGCTGTTGTTGTGTCCTTGGCAGTGTTGGGAGTTTACTTTTAAAATGTAATCCCCTAAATTACAGATTAACAGATTACATAACCCAAAATGTTTGTTATTTATTATATATTATTGATAGAAGACGAGGAAACACGTCCACACAGCAGGATTTAGTCCTGTTAAATCCTGTTTTAGTCCTGGTTTAGATCTAGTTTAGACCTGGTTTAGTGTCCGGCAATGAGTGGAATTACCGGGGGGGAAAAAACAACAAAAAAACAGGAAAATCCCGCCATGTAATCCATTTATTTCAACAAAGTAACTGTAATCTAATTACCATTCACTGAAACAGTAACTGTAACTGAATCCAGTTACTCATCATTTGTACTCTGATTACATAACTCTGGTACATGTAATCTGTTACTCCACAACACTGGTCCTTGGGCAAGACACTTAACCCACCTCGCCCACAGTGTCTGTGTACTCAAAACAACTCCAGGTCTGTTTGTGATAAAATTATAATAAAAAATAATAAAATCAACATCAACGTCTTAACAGTGGGAGATTTTTATTCAGAGTCAAATAAAAACGAGTCCACATTTTCTTCGTGACATGTCGGGATCTAAAACATAAAAATTTTACCTTCCGTTTTCCCTGACGACCGACGATTTAAAAATGGCAATAAATTATTACTAACGTTTTATTTCAAATGGACTAAAAATGCACCGATGTGAACGAGACGGCGAGGAGTGCTTCTGCGACGTTTCCCAACACAAACGAGAAAATCATAAACATAGAATAAATAAAACTGGAATATTTGGTGGAAAAAAGAAAAATCACAAGACGAGTTTTGAAAGGTACAGTCAACAGTATGGCACCACGAAATCCTACTTAAAATACGACTGGAAACAAAAAATCCTTCTAAATCGTAAGACAATTTTACGTTTTTTTTACTGTTGATTCTACCTTTTTAAAGAGGGGGATCTGAATTTTCTGGGTTTTTACTCTAACACATCACATATTTAGATCAGCGTGTTACTTTTTTTTGTTTTAAAAATGTTATCTTCACCTAAAACAAGTGGAATTTAAGTTTTTGAGGCTTTAATTTTGAGTTTTTCTTATTCGCCGTCACATTTAAAACCTCCTCAGATTTGTTTTCGAGGAGGAAACGGTTATAATACGCTAGAAATTTCCAAAAATAACACCCCCTCTTTAACTAAAAAAAAAAAAAGACACAAAACACAAGGCTGTGGATTTCTATGCACAAAATGGAAAAATCCTGCAGTCGTTTATTTTTCCAGGGATTTTACATGATGAAAAAAAGAAAAAAAGTGGATAAAAAAAGTTAATGCAAGTTTGAAATGCGTTTTTGGACAACCTCATCTGATTGTCCCTGTGCAACTTCTCTGTGATAAAATCCATTTGTTATTGGGAGACCCCGTCAGACCCGACATCGAGACCCGACATTGTCACCCACGGCGTTCGGCTCCAGTCAAATGAAGCTCAGTGAGGCCTGCAGTTACAGGAGCGGTTTTAGAGTTCTGTATTAGGAACAGAAATTGATTTAAGGATGAAATAGCGAAATAAAAAAAACACAAAAAACGCTCAACATGATCCTGGGGTTAATACGAACATTTTAAGACCAAAATGACGAGGCTCGCAGCAGCTTTTAGAGAGAGAGGAGACACTTTTTCAATCGTCTCTACTCACGTTTAATTCACAAACCAGGACAACGTTTGGAAACATGCGATGAAACTTCCTTTGGGCTCTGTTCATGGTCGTAAGTTTGACAAAATGTAAGAAAAAAAGCAAAAATGTCCCAGTTTTCTTGGTCCGTGTACAATTCGTTATTTTGAATTTCAATTAAGAAAATAAGAAAACAAAAAATAAAATGAGTTTGTCATTAAATTTTTCCGTTTTAGTGTCAAACAAAAAACTGATTTTGACCTCTATTTCCAATATTTAATTTAAAGTTTATTTCAGATAACACCAATCAAAAAACATTGTCATCGTGCCGATTTTAATTTTGATATTTTATTCTATCTGGTTTTTCTTGTTTGTTTGTTTTTTTTCTTGTCATGGAGTTCAACAATTCAATTATTTTCTAAGACGTCAAAGTAAACGTGTCACTATAAAAAAAGACATGTTTGTCCACAACATTGCAAACTTTTTTTTTTCTGAAGTTCTTCTAACAGCAGTAAAAACTGATTCCTGAGTCAGTTTCACTTGGTGGAAACCGTGTGACCTGCAGCATTAGGATTCGTTCACTCGACAGGAGACGGGAACTTTTTTTTATTGAACCAGTCGCTGCTGTTTGGTCGTGACGTTTGTAAAGCTCCAAATCCTGTAGGAAGAACAATAATGACTTTCCCCGAGATCAAATTCACCAAACATTCTCTTTGTTTGGCTTTAAATCCTCGATCTGGGGAATCGTCGCCAACGCAGAATGTCTGTCTCTTCTCTGATTGGCTGGAGCCCGAACTCACACTTCTGGAGTTTTTGTGAACCGTCTAGTGTTTTCTGATTCTTGACCTAAACGCTGGAGAGAAATGAAATTACAGCAGAACTTCTGGGGCAAATAAACCAGAGAGAATAAAATATCAAAACTGAAATAGGCACAGAGACCATTTCACATAACATTAATCAAAAACAAACTCGGAAATCGAGGTCGAAATTTGTTTTGTTTGGCACCAAAACTATTTTCCCATTTTATTGATTTCGTAATCAATTGAAATTCAAAAGAACAAATGATACACAGACTTTTCTCCGTCTCCGTGTCTTTGTGTCGTTCTGTTCTGTTCAGCTCATCAAGCTGAGCTCCGACCACACCTCAGTTCATCGTTTCCCCGCTGACGCAAAACTCCGACCGCACTGGGAACACGCGATTAGAAGAGACGAGATGACGAACCCCACGAACGTCTGCGGGCTTCGTTTTTACCGCTGAGCACGTTCACTTCAGTCGGTCGAGCCCAGAATTGGGAAATACACCAGAAGTTTTCACCGCATGTTCCCAAACGTAAATAGAGAGTTTTAGAATGCAAATTTGAGTTGATGGAGCCGTGAAGTGTGAACTCTACGAAGAAATAGATACTTATTTAAACTTAAAGCGACTAAAATCTACTTTGTGCACGTTAATCGAGAACAAAAATGTCCAAATAAACCAAAAATAACCAATAAATAACTAGACTAGAGGAGGAATGAATGCATTTAGGAACTATAATGAGAAAATTGTTCTGTAAATGTGAATATCTGGGTCATGATGGGTCTATGTTTTTGTTTTTAATCGTTAATTAAAATGCGAGATCTGAAGGGGTCCCGGTAAAAAAAACGACATGTTCTCCGTGCGTCTGCTTTTGCCGTCGTTTTGCCGTCGCTGATCGTCCGCTAGGGGCAGGCCGTTACTATCGAAGTTACGTGACAGAAATGCGTTTTATTCACTGCAAGTTCAAACTCCACACGTGTAGAAGTCTCCACCTGTAAACACTTAAAACATCTGGAACTAAAACTGTCCTGTGTGTTATTTAAACCCCCAAGCATAAAAATCACCACAGCATTAAAAATTCAAAATAAAAAAACAAACAAAAAACATCTTGAAATCCGTCCGTAGTTTTCCTGTTTGGTTTTACCTATAGAGCTATGAGCTGTAGTGGAGTTTTAAGAGTTCACTGGCGGTAAAATGGCGGCGTCTCGTTGGTTTTTTCGACCACAGCAGCAGTGTCCAGTGTCCGGCCCAGACTTCAGTGAAAAGTCCAGAGGCTTCACCGAAACATGCGTCTGTTCTTCAGCGTCGGCCGTTTTAGGAGCTCACCAGCACGTAGATCATTCTGAGAGACCGGACAGAGGAGATTTACAAGATTTATGCGCAATAAAAAACAAAATGTTAACATTTCTAACAACATCTCTCCTTTTATCACCAACATTTAAATTCAAAAATTCAAGGTTAGAGAAAAAAATAAGTTATAGTCTGCAATGAGAAGAATAAAACATTGTCAAAGTGAAACGATTGCACCATAAAAGGAAACACAAGTCGACATTTTGATCCACTGTTGCATAATGTCATTGTGTCCTTGTGCAAGACACTTCACTCTGTTTGAGCAGATGTGTGTGTGTGTGTATTTGGGGTGGAACATGATTAAAAAAATATCTAATTAGAGGCTTTGTAATTAATTTCAGTCTTCTTGCCCAAAAGCAAAATTTAATTTATGTAAATGAATTTTAGTGAACGACTTCATCAAATTAAACACAGACACTTTTAAAAACTCAGGCTCATTTTGTGTCTGGAAAAATGTCTTGGAAAAAATAAACTTGCATTTCATTTCAAAATAGTCGACAAAGGTAAAGTCCCTGTCTGAAACTGAAGAGACTAAAGTTAAGTTTCTGTTCTCGCCGTCACGTGTTTTGTATTTTAAATGTTCTCGTCGGGTTGAGGAGCTTCTGTGATGTTTAAACTCTTTTCTGCACAGTTTGAAATAAACGACGCCTTTGTTAATACTTCGATTGAGTTGTTTTTTTGTTTTTTTTAAATCCAGGGTTTCTCCAGGTTTGACTAGCCCAGATTTAAGACTTTTTAAAGACCGTTTTAAGACCACTTAAATGAAAATTAAGACCAACATCTCACCCATTAAGCAGGCGAAAAACACCAACTCTAATTCTAATAATGACCAAACAAGTACAGAACTACATCTAGAATCTAAGAGCCACTGTGGATGAAACCGACACTTCCTCATGAAACATCCAACAACTTCCTCCACTCTGATTGTTTGCGCAAACTCAAAATTAGATCATTAGTTCATTCACGTTAAATGATTTCACATTGTTGTTTTTTTTCTCCCTCTGTTTAACATCACACTGCAGCCTGGTTGAGTTTACAAAAAAACAGGCAAATGAAATTTAAGACCTTTTTGAACAAAACTGAAATATAATTTGAGACTTTTTAAAGGCCTTAATTTAGGAACATGCAATCTAACGGTTGTACGGAGGATTTTTTTGGTTTCAAATTGTCAATGAAAGTTTAAACACAGCAGCCTTGTAATTAAGATGACCAAAAAAAAAAAAGAAAATCTATCAACTGTGGACGAAGTGAGGCCAGATAAACATCAGTCAATAGATACTGAGGCTCCCTCATTTTCTATTGGCTGTTGAGTTGTCAATCAAACTCCCTACTACACGTTTCTAGTGTAACTGACTCTCCGACGCGCGGGGATTATGTGGTTTATGCAGCGGTTCTTAGAGGCTTTTTCAAACTGTCGCTTCCTCGCAGTTCGCACAAAGTTTGTTGCGATGTCGGACGAGAACCAGTTCGCCGCAAAAGAAAGTCGGTTTTTGAGGTCGCTGAAAGAAGAAGAGAAGGGGAAAAGGAGCAAAGACAAACTGAGGTGATTCTTGGAGATTCCTTCCAGCGATGAAGCAGACGAAGTGTCTAAAAACTGATACATCGGTCGCTAAATTACTTCTAGAAAGGTCACTTCAACAGTAATTCTGAACGCACACTGGATGTAAACAAGTGTGATTTCTAGAGTAAAGAGGCGGGAGGAGGTGATGTTTCTACTGAGGCTGTGGAGGAGGACGGTGGTGTCACGCATGCACATGGACTGTCGCTGTACTTCTCTTCCCTTAAAAAATCCTCTGTACAACCTTTAAAACCTTTTTAAGACTCCGCGGCTGCGCTGTGATAGAAATTTATCGTCCAACAAACCCAGAGCACTTCCCTGCTCCACTGTTGTAGTGGGAGGGTTGTGTGCGTCAGTGTAACAGTCGAACCACGACACTCTGCACTGACAACTCTTAAAAACGTTCTGTGTTGTTTGGCAAACTGCAATAAAATGCGCCACTTCCACATGTTAATGTCTCAGCCCCAATATGTTTATGTTTATGTCTGTCAGTCTGTCCCAGGGCAGCTGTGACTTAAAAATGAATGAATAATGTAGAAAATTGCCTGTAAAAATGTAGTTTGAGCGTCTGAAAATGTAACACAAAAGTAAGATCAATGTTTTAATGATTCTCTATTGGCTTTATCAACATTCTGAGTAAAAACGATGTTTGTGAGTAAAGCGTGTGTGTTGTTCCTCACCCGTAGAGATAGTAGAAGAAGGAGAGGAGGTAGAAGGCGAGTTTGCACCAGCCCTCTTTCTGACAATAGGCCAGAATGTCGGCGTTCATGATGGTGGTCGGGTCGTACAGGCCCGGACAGCTCATGATCGGGCGACTCATATACCTGCAACAACAGACAGGTTAAAGAAACACTGCGGAATATTCCATCAGATCTTCATAATCCTCATTTCTTAAAAAGGTCTTATATGACACAAAACTGACTCCTGTAAACTTTAAGTCATGACCTAATGTTGCTTCCTCCTCACAAACAGATCTGGAGTTGTGTTTTGTTTCATTCACACTTTGTTATGAGTCCGTTTACCAGAGCTGGGACCAAGTCTTCGTTTTGCGAGTCTCAAGTCTTTGACCTCAAGTCTGAGTCAAGTCCCAAGTCAAACACAGGCGAGTCCAAGTCGAGTCTCGAGTCACTGGGCCATAAATCCAAGTCAAGTCCAAGTCGTCTGCTTTGAGCTTCAAGTCATTTCAAGTCTTTAAACCAAAAAACTACCAAATACAGTTTAGATTTTTGCAATTTATATGAATTTTAAGATAATTTGTATTAAAAAAAATATATAGTATATTTATATTTGAGAATTTCTACAACTCTTATATACTCTATAAATAAATGTAGTTAATTTTTCCTTTTTAAAAGTCTTGACAAGATCTTAGTGTGAATCATTACGGTCAGAATAGAAACAATTCAGATTTAAAAGTGCTTCTCAAGTCCAAGTCGAGTCCCAAGTCAAATCTCAAGTCCTAAAAATAGTGACTCAAGTCCCACCTCTGCTGTCGAAATGTCCAAAGCTCAAAATGCTCTGGTCCACCTTGTGATGTCATGAAGAGGTAGTTTTCAAATGTATCTAAATTTGACCTTTAGTTCAGTAGAGATCAGCAGATCCAGGGCTGAAATCATCCAAATGATTCTAGTGAAGGTGGGTGGAGTAAATAAAAAAAAAAAAACAAAAAAAAACAGTGGAGCACTTCCTGTATTGCCACATGAAATCACAAGGTGGAACAGAAAACTTGGCCTAAAAATGTAGAATGTGGAGTTAAATTTGAGTGAAACAGAACACAGCTCCAGGTCTGTTTGTGACGAAGAAACATTAAATCAGAAAATCGTCCAATATCGGCCCTTTAACAAACACATTTTATTATCATCTTTCATAGCCACAAAGTCTTTTTTTTTTGTTCAAATTTAAAAGTTAATATAAAGAAAAATTCCGCACACCGTCCTACTTGCAAAATGTGAAATTTATTGGGCTGTTTTCCTGATGTCTGATGAAGGCCTAGAGCCAAAACGTTGAAATTAATGTCCATTGTCTAAATAAATCTCACATTTTACAGTAAAACAGTGTGCGGGATTTTTCTGTTCTCTCAAATGCAAAAATAAATTAAAAATTAATCAAATTAACGATTAAATATAAAAAATAAAAATATATATAATAATAAAAAAAAAATATATATATATATATATATATAATATAATATAATATAATATAATAAAATAAAAAATAAAATACAATTCTGATTCCTTATGCTTTCCCCTTTCCAGAGATTCCTTCATTTTTGATATCAGACCAGTCGTTGCTAAGTAAATGCAATTTGAAATTCTGCGACCACACAAAAAAGTAAAAAAAATTAAATTGATTGGACCAACAGTTTCCAAGACATCGCAAACTAAAATTTGAGATTTTGGCTTTCTTGGCTCCAATTTACCCATACACCAATTTTCTTTGCAACTGGAGAATGTGAGGGTTCAAACTGCATTTGTTTTTTTGTATGAATTGAGGTGAATGACCCAGTATCAAACTACAAACATGTTTATTTTGGGTTTTTTTAAGAACAGCAGACGCACCTCCAGACGTGGTAGGCCAGCAAGGGCAGGTTGAGGCAGAGCGTGAGCCACTCGGCCGCACAGAAAAACATGACACAGAAGAAGAAGTGGATCAGGTACTCGGGAAGCACCAACTGCCAACGACAGAGAAACACAGACAGGTAACGCGGCGTGATGAGACAAGCTGCGTCAGAACTACCCACTGGAAAGAACAGTCATAATGAAGCACAAATAAAAGTAGATCAACAGGTAAAAATGATCTTCAAACAGATATAATATGAGCAAAGTGAAATTACTGCTTAGCTTTGTGTGACGTCGTAAAATTCAAAGTGTGGTGCACAGAACCAGCCGTGTGGCATCAGCACTGGGATTTAAACACACTTTAAATCTGATTATTCAAACATTTCTGGAGTTAAAACATTATTAAAATGACACACAAGCAGCAGAAGCTCTGGATTTCTTTCTGGTCCTGGTCTGGTTTCATGGTCCCTCCTCTGATCACCATGACTCATAACAGATTTTGTGGTTTTCATGTCATTTAAATAATCTTAAAGCATCCAGAAATCAGATTATAATCAGATTTCAGTGTGCGTGTGAAGGCCAGGGGGGTTAAACAGGGTGAAAATTTTACATCTTTCCACTTGTATCCGGAAAAAACATGAATTATTGTGTGTTTAGAGGACAGGAATTGGTCAAACTAAACAAAAATCTGCACCTTCCAACTTATTTTACTGTGGCCAGGGGCTTTTGAACGTCAGCACTGTCACTGATCCACAGATGTAAGATTTTGGTTGATAAACTTGGTGTGAAAAGACAATTCACTGGACGACGGCCCAAAACACCTCGTCATATTTTTCAAAGCTGTTCTGTTCTTACTTTAAATGATAAAAAACAACTAAAAAACTCATTTGGATCATTCACCACAGACATTTGTGCTTAAGAGAGACTAATAAGAATTATCAAAAAGGTGCACGATGCAACTTTTTCGTTGGGCGTCCGTCAGTTGCTTTTCGTTTCTATGGATACGTCATTGCTCTGTCTGGAATGTTCCACAGTGTGACATTAAACAGCTCGACTTTACATTTATTCAATCACAGGTGGTTTTACAGCCACGGTTCCCACTTTTCCATGACTTTTTCATGAACTTAAAGTGAATTTTCCATGACTTTCCAGCACCTACACGTGTAGAACTGATCAGACTTTTAGTTCTAAATCTGAAATGTTTAACTCTTTCCACTCACCTTATGGTTTGGGTTTATAGTTTTTGAACATTCTAAATCCTGTCAGTGCATTTATTGTCGTCTCTTTTTAACAAAAGACGCAGACGTTCAGAAATAATCAGAATAACCTCATGAGAACTTAACAGAACGCTGGAGGTGTGTGAAAGATTTTCCATGACTTTTCAAGGCCTGGAAAATTACATTTTAAATTTACATGGCTTTTCAAGGATTTCCATGACTGTGGGAACTCTGTAAAGCTCAAAAATCAGGCGTTCTGACTGTGGGCGGGGTCACCTCTCCACACATCTGACCTGTAAATTGGTCACTTGGTCTGGTTTGGTCTCCATGGTGATAGAAAGGTTTAATGCCACACTGCGGAACATTCCAGACAAAGCAATAAGATCTCCATGGAGAAAAGCGTTTGACAAAAGCTCCACCAGAAAAGTTACACGATGCAGCTTGAAATCCAACGTAGCAGTGGATCCTGGGGACGGGCATTCAATTAAATTTTATCAAATCGATCGAGAATTAACAATTGATTTTCGATTAATCATCGACATTTTTATATTAAAATTATCATCATTATTTCTATCTGCACTAATCTGCATTAATAAACTCAACTTTACAACATATAAACATAACGACTCTAGAGCCACATCAGCTGTTTGACATTTTGTGTTTGATGCAGATTTGTGCAAATCTCATAGAAACAAAACTTAAAACCACATGACTCATTTGCATAAACTAAGCGTAGAAAAAAAACTCTTGTGTCGCTGAGGTGGTTCAACTTCTGTCGGACTAAAGGACACGACTCAGTGGAATACAGCTACAGAAGCCGAGAAGGGTCACAACAAACGCAAACGCCGCAACAAATACGACAACACAACAAAAAGCCACAACAAACCAAAAAAAGCCACAACAGAAATGACCGCGGGACTCTATTTTCCGACGGACCGATTGAGCGGCAAGTGAAGAAAAAGAAGAACTACAACGTGAAAAGTAAAGGAACAGAGAAGTTGGAAATGTAAGTAAAAGTAATTTATTGTTTTATCATTATTCGTTTCATGTTGTAGTTCTTCTTCACTTGCCGCTTGATCGGTCCGTAAAAAAATAGAGTCACGCGGTCACTTCCGTTGTGGCTTTTTAACGTGCTGTGGCTTTTGCGTTTGTGTTGTGGTGTTTGTATTTGTTGCGGCGTTTGCATTAAAATAGAGTCCTGCGGTCATTTCCGTTGTGGCTTTTTTTTTGGTTTGTTGTGACTTTTTGTTGTGTTGTCGCATTTGTATTTGTTGCGGCGTTTGCGTTTGTTGTGACCCTCTCGGCTTCCGTACACAGCCGCTACACACAGCAACTTACATTCAGTTTGTCAATTGAAAATTAACCTAAATCGACAAAATTCTTAATCATCAATTATCGATTAATCGACTAATCATGCCCATCCCTAGTGGATCCCTTCTGCTACAACATAATACTTTTGCAAAACAAATATTTATCATTTTTTCATTTATATTAGTCGTAGTTTTGGCAGTTTCAGAAACTGATACCAGGTTTTTAAGCTTCCAACAACTCAATTACCAAAAATTTTTTAGCTGCACCTTCACACCAGAGCTACTAACTCCCTCAGCCGTCTTAGTTTGAGAGGTTTTAATAATGTTTGGGGATTTTTGCTATAGAAAAGTGCTCGTCTGTTTATCCAGGCTTGAAACTGGTCCAAGGTTTGACAAAAATAAAAATAAACATGAATGGTGCATTAATACAAGTGCAAGTGGACTCAAATTTCCACCCTTTTAGTTTTCACTCATTCATGCAGATTATTTCGACGTCATTTGTTAAACGAAGCTTCACATCGTCATTTCATCGTTTCATTCCCTCCACAGAAACAGACCGGGTGAGACTGGAGCAGGGGCCATGCTGTGAGCAGAAAGAAGCAGATTTTTTAAAACAGGGGCAGATGGGAGCACCACGAGGAAGCCATGCACCAGAGGAGAGGGGCAAACAACCACCGGCCCGGAGAAGGACGTGTGAGGTGTTCAGGGACACTGGGAGAATCCTGCACTGTGCTGCCAAATACAAGACAACAGGCTTCTACAGCTCTGGAGTATGTTTCATTTATGATTATAGATTTGAGAATGGAGTAACTGAGGAGAGTAAAAAGGATCATATTGTTGTTTTGTCGGGGAAAACCTGGACCAAAGCTACTCGTCTAATTTAATGGGTTTTAATTGTTTAATTTGATTCGTTTTTTATTTAGAGTTTTTGCCAAGAGAGAAACAATAATCATCCACATTCTACATATACTGTACATCAGACATGTCAAACTCAGGCCCACGGACCAAATTTGGACTGCGATACAATTATATTTATAATATGTAAGGATGTAACAATAACCAAAATATGGTAATGTCATTCCCACAATAATATCGTGGACCATCACAATATATATGGAATCACAAGTGTCTTTACTTAAATGAAGAGTTCTGGTGCAGCAACAGCTAAAAAACACAGAGGGAACTACATAGACCATGATCCTTTGCTCCATTTCAGTGCAGACGACAAGAAGAAATAACAGTTCGAACACTTTTACCTCTTAGTTCTTTGGATTAAGTTTTGTCAAGTCATTTTAAGAGGAAAAAGTCGCATATCCAATTTTATTAACCTTCATAAATGCAATAAATATCGTACCAAGAGATTTGGATATTGTTACATCCCAAATCATGAGTCTCCCCTTGTGATCTTTCCCACAATATCACAATAAATATCGTAGCGTGAGGTTCATACTGTGACGAGATCGTATCGTAACACTTGGATATTGTTACACATCTACAAATCTGTATTAGAGCTGCCCACCGGCTACAAAGGCGATACAGACTTCATTTAAAATGTTATTATTTTATATTACGCTTGTTCCGGATTCAATGTTTAAGCAAAACTATTATTAAACATTAATTTTAATAAGAAAAGGTTTAACATTCCATATTATTCCATATTGATATTCCATATGAAGAAGAGAAAACATGCAGATGTTGTTGAAATTTTTCAATAAATATTTTGTTTGGCCCACGACTTTGTCCCAGTTTTTAATTTTGGCTTCTGTGAATTTGAGTTTGACTCTCCTGCTGTACATTATAAACAACAGAAAAGCACATTTCTCGAAGAGGAGTGGGAAGAAAAAACTTAAAGAACCCACCCCTGTTCATGACAAAGTTTTATAAATTATGTGGTTTCTTATTTACATTGATCACAAAACTTTACAAATATTTAAATATAGTAAAATAAATGTTATACTATGGTCGTACAAACTAATAATAATGATAAAGACAACACAGAAGTTTAAGAAAATTGTAACTTTTTCACTTGTCTCTGTGGTTTTTGCTTTTCTTGACTTCCGTAGTGTGACATTAAACCAATCCGTCTTATTTTTACTCTTTTTTAAAACAAATTCTCCACAGATCGAACATGTAACTCGGCCTGTTCGTGCTCCTTGCCTTACTTGTCTCCATGGAGATAAGAAATGCTATACTGTGGAACATTTCCAGCACTAACAGCTCTAAGGAAGTGGCAGATCCTTCACCAGAAAAGTTACTTGCGTAATTTTAACCCACGGATCATAAAACGTTATTGTTTAGAAGTATGACGCAAATAATTATGATTGCGTTTTTTATTATATTTGTCTAAACTGGCTCCTCCCACTACAGAAACCATCGGCCAATCAGAGCGCTCCAAATGATGCTGATTTGGGGCGAGTTGGATTCGGGGCCATCTGTCTGACCGCAGGTGAGTGAGCGCCAACTGTGAGATCATTTACAGCAAAACTCTGTAATTATTAAACCGACTGCAGCTCAAAGACGCAGTGACTGAGACAAGAGGATTTAAATCTCTTTGTACAAATAAAAACAGGTTTGGAAAAGGTCAGAAAAAGAGTAAACACTTCAGATTAATTGAAATGACTCAGTTTTGGTTTAAATTTACGATCAAGGAATTGTCACGTGATTTCTGAATTACAAATATGAGATTTTTACTTTTATTTTACAAGGACAAACGACAGGAGGAGCTGAATAATTGCCATTTTAATTTAATTGTAATTAAGAGTTGGAACAAATGTTTAAATTTTAAGTAGGGCTGAGCAAAACATGTATTAAAAATCACTTGATCAAAGTTTAAAAGCTGCACTGTGTAACTTTTTTGTTGTGAGTCCGTCACCCGCTTGTTTCTATGGAGGCATCTGTGCTCTGCCTGGAATGTCCCACAGTGACTTTAAACAGCTTTACTTTACATTTTAGTCGGGGAGCCAAAGTCTGCCATACTTTTTATTTGTTTTTTTTTCTTCACTCTGACCCTAAGGACCAACTCTGCTCTGCCGGAAATATTGCGAAAAAAACTGTGGCCATTTTAGTGTATGTAACCTTCATATTATTATTATTTATTTTTAATTTATTTATTTAGGTTGGATTTTTATAATTTTTTCTGTGGAATGACTATACTGTTTGGTGAAAAGAATGGCATATTGGCTGATGTCAAAACTTGGGGAATAGTTGATTGCCAATGAGGTAAATATGAAAATATTTTTTAAAAAGTGAAAAAAAAAACAACATATTTTTTCGCCTTAAATTGAGCCAAAATCATGTAAAAATGTGTTTTAAGAATAATTTTTTCACTGAATGTTGTCACCACATGTGTTCTTTGCATCTGGAATGCATTTATTGACAGCTTACCCAACCCACTGAGGAATTTTTTTTACAAACACTAAAATGGCCACAGTTTTTTTTGCAATATTTCCGGCAGAGCAGACCTTCCAATTATTGTTCCTTAGGGTAACAGTGAAAAAAAACAAACAAACAAAAAACACAGATAAAAAGTGTGGCAGACGATGTCAGGTTCAACCCATTTTCTTGAACTTTTGAGTCTTTGGCTCCCCGACTATTTATTCAATTACAGGTCGTTTTATCGCTCAAAGATTCCTAGAAAAACAGGCACTGTGACTGAGCAGGGTCGCCCCTCCACAGATCTGACCTGTAACTTGGTCTTGTTTAGTCTCTGTGAAGCTAGAAAGGTTTAATGCCTTACTGTGGAACATTCCAGACAACGCAATAACATCTCCATGGAGTTAAACTATGGACTTTTAATTTAATATCACTTTACGTGGAAGAAAAATAAAGGTTTTACATTTGATTTAAGTCAAAATCTCTGATCCGTAATTTTTAAAATCTTATGTATTTTGTAGGTTCAGTCTAAAATACCTGAAATCTGAAGTTTTCCATCTAAAATTGTATTAAAAATGAGCGTTCTTCCCTGACATGTAAACTTTGTGAACCTGTCTTGTTTGATGGAACATAGGGAATCATTGTTTTGGTAGCTCTATGCAAACAGAGGGTAGGTTGTAATAATCATGCAAGTTTTGAGCATTTGCAAGTCTTTTCAGTTAACAGCTAAAACTTATGAGATTATAACTTCTAATTTTTATATAATGGCCTGTAAAATGCTTAAAACAGAACTTACTCTGTATTCAAACTACTGTATAATTGAAAAGTATTAACCCCACTAAGTACAATCTCTAGACAAATTATAAGTAAATACTGCTCTAAATATAAAAATATAAATGAACAAAACAGTAAATTAACTCACAGAAAGTGCAGGTTACAAGTGCAATAGTACAGAACTCAACAGAGCTCATGAAAAAAAAGAGTTATGGTAAAAACAGGTGGTTAATCCTGACCCAGACCCCCAGGTTAACCCGCTAAAAGATTAGTTAACTGAAAGGACAATTGCAAACACTGCTTCGTGCAAAAATGACAAAACTGCAGACTGAATTGACTTGAGCGGGCATTTTAAAGACTGGTACAAACCTTTATTGCAATTTTGACTCTTTTAATCTTTTTGACCCTTTCAACTGTCTTTTTGCCGTTAACAAAGTGTAAAAAAAGCAGATCAGGGAAGAACAAAGCAAAGGCGTTAGAGAGTTTCACAGCTGACACAAATCGGCAATCAAGTACAGGCAGGTTATTTAGCAAAACAGTGCAGAAAATGATTGAAAAAGTATGTGGAATATCAAGAAATCAAGTTAAAGAGAGAGCAAATCTGCATGCTGTCAGGAGGGCAGAGCCAGAGGGGTGGGCGACACGGGGACTTACCGGATTTAACGTGTTACACTGATCTATAGGATTCTTGTAATCAGTCTTCAGCTCATCAAACGCAATAATCTGGAAAGACGTACATAAAATACAGCGTCTTGAGTTCAGGAAGACAAACAAACACAACTACAACTACAACAGACTATGTGCATGCTAAGTGAAACATATTTTTTCTATAAACATTGACAATTTGGTGTGTTTCTTATGACAGTTATTATATTTGGATTACAGTAATGGTTGGAGAGAATAGGTTTATTAATCCTTATACATGAATATTGTCAGTGAAGAGAGTTTAATTGAAACTGTACGCCAAAATGTTCCAATTTTGCCATTGTGTAATAAGAAATTACGCCAATAAATGCTTTTGTTTTTATTGTCAGTGTTTCTGTTGACGCAAATTAATGCACAAGATTTTACCCTGGAGACTAATATTTCTAATTTTTAAACATTTTTTCTATAAACACTGACAATTTGGTAACCGTTATTATGTCTGGATAACAGTAATTGTTGAAGAGAATAGGTTTATTAATCCTTATACATGAATATTGTCAGTGAAGAGAGTTTAATTGAAACTGTACGCCAAAATGTTCCAGTTTCGGACATTTTAAGGATGCCATTGTGTAATAAGAAATGACGCAAACAAATGTTTTTGTTGATGCAAATCGACACGCAAGATTTTACGCAAAAGAGCCTCATTTTAATAAACAAATGCGCGCTGAGAAGGAGAGGAGGCGGCTGCAGCTGACACGAGAAGCTTTAGATCCGTTAGCATTTCGAGCTAACTAGCCGCTAACCCGTAGCTACACAACAAACCTCCGCTGACAGGCCTTACGTGTACAGGAAACCGCTCGGCACTACGATAAACGGCGTTAATTAGCGGTTAATCGGGGTTATTTAATCGGTGTTAATTAAACGGAGCAGATATTTTAATTGTTGTGGTTTAGCTCGTGCGGCTAACGGGCTAACGGGCTAACAGCAGGGTGTGTGCCATTCATTTGTACGGCCGCCGAGTAGCACGGTTCTAGAACACTTTTCTCCGCTACGTCAACGGTCACGTACGGCGGGATTGGAACACCGGACACACCGAACTCCGAACTCCCAAGGTTTCCTCCGCGAAAAATGTCACACGGTCGTCGCGGCTCGGGGACATTCAGCTCCCCTCCGCGGTGCCACAAACGTCCCCGCTTTTACTTACGTGCCAAATAGCGAAAAATATAAGCGCCGCCGTGAGCAGGAGCGCGAGCATGTAGCAAAAGGCCGCGAATGTGAACGCCATGTTGTTGTCCCCCCGGTGCCGTGTGGGTTCTGTCGGTTCTGTCGGTTCCGTGTGGGTTCTGGGCTCGGGTTCTTCGGTTTGTTGTAGCGGGAGGAGGATCGGCCGATGCGGGCACAAACTGCACACACGCTTCTGATTTGAGGTTTGTCGCTTCTGTGCTCTTCTTTATTCGGCTCCGAACCGCCGGCTCCGCGCTTTTACCGCCATCTCCTGGAAACGCGGCGCCGTCACAATGCGCCAGAGTCCAGCGGTGATGAGGCAGGAAGAGAAAGAGACGGTTTATTTTATTTTTTATTCCGCTGTAAATATAGAATTATAAATAATCTTAAAGAACAGCTCTAAATCAGGACTAAACCAGGATTTAACCTGGATTAAACTAGGATTTAACCAGGACTAAACCAGATCGAAAATCAGGTCTAAACCAGCACTAAAACAAACATAAACCAGGACTTAAACAGGACTAAACCCGGACTAAAACCAATACTAAAACCAGGACTAAAACAGGTCTAAAACAGGATTTAACCAAGACTACACCAGGACTAAATCAGAACTAAAACCAGAACGAAAAATAGGACTAAACCAGGTTTAAACCAGGTCTAAAACCAGGACTAAACCAGGTCTAAACCAAAACTAAAACCAGGACTAAACCAGAACGAAAAATAGGTCTAAACCAGGAATAAACCAGGTCTAAAACCAGGACTAAACCAGGTCTAAACCAAAACTAAAACCAGGACTAAACCAGAACCAAAACCAGAACTAAAACCAGAATTAAAACCAGGACTAAACCTGGACTAAACCCGGACTAAACCAGGACTAAACCTGGACTAAACCCGTACTAAACCAGGACTAAACCAGGTCTAAACCAGAACTAAAACCAGGACTAAAACCAGGACTAAAACAGGTCTAAACCAGGTCTAAAACCAAGACTAAACCAGAACTTAAACCAGGACTAAACCAGAACTTAAACCAGGACTAAACCAGAACTATAACCAGGACTAAACCATGCTGTGCCACCACAGTCCCCAGTCCTCGAAATATTGTCGGACATAAAACCAGCCCATGGAGCTAAAAAGGTTGAGGACGACTGATCTAAGATGTCCCCTGAGATTGTTTTTTTTTTTTTAATTTCTCAGATTTTTCTCAAAATGAAACTCATTTTTATTTTTATATAAACTACATTACACCTGTAGTGACCTGCTGCTGGAGAATGGCGCAATCAATGCCGCACTTAACCCAAAATTATGTCCCGGCGTGTTTACAAATGAGTAGCACCCAGGTAGACGAGTAGATTTTTGACAGATTAGGTAGTTTACTGACATTGTGTTCTTGAGCAAGACACAATAAATCCACAGACTTATTAAGAACAACACTGTCTTTTATTTGGACACAGGGACAAGAGACACTTCGGATGTATGGAAAAGTACAAACAGGTTCCACCGGTGCCAAACGACAGCTGTTATGGTACAATGTTTGAGGAGTTTTTGTATTAAAAGAAAGAAAATGACGACATTTTACCGTATTGGACAAAAGCAGAACAGTTTTACAGTGAGTTGGCGAGTGAAAAAAAAACATTATTACAGTAGAAAAATGCTTAAAGATCCACAGGACAACGACCAAAAATATGGCTCCCAAATGAAAATATCTTCGTGTAGTTTCAGTCATACTCGCGTTTTACAGAAGGTCACGACTTTTACCATGTTTTTACCGTTTTATTATCGCTCATAGTGCAGGTTTTTCAAGTCCAAAGTGAGACAAAACAGACAAGAGTTTACATGTTCGTCGTCATGGAGATGTTACTGCGTTTTCTAGAATGTTCGACGGTAAAAATTAAACCGTTTTATTTCAGGAGAGACATTTGTAGGCGACGTTAGAGGTCAGATCTGTGGAGAGGCGAGCCTATTCTCAGAGAAAATTGTTGTATTTTTGTGGAAAAGAAACACCTGAAATGAACAAATTACCACGGAACATTCTGGACAATAAAGCAAAAGCAATAAGATCTCCATGGAGACGAGCAGGTGATGGAGCCTCCACCAGAAAAGTTACGCAATGCACATTTACCTCAACTACAAGTAAATTTAAAAGGTGCATTCTGGAACTTTTCTGGTCTGTCTGAGGGTCCGTCACCTGCCTGTCGTCATGGAGATGTTATTGCTTTGTCTAGAATGTTCCACAGTACAGATTAAATCATTTTATTTCAAGAGAGACATTTGTAGGCGACGTTAGAAGTCAGATCTGTGGAGAGGCGAGCCTATTCCCAGACAGAATTGTTGTATTTTTGTTCATATTTGTTTGTATTATAACATCTCCATGGAGACCACCAGAAAAGTTACGCGATGCACCTTTAAACTGACCTGTAGTTGAGGTAATCAATCAAGTAATCGATTTAAATTCACAATTAATAAAATGTAAAAAGGTTCCTTGTCATAATCTGAGTAAAGTTGAAGACAGGAGCAAAACCAGTAAAAATAATAAAAGTTATTTCTATTTATTTAAACTTCATTCACTCCCGACATTTAAATCCAGACCCCATTACTTTTTATTTAAATTAACCGACCCCGATTAATGTGCTAATGTTTTAGACCCCGTCCTGTTCTGTTTGTTTTTAATCAAAGATACAGAACGTTCTATATCTATGTTTTTTAATTATTTGTCTTTATTGTTGTTTGTCCTTTAGGTCCTTTAAATAAAATGCATTATTATTATTTATTGTTACACTGATCAATACAATATTCAGTCTTATTATGTCAAAATAAATATACCGTATTTTCTGCACTATAGGACGCACTTAAAATCCTTTAATTTCATCCAAAAACGAGTGCACGTTCTTATAATCCAGGGCGCCTTATAGTGCAGAAAATACGGTAATCTTACACTGTTCATTTGGAAAATTTACTGTACTTCCTCTGTAAAATTGTACATGGAATTGCTCCTGTCCGCTCCTACAAACTTGGATATGCCGATAAAAACAAATTAAAACCTATAATTTACCAAAACTCGATCCGTAACACTTGAAAACGTTTATTTTTTATCGATTGTGCGTAACGTGACGTAAACCGACGCAGAATGTTAATGCAGTATTGTGCTTGTTATGATAAATCTAACGTCATCTAAAATGGACAACACAGAAAAAAAAAAGGCATAATAAAAAAGTTTGTTAGTCCCTTAAGAAAGTTTTTGTCCCCGTCTTATTTTAACACATTCTCGTTTTGGTCTTAAAGGGTTTTTTTAATTTGAGAAATACAAAACGGATCAAACGTGTGAAGAAAAGGCATCGATTTTCAGTTTCAAGTTCTTATCAGCATTTATTCAAAAATTCCCATTATTTTCTGTTTTAGTCACAAAATTTCAAGCACATTTAAAATCCGTGTGTCGTTCGGTCATTTGTTTTTCAAAAATAAAATGATTTCATTATTTGTCTCCAAAATCAAAATGAAAAAACAGATGATTTGTTTTTTCAGTTTTGTGTTTAAATGAAAAATGGAAAAAACAGATAACGGACTGAACCAGGACTAAAGACTGGGACTGAGGCCAGGACCAAACCAGAACCAGACCGTGATTGAGACTGGGACTGAGACCGGGACCAGACCAGGACTGAGGTCGGGACCAGACCAGGTCCAGACTGAGAACAGACTGGGACTGAGACCGGGACCAGACCAGGACTAGACGGTGATTGAGACCGGGACTGAGGCTGGGACCAGACCAGGACCAAACCAGGTCCAGACTGTGAACAGACCAGGACTGAGCCCAGGACTGAGCCCAGGACCAGACCAGGACTGAAAACGGTTAAGTCCTGTTTTAGTCCTGGTTCAGTCTGGCATTGCAGTTTAAGTCACAGAACCAGAACCGGCTGTTCTCCGTTTTTTCCATTTTTCATTTAAACACAAAATCAAAAACTGAAAAAACAAATCATTATCTGTTTTTTTTTTTTTTTTTCATTTTGGTTTTGGAGACAAATAATGAAGAAAATCGTTTTTTTTAGTTTTATTTTGAAAAACAAATGAACAAATGACACACAGATTATTTAAACTTACAATTCACGGTTTTCGAGTTATAGCGACCATCCTCCGTCAATCAAGTTTTATTTATATTTTATCCGTTTCTTGTATTCGTTTTAATCCTCCTCAGTAACTACGTTTTGTACAGTTTTGTACGGAAAAATATAAACTATGACGGAAGGAATTGTTGTAATTAACTCAGGCAGTGAAAGTGAAATTTGAGCTTTAATAAACATTCATAAACACTAAAAACATTAAAAGGCTAAAATGCTAAGCTAATAACGCTAGGCTAATAATGCTAGGCTAACGATCTCCCAAATATATCGACGACACGAAAACTGACGAGAAGAGACGAGAGTTTGAGAACTGACTGAGGTTTTGTTGGAATGTTTGACTTTCTGAGGAGTTTGAAGTGAAAACAGAAAAATCTAAAGTTTGTGTTTGAAACATAAAGTAAAAATATTTCTATGGACGATACGGACAAAGAATCTGGGGCAGTTTCAGCCCCGGAGGAAAAAAAGATCAAATTTAACACGAGAACCACAAGAACCGTCACTGTGTGTTTAGACCACGGTTTGGACTTGGTTTAGTCCCTTTATAAGACCGGGTTTAGTTCTGGTTTAGACCCTACATTAGACCTGGCTTAGACCTGGTTAGAGTTCTGCTAGGTACTGATTAGACCTGGCTTAGACCTGGTTTAGTTCTGGTTTGGTTCCTACTTTAAACCTGGTTTAGCTCTAGTTCAGTCCCTAACTTAGACTTGGTTTAGTTCTCGTTTAGTCCCCAATATAGACCTGGCATAGAACGATTGCCAAGATCTCATTTGGTCCTTGGTCTATTCCTGGTTTAGTCACTACATTAGACCTGGTTTAGTCCTGGTTTATTCTCTACTTTAGTCTTGGTTTAGTTCGGGTTTAGTCTCTACTTTAGTTCTGGTTTAGTCCCGATTTAGTTCTGGTTTAGTCCTGACTTTAGACCTGGTTTAGTCCCAACTTTAGACCTGGTTTAGTTCTGGTTTAGTCCCTGGTTTAGTTCTGGTTTAGTCCTGGTTTAGTTCTGGTTCAGTCCTGGTTTAGTCCTGGTTCAGGTCCGGTCTTTGTGCAGTGACAGTTCTGGTAGTTCAGATGTTTCGGGGTCTAAGAAAATTTTCACAATTTCATATTTTAGAAAAGGAATTATTTGACCAGAATTTTAGTAATGAAAAAAAGAAAGAAAACTAAACAAGGACTAACTTAAATTTCAGAAATGTTTCCATAAAATGTCCATATTTCATGACATATTTTAAAAGGAGGTAGATTAAAGATAAAAATTGTCACAGCTATTCTGCGATTCAACCTACGGCGAGTTTTTGGACCCCGTTATCGTTACAGCAAAACCAGAATATAAGTTAATATTCTTCTAATTAAAAGGATTTATAATTCAGTAGATGTTTAACTAGGTCATTAAAATCTAAAAAAAATTATTTGTACAAATAAAAACTGAACAAAACTAAAAATAAACGGTGTAAAACTGAAAAAAACGTGATGAGATTTAAAGGTGTGTGAGAGAGAAAAGGAGAGTCGAGTCTCCACTTCGCTGAGGAACGGGAGTTAGTCACAAACTGGCACACGTGGAAACATCACAAAAACAAACCTGCTTCAAACCTCGTCTTCACATCCAGGCCCCAAACGCTGACGGTCTTTTAAAGCTGCACTGCGGAACTTTTTGCTTGTTTCTATGGAGACGTCACCGCTCCGTTTGGACAGCGTGATGTTAAACAGTAAAGTAAAATACAAGCAGCTGACGGACACTTACTTTTAACCTAAAAAAACTTAAAAAATTGTCCAGTTTGGTAATTTTGTGGGTTTAAGGCCCCGTTTACACGTACATGGGTATTTTTAAAAACGGAGACATTTCCCTTCGTTTGTTCACGTCGTTTACACGCAAACGGAGAATTCGCCTCTGAAAACGAATCTTCCTAAAAACTCCGGCTGGAGTGGAGATTTTGGAAAACTCCGGTTTCACGTTTGCGCGTAAACTGAGATAAACTGAGTTTTAGGAGCCGACGCACCAAAAGTGCGACCGACGTTTACCTGTTGCTATGACGACGATGACGGAGGCATTCAGAGCAGCAGTCGCATTTCTTCTGATTCAGACACTTTGCGTGTGTTTGTGTTCACGTACGCAGCTGATTGATCATGTCGATGAGCAGAGACGAATCAGGGCTCGGAGATCAGCGAGTTTGTCACTTTTCCCTCCTACTCCAAAACCCAGTTGCCGTCGCCGCCAACGTCGCCGGTTTTGGGTCCGACCTGGGCGAACTGCTGTCTGGTGGGATTATTTTTGAAAACTAAGTTGTTGTCCCGGGAGAGCGGCGTGAGAATTTTAGGACGTCGCGGTCGTCACTGCTGTTACTTTTCGACTTGCTGCGTCTTTACATCGAGGGTGAGATGACGTGTTTATCTGGGTTGATGTAAACGGAAACTTTTTTTAAAAACGATGTTATTTTGGAAAACGGAGGGAGGGAAATATTCGTTTCTCAAAATACCCGGATACGTGTAAATGTAGCCTGAAATTAGATTAAATTATCACACTAGAAAATTCTGTAACTGTTACCAAGCAACTGTAAGTTATCTGGAGCCAAAACTCCTCCAACGTGCACAGAGATGAATATTTGAAAAAAAAAAAACAACTTTATTTTTGCTTAAAACTGCACTTTGTAACTTTTGGGGGGTCTGTCAGCTGCTTGTTTCTATGGATACGTCACTGCTCTGTCTGGAATGTTCCACAGTGTGACGTTAAACAGCTCGACTTTACATTTATTCAATCACAGGTGGTTTTATTTACAGCTCAAAAACGTCGACAAAAACAGACGTCGTGACTGTGAGCGGGAGTCGCCTCTCCACAGATCTGACCTGGAACTTCTTGGTCGTCTGGTTTGGTCTCCGTGACGACAGAAAAGTTTAATTCCATCTTTTAAACCACTTCTTAGCTGGTTTTAACTTGATTTTGTTCCTTATTTCTTTTTATTTATTCAATTTTATGAACTTATTTCTTATAATTAATTGAATTGTTTGAGTCATTGTCTGATTTTGTTCTTTCTGGATGTTGTTTTTATTTTTCTTTGTGGCTTGTACAGCACCTTGTAAACCTTGTTTTTAGAAATAAAGATGGATTATTATTATTACTGTGAAAGATTTTAGACCAGAGGTGGACATTATTTTTTTCCTGGGGCCACATGAGGAACAGAAAATATTAAAATATTGTGGAGGGCTGGACCAAAGTTCTTAACTAAATTCTGCAAATATTAATTATAAAAAGCATAAATCTCATTGTTTTGATGAGCTGCTCAGATTGGAAAGAGTTTATGTTATAAATAAGCAATAAAAAAGTGAAGTTGTGTTACAAAAAAGTCATAAAAAAAAAAAAACACACTCACACAGAATCCCTGTTTTAAAGCTGCGCAGTGAACCTTTAACCTACGACGATACATTCAAATAAAAACATTTTCTAATTATTGCAATACTCCAAAAATGTTCTGAAATATCTGATTTGATTTGTTTTGAGTCTAGATCCGGTTTGGTCCAGGTTTACAGGTCAGATCTGCGGAGAGGCCGCCCGCTCACAGTCAGAATGTTGTTTTTCGAGGTATTTCAGAGCTTTAAAATCACCTGTAATTCATTAATGTCACACTGTGGAACATTCCAAGACGTCTCCATAGAAACACTGCACCTTTAAGTCCAAGTTTAAATGATTTAGTTCTTGTTTTGTATTAAAATCTGCAGCTTTTCTAGCAGCTAAAAATGTGTTCAAAACTTCCAGACTGACTGATAACCTCATGACCGACTGCAGGGGCCTGGATCTGAAAAAACAACAAAAAACGCCTGTAAATATTGACAGCAGGTCTGGTGGAGAGAGGAGGAAACTTGAACTCGTGTTTCCATTTGATGGAGGATTTCAAACTTCCAAAAGGAGAAGGATTTAACGGAAAAATCCCAGTTTGTCCCGGAGCCACTCCTCCGTCAGGTCCTCTGTGTTTCTGATCTCAAACACCTGGAAGAACAACAGGAAGTGCACATGACACACTCATATCTGATAAGAGTGAAATTTTTTACATTTACATTATCATCGCACTCAGGACTCGGGGAAACCAACCTCCACCTCAAGGAAATGCAATGGAACGGCCAATCAAATCAGGGTTCCGAAACACACTCGGGCTCGTTCAGAGAAGATCGAGTCGGATGGATTTCTGAACATGTCACGAGTGCCAGAACTGAGTCGCCGACAGCTAACGTTAACTAACAAAATCTATTTATTAAATGACATGAACTGGAATACTACACCACGCGAAACAAAAATGGGAAAAGGAGGGACATCTAACTATATCGGATCAGGATTGGGAAGACTTCTGCGAGATACAATGGAAAACTTCTAACTCAATTATACGGAGAGAGTTTTGTTGGAAGAATTTGGTTAGGTTCTTTAAAACACCAGTCCAGGAAAGACACTACACCAAATCATCAAACTGTTGGAGGCGACGCGGTGAACTGGAGGCAAATCATTGCCGTATATTTTGGACGTGTCCTCATATTGTCCCATTTTGGAGAGAAATTCACAAATCATTAGAAACTGTGTTCTGTATTGACCGTTTCGACTGGAAACGATGTACCTGGGTTTCCTGATGGGTGAAAATGTGACGTATAAAGCTAAATACCTGTTCCAGATTTTGAGTGCGGCTGCTAACAAAGTTATAACCAGGAAATGGCTTAATCCACAAGTACCAACACTGGATGAACGGTTTGAGATTGTTTATGATATTTTTAAGATGGAAAGAATTACTTTTAGCATAAGACTGCAACAAGACAAATCTGAAAGCAAATGGAAACGGTGGATTGAATATATAAATACTGTGAGATCGGACTTTGTTTGACCCATTACTTTGTTTTTCTTGCAATTGGCTGTAATAATTATTATTCATTATTATATATTTTTTCGTTTGAATTAATCCATCCTCTGTAATCATCGGGGCACACCTGCAGGTTGTATTGTATTTGTCTTTTTCATACAACATTAAAAAAGAAAAATAAAGAATTACAAAAAAGATTAATGACATGAACTACATGAGCTAACAAAATAAACATTAAACTTTATTATTTTCCCGACTGCTGCAATGGAAAGCATTTACAACAAATGTTGGGAGAACTGACTCGGATTTATCACCTCCTGACATTCAATCGAACACGGCATTCCAAAGAAAACTACAGCTCCACTGCAGCTACTTCAAAACTCTGCAACAGCTGCTGACGAGGAGCAGGAAGAGAGCGAGAGCACATCCAGGGCAGCCACGGGGTCTTAAAAGTCTTAAAAAGGTCTTAAATTTCATATTCCTGAATTAAGGCCTTAAAAAGTCTTAAATTATGTTGCCCAAGTCTTATTTTTTTCACAAAGGTCTTAAATTTCACCGGCTTATTTTCTGCAAACTCAACGAGGCTGTGGTGCGACGTTAAACAGAAGGAGGAAAAAACAACAACAATGTGAAATCATTTAACGTGAATGAACGTCTACTGCAAACAATACTTTGGTTTCTGGCGCCGGTGGCAAAGAGTAAACATCAGTCGAGTGGAGGAAGTGTCGGTTTAATCCACAGTGGCTCTTAGATTCTAGATTTAGAACCGCAGTTGTTTGGTCATTATGAGAATTGCATCTGTTGTTTTTCGTCGCATAATGGCTGTGATGTTGGTCTTAATTTTCATTTAAATGGTCTTAATAAGGTCTTTAAAAAGTCTTGGGCTGCGTTCAGACTGCAGCCTGAAGTGACCCAAATCTGATTTTTTGACTTCTATGTTCCTGTATCTGATCTTTTAATGTCAGTCTGAACCACACAGATCCGATTTTTTCAAATGTGACCCAGGACATTTGGATCTGTGCTCCTGGAACCGATACATATCTGATCTTTTGACATGTGACTTCAGTGTGAACGGTCAAAGGTCACATTCATCCACCTACACGTTTTCAACAAGACACAAACATCACTATTCTGCACTGAAGTAGGAGAAAACTGTTCATGATCCGTGTGACTGAAGTGAAGCACATCTCCACTCACCACAAAACACCACCACCAAAAACCTGGTCCTTCTCCTTCTCAATCTCCTCCTTAAAACAAGTCAGTTGTTCATGTTGTGGCTCCAGTACGAGAGGAACTTTAAAATCTCCAGGTGCTCGATGCTGCGTCCATGTTTGGACAACTTGTGTAAACACAGAGACGCTCGCTGCGGTTGACGTCGTCGTGTCTCCAGTGTCACATGTGGGACACTTTTGGACCGTTTAATGTTCACACTGGAGTCACATACAAGTCACATTTAACTGGAAATGTGAACGACCTCGAAAAAACATCAGATTTCACAAAAAAATCGGAATTGAACGTTAAACCTGCAGTCTGAACGTAGCCTTGAATATGAGGTAGTCAAACCTGGGGACACCCTGACATCACACCAGGACTGAAGTCTCTGCACTGGCTTCGTGTGAGCTTCAGGAGAGATTTTAAAATTCTTTATTGGTTTATAAAACTGTTAACGGTCTTAGTCCTGTTTATTTATCTGATCTGCTTTTATGACATGAGCCTCTCGGACTCTCAGGTTCTCAGGTCTCGTCTTCTAACTGTCCCAAGAGTCCAAACTAAAACTCACGCTGAGGCGACATTCACAGTCGACCTGAGGATCTGATGCTGCGTTCTACTGAACGTTGGGAGGTGATAAATCCGAGTCAGTTCCCCCGACATCTGCTGTAAATGTTTTCCATTACAACAGATGGAGAAAATATGGAGCCCGAGAAAGTTTAATGTCCAACTGACTCAGTCTGAATTGGCCCGAGTTTGTGTTTCAGAAACTCTGATTTGATCGGCCGTTCCATTGCACTTTCTCAACGTGGAGGTCGGTTTTTCCCCGAGTCCCCAAACTAATTTCATTTAAATTAAATTATTATTATCACTATATTTATTTAAAATAAAATAATTATGATTTTACTTGGTTTTCGTCACATTTTAGCTCTCTATATTTTAATTTTTTACAATAACTTTTAGGAGCTTTATGTTTCATGTTTCTGTCTAAATGTCTGTGTACGTAGATGAAACGATGAGGTGGGGGTGGGGTTGTTTTTAATTGTTGTATTTTTTCTGTTGCAGGTGAAGCGTTTGTTCTGCATTTCCAATCATGAAAAGTGCTACACAAATAAAGTTTGATTGATTGACAAATATGGCATTAAACGTTTCTATGTCCAACTGAAACGAACAGTCAGATCACCAAGAGTCAGTTACAGTAAGAAGGCATGTTTGTTTTCACAACTGTAACTGAATAAATGTAAGATAGATATGTTTAATGCCATACTGTGGGACATTTCAGGAAAAAGCTCTTCTTTAAAAAGTCTTATATTCATCAAAATGGACTCTCATGAGCAATGATTGATTCTAGTGAAGGTGTGTGGAGTTTGGACGAGTTTGTGGAGTGTTTTTTTTTTCAGTTTGAGAGAAGAGTTCTAGTCTAAATGTGCAGGTTTGTGAGTTAAACTTGTGAATAAAACAAAACACAACAATAGTGGAATAATAAAACCGTGTAAACACTCGCCTTGGTGAGTTGTCCCGCTCTCACCAGCTCGTTTTTGCTCCCGGCGTACATCATCTGCTGCTCCGGTTTACATCCTACACGACACAAGAACACACGAAAGAACACACGACACAAGACACAAGAACACACGACACAAGACACAAGAACACACGACACAAGAACAACACAAAAGAACACACGACACAAGAACACACGACACAAGAACACACAAAAGAACACACGACACAAGACACAAGAACACACACGACACAAGAAACACACAAAAGAACACACGACACAAGAACACACGACACAAGAACACACAAAAGAACACACGACACAAGAACACACGACAAGAACACACAAAGAACACACGACACAAGAACACACAAAAGAACACACGACACAAGACACACACACGACACAAGAACACACGACACAAGAACACACACGACACAAGAACACACGACACAAGAACACACAAAAGAACACACGACACAAGACACAAGACACAAGACACACAAAGAACACACGACACAAGAACACACACACAAAGAACACACAAAAGAAACACACACAAGACACAAGAACACACGACACACAAGAACACACGACACAAGAACACACGACACAAGAACACACACACAAGAACACACGACACACGACACAAGAACACACGACACAAGAACACACGACACAAGAACACACGACACAAAAACACACGACACAAGAACACACGACACAAGAACACACGACACAAGAACACACGACACAAGAACACACAAAAGAACACACACACAAGAACACACACACAAGACACACACAAGACACACAGAACACACACAAGAACACACAAAGAACACAGACACAAGACACACGACACAAGAACACAGGACACAAGAACACACGACACAAGAACACACGACACAAGAACACACGAACACACGACACAAGAACACACAAAAGAACACAGGACACACTTTAAACTTTCATCACCATGTGGAAAAAACACATGAATAAATGAAACGTGAACTCACCGACTGGACTGGAGAAAATGAAACACAGAGGATAAGAAACTCGTTTGTCGTCGTGTTCGTATTTGTAACTGTACACGATAAATGTGAACACGGATAAGGAAAAGAACTGTGCAGTACAAGTAGAAGTAGTAGTAGTAGTAGTAGTAGTAGTAACTGTAATAGTTCTGGTGGTTGTGGAGGCAGTAGTAGTAGTAGTAGTAAGAGTAATTGTAGTAGTATTAGTAGAAGAAGCAGTAGAAATAGTAGTAGTAGTAGTTGCAGTAGCAGCAGTAATAGTAATAGTACTAGTAATGGTTGTTGTAGTAGTAGCAATAATAGTAGTAGTAATAGAAATAGAAGTAGTAGTATTAGTAATAGTAGTGTGTGTAGTAGTAGTAATAATAGTAGTAATAGTAGTAGAAATAGTAGCAGTAGTAATAGTAGTAGTACTTAAAGTAGTAGTAATAACAGTAATATTAGTAGTAATAGTAGTAACAATAGCAGTAGTAGTAGTAGTAGTAATAGTAGAAGTAGAAGTAGTAGTAGTAGTAGTAGTAGTAGCAGTAGCAGTAGTACTAGTAAAAGTAGTATGTGTAGTACTAGTAATAATAGTAGTAGTAGTAATAGCAGTAATAGAAAGGGCAGTTGCAATAGTAGCTGTAGTACTAGTAGTAGCTGCAGTAGCAGTAGTAATAGTAATAGTAGTAGTGGTAGTAGTAATGGTTGTAGTAGTAGTAGTAGTAATAATAATAGTAGTAGTAATAGAAGTAGTAGTAATAGTAATAGAAGTAGTAGTAATAGTAATAGTAGTATGTGTAGTAGTATGTGTAGCAGTAGCAATAGCAGTAGTAGTAGTAATAGTAGCAGTAGTAACAGTAGTAACAGTAGTAGTTTCAGGTTTTCATTCCGCACTCTTCTCTCCAATTTATGTTTTATATTTTTTAATTTTAATCTTCATGATTATTTATGTTTTGATTTGTTTTTATTATGATTTTAATGTATTTCTTATTCTGTAAAACACTTTGAATTACTTTGTGTACGAATTGTGCTGTACAAATAAACTTGCCTTGCCTTGCCTAGTAGTACAGTAATAGCAGTAGCAGTAGTAGTAGTAGTAGCAGTAGTACAGTAATAGCAGTAGCAGTAGTAGTAGTAGTAGCAGTAGTACAGTAATAGTAGTAGTAGTAATAGTAGCAGTAGTAACAGTAGTAGTAGCAGTAGTACAGTAATAGTAGTAGTAGTAGTAGTAGTAGTAGCAGTAGTACAGTAATAGTAGTAGTAGTAATAGTAGCAGTAGCAGTAGTACAGTAATAGTAGTAGTAGTAGTAGCAGTAGTAGTACAGTAATAGTAGTAGTAGTAGTAGTACAGTAATAGTAGTAGTAGTAGTAGCAGTAGTAGTAGTAGTACAGTAATAGTAGTAGTAGTAGTAGTAGTACAGTAATAGTAGTAGTAGTAGTAGCAGTAGTAGTAGTAGTAGTACAGTAATAGTAGCAGTAGTAGTAGCAGTAGCAGTAGTAACAGTAGTAGTAGCAGTAGTACAGTAATAGTAGTAGTAGTAGTAGCAGTAGTAGTACAGTAATAGTAGTAGTAGTAGTAGTAGTAGTAGTAGTAGTGCAGTAGTAGTAATAGTAATAGTACAGTAGTATTTGACAGAATAAAGGATATCTGGGTTGTCTCTCTGGGAGCTCGTCCTTCAGTTCCTCTGGGGAAATATCCTAAAAATACAAGAGAAGATTTTATTTCCAGAAAAACTGAAGTGAGTCTTGAATTTAAACGAATCAAACGTTTAAAAATGAAACTGAAACGTGAGAAAAAAACTTTGTTTGTACCTCGTACTCCTCGTCCAGGACCACCTGCTGCTTCTCTTTGTCAATTTTCACTGAAACAGATCAACAACAAATATATTATGTTATTGTGGAAATCGACTATTAAGAGGCGTTAAAGGTACATTATGTAACTTTCCTGGTGCTTGTTTGTATGGAGATATGTCACTGCTCTGTCTGGAATGTTCCACAGTGTGACTTTAAACATCTTGACTTCACATTTAATCAATTTCAGGTGGTTTTAAAACTCCAAAATCCCTCAAAAAACAGACATTTTGACTGTGAGCGGGGTCGCCTCTCCACAGATCTAACCTGGAACTGTGTCTGGTTTGATCTCCATGGAGATAAAAAAAACGTTTAATGCCATACTGTGGAACATTCCAGACAAAACAATAACATCTTCATAGAAACAAGCAGCTGATGGACACTTTAACCTTAAGTTCATTATATTTAAAATTTTACAAAAAAATAAATAAAATAAAAAAATTGTCCAGTTTGGTAATTGTGTGGGTTTAAAATTAGTTTAAAAATGATAACACAAAAAAATTGCGTAACTGTTACCTAGCAACCATAAATTATCTGGGGTCAAAATTCCTCAAATGTGCACAGAGATGAATATTTGACAAATAAAAATATAAGAAAACAGCTTTATTTTGTTTAAAGCTGCACTTTGTAACTTTCCGGTTGGAGGTCTGTCAGCTGCTTGTTTCTATGGATACGTCACTGCTCTGTCTGGAATGTTCCACAGTGTGACTTTAAACAGCTCCACTTTACATTTATTCAATCACAGGTGGATTTAAAGCTCAAAAACACTTCCTAGAAAAACAGACATGCTGACCTGGAACTTGGTCCGGTTCGGTCTCCGTGAAGACAGAAAGGTTTAATGCCTGCACTGTGGAACATTCCAGACAAAGCAGTAACATCTCCATGGAGAAAAGCGTTTGAAGAACCCTCCACCAGGAAAGTTACACAATGAACCTTTAGGAGTTTTCCCTGTGAGTCTGCAGTTTCCAGTATTTGAGGCTTGAGTGCTCAGAAAACACCAAATTTCACCTACCCCCTATCTCCGCCCCCTGCTCTGTATTTGTTTGCAATTATTGTAAAAAAAAAAACAAACAAAAAAACAAAAAAAACTTAAAACTCATAAATGTAGACTTAAAAAATGTTACAATGTAATATTTTTTTTCCAGTAATAAAAAGTTCAAATTGAAACTGAAATGAAAAAGTGTTTGCGTCTCAGAAATGCCCTCGGAGGTTCAGCGCACGTGTGGCATCTGCTCTGAGGTTTTCAAACAGGAAGTGGAGGAAGAACAGGAACAATATGTAAAATAAATCATCTTTGTGCGGGTTGATTTCATTCTAAAAGGCCAAATTTATCTGACTTGTTCTAATGTCGTTTCCTCGTCACACACAGACCTGGAGTTGTGTTTTGTTTCATTCACGTGTTTAACTCACAAACCAAACTGCACATTTAGTTTGATTATGTTCTTCTCTCAAACTGAAAACACTCTGTTCCACCTTGTGATGTCATCATGTGGCGATACAGGACGTGCTCCACTGTGTTTTTAAACTCCACACACCTTCACTAGAATCATTTGGCTCATTTCAGCCCTGAACAGAGAAGAATCCTTCACACGGTTTTACTTACAAACTGTGAATTTAATTAAAGAGTCCATCTCCTGCAAAGTCAACTTTTCAGATCTTTCTACCTTCTCAGAGTGATGTGTGGGCTCGAAGTGGCTTTTAGATTGATTTTTGCATTTTTTTTAAACAAATTGCAGTGTATTTCTGCCTCCCTCCCACGTGACAATGAACTAAAGCTGCTACAACAATGAGGCGACAGATTCACCTATGACACGTTTGACGGAGCAGAAAACACATCGACTTAAGACTCCGGAGCCACTTACAGACCGAAAAATACGATAATCACTTTTGGGCACCGTGGGTTTGTGGTTTACGCAGTGCAGTAAAAAAAAACAAAATCCATGTCCGTGTCCAGAGCTGCATTTTCCTAGATTTACTCCAGTTTTACAGGCAAACAAAAAGAGAACTGCACCTGCCGCCTCCTGTCGACTGTGAAAAAAAACCCCACAGGCTCACCAGGTCACTCAGGTCACTCAGGTCCTGCTGTGACTCCCACTTTTATCCTCACGGTGCCCCACAGATTAAACCAAAAAACTGAAATATATACAAATGAACAAAACTAAATTAGTAAACTAAGTGACAAACTAAAATAATAAACAGAATAAATCTTAGAATACACAAAATAAGCAATAAGTAAAAGGAGCCGTTCACTTGAAAACTACCACTTCATGACATCACGAGGTGGAACAGAGCATTTTAAGCTTTGGACACGTAGACAGACTCATAACAAAGAGTTACTCAAACATGTGAATGAAACAAACACAACTCCAGCTTTGTTTTTGAGGAGGAAACATTAGAACACGAGAGTCAGGTTTGTGAGATATTGGAGCTTTAAAAATAAAAGCTGCTAAAAAAAAGTTGACCAACTCTGTCGCTTTTGATATTATTAATATTATTAAAATAGTTTCAACCAATATTAGGACCTAAGCAATGATTTTTTCACCATCCCCCAGTGCAAATATTGTGAACTTTAGTGAACATTTTATCCAGTTTATTCATTAATGTCACTTCATTTCTGTGCTGTGGTTTGAATGAAAACGTTCCGTTAGTTTCCAAAAGTACTAAAGTTTTACTCACTGATGATGGCGGCGTTGCTGGTTCCTTTACGGAAACGGAAATCTTTCAGTTTTTTCACCAAGTCCTCGTCGACCTGACAGACGACCAGCGATTCACTCTGAGGAGGAAAAAACACGACAGCGTCAGAAGAAAACGACGACACAGACCGAGAAAACGACATCAGAACAGATCAGACTTTTCTGGTGGAAGGTCCGACACCTGCTTCTCCATGGAGACGTTATTGTTTTGTCTGGAATGTTCCACAGTATGGCATTAAAAATTTCTATCTTCACGGAGACCAAACCGGACTAAGTTCCAGGTCAGATCTGTGGAGAGGCGACTCCGCTCACAGTCACAATGTCTGTTTTTCTAGATATTTTTGACTCTAAAACCACCTGTAGTTAAATAAATGTAAAGTCGAGCTGTTTAAAGTCACACTGTGGAACATTCCAGGCAGAGCAATGACGACTCTATAGAAACAGGCAGGCGACAAAGTTCCACAGTGCAGCTTTAAAGGATAACACTAATATTCAGGTCGTTTCCAGCCCGGGGCACAGGCAGCTTCAGTATTTATGATTAACTTCTGTTTTATTAAAGCAGAACATAAAGTGGACACATGTTAAAGAACACGAGAACGAACCACGTCAGCACAAACGCTTCACGCATCGACTCTAAAAACACCGAAACTCCACAGAAACTCCAAACACATCAACTATTCAGAGCTTTTCTGTTCCTCCATTATTCTACTGCACATTAAAAATACACGACAGCTTCACATCGACGTTTACACTTCAGAAAACGACCGAGAACTAAAAACTTCTACTACAGAGACAGAAACAAATAATAAATCTGTGTATCATTTGTTCATTCGTTTTCAAAATAAAACCAAAAGTAAAAAAAAACTATTTTCTTCATTATTTGTCTCCAAAACTAAAATGAAAAAACAGATGATTAGTTTTTTCAGTTTCTGATTTTGTGTTTAAATTAAAAAAACAAAACAAGACAAAACAAAAAAACAGATAATGGACTGAACCAGGACTAAACCAGGACTGAGACTGGGACTGAACCAGTAGTTTTGGGACGGGCCCGGAGTTGCGCTTACATAGACTGTCGAGTGATCAGCACTGAGACCAGGACCAGACCAGGACTAAGACTAGGACTGAAACAGAGACCAGACCATAATCAGACCGGGACTGAGACCGGGACTGAGACTGGGACTGAGACCGGGACCGAACCAGGATCGATCCCAGGACCGATCCCAGGACCGATCCAGGTCCCTGTCTCAGTCCCGGTCTCAGTCATGGTCCTGGTCTGATACTGGTCTCAGTCCCAGTCTGGTCCTGATCTGGTCCTGGTTCAGTCCTGGTTCAGTCCTGGTTCAGTCCTGGTTCAGTCCTGGTTCAGTCCTGGTTCAGTCCATTATCCGTTTTTTCCGTTTTTCATTTAAACAAAAAATCAAATATTCGTTTTATTTCAGTTTTTCATCTATTTTTTTCATTTTGGTTTTGGAGACAAATAATGCAGAAAATATATATATTTTTTGTTTTCTTATTTTTGGTTTTATTTTGAAAAACAAATGAACAAATGACACACGGATTGTTTTACTCATCAATAACACAAACGTTTAATATTCAGGTTCTACATTAAAGCTGCACTGTGCAACTGCAAAATTTAAACATTTTCTTACATTTCAAAGTGATAAAACAACTTATTAGTTTAATTTAAGAATGTGAAATTTGACACAGTGACTCTCCAGGTCACTCCGATCAAAAAAGTCCAGAGGGTCAAAGTCGTATTTTGAATGGTGTTGCCATGGCGACGCCTGAAAACGCCCATGTTTTTCTGTGTTTGCATGTCGGCGCTTCAGTGTGTGTGGACTTTTGTGTTTAGTGTGTTTAGTGTGGGTCAGAGGGGGGTCATTATTTTTTCCATGGGGCCACGTGAGAAACAGGAAATATTGTGAAGGGCCAGAAATGATTAACTCAATTCTGCAGAATGAATTAACTGTATTTATTTAAAGTAACTAAGCAGTAAAAAAGTGAGTCTGTCTTACAAAAAATATCATTAAAAACACGTCTAAAATAAAAACAATGCAGCTTTAGTCCAGGAATGAGATAAAATGATAAAACAGGTTTATTTTGTCATTTTAAATGAGTTTAAACGAGCTGAACATAGTCGAACAAAGACTCATCTGTGGCCCTGGAGCTGAACAATGTCCAGGTCGGGTCCAGTGAGATTCATTTGGTCTTTTGATATTTTATGTTAAATATGAAACCGCGCTGAACTTGGCCGTGCAAAAGTCCAGCTCGGGTGCAGGAATAACCCGTCTGTTCGTCTTTCATTCGTCGTATATTTATAAATCAGCTGACGCCGCTCTGAGGAAGAGCGCCGGTGAGTCAAGTATGAAAACAAACACTTGGTCTGTAAAAAGAACCTAAAAACATAAAATGTCCAGGTCTGGTGTAGAGTGTCCAGACGTCCCCGTTTATCCGGGACAGTCCCAGTTTTGAGCCTGTGTCCTCTGTCCCAGCAGATTTATGAGTCCCAGCTCGAGCGTCCCCCTGGTTTGAAAGTTTCAGCTTGAACGTCTCATTCTGTCGGTGGGAACGTCCCCCTCCTCCTCCGGGCGTCCCCTTCTCTTGGGCCATTCTGCTGTTGCCCGGGGGAGGGGCGAGGGAGGAGGGGGGCGGGGGGACGTTCTCGCCGCTGTGTCACTCTGATGAACTGAGTTAGAAAATCAGCTTCTACATCAGAACAAAATGAAATGTGAATGTATCAGACCAAATGTGGTTTGTTTATGTCATTTTACTGATCTTCCCGAAGTGACACGTGTTTTTTCAGTCTGTAATCTCAATATAATCATCATTTGCTCGCAGAAGTTCACTGTGACATTGTATTTGAAATGTTTTTCTGGTTCCCCATGTCCTACAGAATCTGTAAGTGTTGTTTTTATGAGAAATATTCATTATTTCCTCACCTGCTGCCATGAACATCATTTGTAAGCAGCACAACACAAGAAACTTCAAAAAATCATTCAGAATCACTTTTTGGAAAGTCTTAACTCTGTATTTCATTGAAATATGTAAAATAAAATCCTGAAATAGTTGTGGCACAGTTGAGACCACATCATTGACCACATGAGACCACATGTTTTTTTTTGTTTTTTTGTATGTATGAACAAATGTGTTGAGGTATATTGTAACGCGTGTGTGTACAATATAGAATGATGAAAAATGTTTATTTAGTTTTTTTATATGTATATAAACTAACTGAGTTTTATGAAGGGTACAATTCAGGGGAACTTTCCAGCCAGCGGGACTTTCCAGCTGGTTCTTCTTCTTGGTGATTTGTACCAGGTTAGTGTCTCTGTTTTTGACCGATCTGATCCTGCCGACAGTGAAGAGACGCAAACATTGTGATTTGTTTTCGGTAAAACACAGAAAAGCTGCTTAAAAACAACAAAAACACACAATAAATGTGACTATACTGACTCACACCAAGGGAACTACATAGACCATGATCCTTTGCTCCATTTCAGTGCAGACGACAAGAAGAAACAACAGTTCTAACACTTTTAAGTCTTAGTTCTTTGAATTAAGTTTTGTCAAGTCATTTTAAAGAAGAATATTCACAGTTTAAACTGTTTAGCCTCCACAAAAATAAAAATATTGTACCGTGAGATGTATATCGTGAAAATATCGTAAGAGATTTGGATATTGTTACATCTCTAATCGTGAGCCTCCCCGTCCTATCATGAGCTTTCCCACAATATCACAATAAATATCGTACCATGACACCTCGATATCATTACGCCCCGATTAATTACGCACTAGTTTCACAAATTTATTATTACAAACCACCACAAACCAAACCAGGGACGTCCCAGTTTTTTAAATTTGAAAACCTGGTCGCCCGAGTTTAGTGACAGTGTAACTGACATCATCCTGCTCTGTGTCGGCATAAATAAGCAGTTATTAGACGAGACATTTTCAACACGATCAAACAGAAGCTGCGTTGTCGCCAGTGTTGGGGAGTAACAGATTACATGTACCAGAGTAATCAGAGTACAAATGATGAGTAACTGTAATAAGTTACAGTTACTGCTTCAGTGAGTGGTAAAGGGATTACAGTTACTTTGTTGAAATAAATGGATTACACAGAGGGATTTTTTCTGTTTTCACATTTTGGACTAAACCAGGACTAAAACCAGAACTAAAACCAGGTCTAAAACCAGGTCTAAAACCAGGTCTAAACCAGGACTAAACCAGGACTAAACCAGGTCTAAACCAGGACTAAACCAGGACTAAACAGGACTAAACCAGGACTAAACCAGGTTTAAAATCAGGACTAAAATCAGGACTAAACCAGGATTAAAACCAGGACTAAAACCAGGACTAAACCAGGATTAAAACCAGGACTAAAATCAGGACTAAACCAGGATTAAAACCAGGACTAAACCAGGTCTAAACCAGGTCTAAACCAGGACTAAACCAGGTCTAAACCAGGACTAAAACCAGGTCTAAACCAGGTCTAAACCAGGCTGCGCGGACCGTGTTTCTTCTTCTTCTATCAATAATATTTTTAATTTGGTTCAGTAAAGTCTGGACTTTTTATTTTCTTTTATCAGACAAAACTTCTTATGTGAAGATTTCCTCGTCTTTGTTTCTCTACAGCAAATCAAGTAATCCAAAGTAATCAGATTACATTACTCACTTTAAATCATTTAATGGATTACGTTACAAACTACATTTTGGTGAGTGTAATCTGTAATCTGTAGGGGATTACATTTTAAAAAGTGACCTTGACAACACTGATTGTAAGTAATGTTCAGAAGATTTTCCAAGTTAAATGGAGCTTTATTTTCTTTTCCCGTTGTATTTTTGTGTCTGTATTGTGCGGTTTAGTTCATGACATGTTCTGTACGAATAAAACGGACTGGACACGAGCACAACAATCTGCAGCCTTCACTGGGGTTTCATTGTTCTGATCCACTCGTGCAAAGGCGTCATTTGGAGAAAACCCAGAATCTGTGCGGTTTTTTTTTTTTTATCATGAACGCAGCAGATGGCCAGAGGGAGGCACCTTTTACACATCAAGATTACGACGTGCCAAGCTTGAAAGACGCGAAAGAAAACAGGAAGCACGGGGAAATAACGAGCAAAAGGCGACGCCGGATAAGAGGCAAGTTTGTTTTGGGGTTTTTTTTGTTTTGTTTTGCAGCGCGCACAAAGCGTCAAACACCGAGGACCGAGCAAACGACGCGCAAAAGGCGGCAACGCGTCCACGAACGTCCAGAAATAAAAGTGCGTAAAAATATGCAAGTGTGCGCAGTGAAGCTGTCAAGACACGCAGCCGAATACCAGGACAGGAAGACGCGAGGTTCATTGTGAAACGAGCGAAGACAGACAGCGTCAAGAGCACGTGCGTGTGCGAAGGGCATACCGGAAACGAAGAGGAGAGCTGTCAAAATAAAAGTGTTTCAAATGCAAATGTGGCTCTGTTTTATAAATCACTCAACTTCCGAGGTGTTATTATTCAATTGTATTTAAATTAGAGTGTCCACACGTCCCTGTTTACCCGGGACAGTCCCAGTTTTGAGCCTGTGTCCCCCGTCCCAACAGATTTATACAAAAAACACTGATTTGGACTAAACCAGGACTATATCAGGTCTATTTAAGGTCTAAACCAGGACTAAACTGGGACTAAATTAGGACTATATCAGGTCTAAACTAGGATTAAACTGGGACTAAACTAGGGGTAAACCAGGACAATAGACAGGTCTATTTCAGGTCTAAACCAGGTCTAAACCACTACTAAACCAGGACTATATCAGGTCTATTTAAGGTCTAAACCAGGACTATATCAGGTCTAAACCAGGACTATATCAGATCTATTTCAGGTCTAAACCAGGACTATATCAGGTCTATTTAAGGTCTAAACCAGGACTATATCAGGTCTAAACCAGGACTATATCAGGTCTATTTCAGGTCTAAACCAGGACTATATCAGGTCTATTTAAGGTCTAAACCAGGACTATATCAGGTGTATTTCAGGTCTAAACCAGCTCTAAACTAGGCGTAAAACAAGACAATATACAGGTCTATATCAGTTCTAAACCAGGACTAAACCAGAGGATCATAAACTGCATTTCTTTAGCTCTTCTGTATTTTGTCTGTCAGATTATAAACTGACCCATATTTTCACAGTTTTATTTAAACCAACCCTCCCAACCCGGGCGTGTGCCAATTTTGAAAATCTGGTCAGGCCAGATAGAAGCTAAATAATGAATCCAGAAGGACATTGCAGATTATTAAAACGAGACACTACAAGCAATTTATGTTTGGTTTCTTCACACCAAGTTTTCATTTGGAAACAGCAAAACTGTCCACTCTGCACTGAAAGACGTTTAATATTTAATTTAACTCGCCTCAACAGAGTTATATAGGACACTGGAACTGCAAATGTCGTTTTCTAAAATGCATTTTCCCCTCACCTAAACACCAAACATGCACCAAAATGACCGGTCATGTATTATGTGTTATGTTACTAGGTTCTATATTCAGACCAACAGTTTGTTTTCATACCTGCCAAACCAGACATGTACATGTTGTAAGTTACAGTAGTAGTAGCAGTAGTAGAAGTAGTAGTAGTAGTAGTAGTAGATTTGGGCGAAACATACAAATGGATTTTTTTAAATATAATTCCAAATCAGATTTATTCAAATTTTAACTCTAAACAATGAGGCAAAATTTCAATTTTTAGGCAAATTTTCAGTCAGATCAAATTTACTGTAGTTTACTCAAATATAACATATCCAACCCCCCCACACCACAACTTAAAGAATTTTTAGATCATCTAATGTTATACAAGACGAGATTTCAAGATGGTCATTCAAAACTCTTCTGACAATTGTGTCGCATTGACACTGTACTGACCCAGCAGCTTGTTGTTGTTGTTCCAAGGTGCATTAGTTCTATTTTTATGTTAAATTTAAGTCTATTCTCATGTTTCAAAATATTTTTGTATAGTTAATTGAATTGCTGAGAAAGTTATCAATCATGAACAGTGAAATATTTGCAGTATAACACGAAATTGTTTTATTTTTTCTATTATTTTTTCTACTATCGTGTTTAAAAAATACGTTTGACTGTGATTTTATTTAATATTATCAGTCCAAAATAGAAAGTGTCCTGGTTTTAGTCCTGGTTTAGTCCTGGTTTAGTCCTGGTTTAAATCCTTTTTAGTCTTGGTTTTAAACCTGGTATAGATCTGGCTTTAATCAGAGTTTAATCCTGTTTTAGTCCTGTTTAGTCCTTATTTTAGACCTGGTTTAGTCCTGATTTAGTCCTGGGTTTAGTCCTGGTTTAGTCCAGAGTTTAGTCCTCATTTAAGTCCTTTTTAGTCTTGGTTTTAGACCTGGTTTAAACCTGGTTTAGTCCTGGTTTAGTCCTGATTTATTCCTGATTTTAGACCTGGTTTGGATCTGGTTTAGTCCTGGTTTAGTAATGGTTAAATCCTGTTTTAGATCTGGCTTTAGTCTTGATTTTATTTAATATTATCAGTCCAAAATAGAAAACCTTCTATCTGAAATGTAGGTTAAATAGAACTTTTATTTTGAAGCCCACACCGGAAGCCCGCTCTTGCTACCGCCGCTAACTTCCCGCGTTAGACAGAGGGAGGCTAGGCTAACGAGCTAACAACAGACAAATTCACACTTTACTTTTCCGCCATTAAACCTCAAACTTTCACACGTAACTCTGCCTCTTCCTACAGAAACCGTCGCCACGTGCAGCCCGCGTCAGAGCCTTAAATCCGCGCATAAACTCACCATTTTGGCGGAGTATTTCCTGAAGCTGCAGCTGCGGAGATGCGGACGCTTCTGTGTTGATTTTTTTAACTTGTGTTCATCACGTGACCGCGTTCGGCCAATCCCGCTCACCGCCTCCAAAAACACACACACAAAAAAAAGAAAAAAAAGAAAAAGTACATCCCTCCTCCTCCTCTACCCAGTTCTCACTTCACCCCCTCAAAAAAAAAAAACCAAAAAAAAAAAAAAACCTCACGTTTACAGTTTTACAGTAACGCCAAGAGAATATGCCATTGTTTTTGAACATAACAAATGTTATTTAATTCAAGTGAAACTCCAGGACTAAAACAGGACTAAACAGATCTAAACTGGAACTAAAACAGGACTAAAACTAGGACTAAACCAGGTCTGAATCAGGACTAAAACAGGTCTAAACCAGGATTGAATCGGGACTTAACCAGGACGAAACTAGGACTGAACTAGGACTAAAACAGGCCTGAACCGGAACTAAAACAGGATTTAATCAGAACTAAACCAGGATTAAAACAGGTCTAAACTAGGACTAAACCAGGTCTAAACCAGGACTAAACCACGACAAAATCCAAGAGTAAACCAGGTCTAAAGCAGAACTAAACTAGGATGAAACCAGGACTATAATCAGGATTAAACCAGGTCTAAACCGGGACTAAACTAGGACTAAACCAGAACTAAACCAGGACTAAACCAGGTCTAAACCAGAACTAAAACCAGGTCTAAAACAGATCATAAAACGATAAACTTTTGTGCCTTTGTTAACATTATTATTAGTCTGTACAATCATAAACAAAAAAAAGGCTTCTTTAAAAAAATGAAGATAAGACCTAAAAAAGAAGTGACTGTATTTCTGTTCGAGGAGTTAGTTTATGGAACAGTGAGTGATGATTTTAAAAAGTTTAATACTGCAGAAGCCTTTAAAAAGAGTATAGAGCTCAGGAATGAACTAATTTTGCATAAAATTTTGTTTTTTGTTTTAATTTATATCTTGTCTTTTTATTAATTGTCTCAACTCACTTTGTTTTTGCTCAACTTCAACATGAGGAGGAAGTGGAGAAGGAAGTGAAAGTTTCTGCAACAAACAGATAATTTGAAACTATAAATAATTAATGAAGGGTGGTTCTTATCTTACTTTGAAGAAACCGACAAAGAGCAAAAACAAAAAATCTAAACATATGAAATAATTTTTTTTTTTTTTAAGGAAAGGAAGCATTAGCCAGTTTAGTTGTTTATTTTTTAAATGTATTTATTCTCCTCAAATATGTTTAAAATATTAACAATTCAAAACAACACATTTAACCAGAAATGAAAGATGTGCACTTACAACAAACAACTAACCTCCAGAAAATGTGTCGTACTTTTGTACCAGTGTTATTAAATGTTATTATGCCTTATTTATAATCAATATTTACCATAGCATATCTATACTTTTATCACTTTATTAAACTCTCCTGTGTGACCCTCTCAAGTATTTTTATTTCTATGAACTATTTATGTATAGATTGTAGACTGTAGACTTCCCTTGCCATTATCCTTTTCTATTCCTAAATGCACTTTTTTTGTATTGTATTGTATTGTTTCTATATAATATGTTGTGTTTATGTTTCCTCATCCCAACATGTAACTGCTGACGACACACAGCCATGTTTGTTATATCAAGTTTATGCACCCAGTTGTGTGTAATTTTAAAAATATATAAATATATAAAAAAAAAAGATTGTAGACTGTAGAGTTGCCATAACGACCGAAGTATCGAGTAATAACCTTGTATAACTCTGAAAAATGTAAACAAATTTTACTTTACTGTTCAATAATAAACCAAACATTTAAGATTATAAAAATAACTTATATTTTACGGTTATTTTGCTCAAGTATAACATTTTTTTCAACACAGTAAATAAAATATTTCACTGGGGTTTTTATCAGCAAAACGTATTATTATGATGAACTGGAAGGAATGCAAACATAAGTGCTTCGAGATAGACAATTGGTACAAAGATTTTTTTGATTTAATTTCTATGGAGCAGGCGGCTCAATCGTTGGACACAAAAAACAAACGGACTGTTGACCTATGGACTGTGATAAAACCCTACTTGGACAAAGCACAGTAAAATAAGAACAACATACTCTTGGACAATGTCAAAATATATGTGTATGTAAATGTTTGTGCTACTGCATTGAGAAACACTTTAAATTTTTTGGGGGGGTATTATTATCATTATTATTATTATTATTATAATTACTATTATTATTATTATTATTTACTTATTTATTTATTTTATTTATTTCTTCTTCTTCTTATTATTATTATTTTTTTATTATTATTATTTTTTTTTGTAAGCGTGTTTAGTTAAGTCTGTCTTATTGTGGATGTGCTGGGTATCCAATCCCTTAAATTTGACAAATTATAAAAAAATAAAAATAAATAAAAAAAACACAATAAAATATTTAATTCTATTTTTAACGTTTTTCCCGAACTCGTAGAAGCCCCGCCCCCCGCCGGATGACGTCACACTTCCGCACTCCTCAGTTGTAGTTTTATTGAGCTTGTCGCCGCTCGCTCCGGAGCTAGCGTCTGTAGTCCTCTACATGCTCCTCGGTAGATGAAATTAGCGGCGAACAGACTTCCTTTCGGGTAAATCGGCAGCTGTCGCCACTTCTCTCGGCTCTCGTCCCAAGGCCAGGTAACGGAAAAACGAGTCACGGTTTGTTTTTATTTACGTTTTGAGAGGCTGAAACAGGCTCGCGACCAGGCGGAGCTAGGCGGCTACTGTTAGCTCCTTGTGGCATGCGGCGGAGTGTTTGCACAGTTAACTCATATTTGTATAAGAAAAGTATTATCTACACACCGTGACGTTTTTATTGTGCATCTGTCACGTAATTTCGCCCTGATTTCGTGGTGACTGGAGTTTTTTTTTTTTTTTTTTTTTTTTTTTTTTGCCCACTGTCGGAGAATGGAAATAATTAGTCCGAACTCTTGCTCACAGTTCCCAGTTGTATTTTGACAGCGTGCGTCAAGACGACACCGTAAACTTTGCTTTTAATTGTCTCTTTTGCTTTCGTTGCAGATCATGTCGGACTTTTCGGTAAGTAGCTGAACGTTTTCTTGTTTTTATATGTTCTTTTGCAGTGTTGGGAAGGTTGTTTTTAAAAATGTATTCCCCTAAAGATTACAGATTACAGATTAACCAGTTTTACAGTTTACCGTTTTCCAGTCCATGTTTTAGTCCAGGTTTTAGTTTTTAGTCCAGTTTTAGACCTGGTTTAGTCCTGGTTTAGTTTTCCTGTTTTAGTCCTGTTTTAGTCCTAGTTTTAGTCCTGGTTTAGACCTGTTTTAGTAGTTTTAGTCCTTTAGACCTGGTTTAGACCTGGTTTTAGTTTTGGTTTAGACCTGGTTTTAGTTTTGGTTTAGACCTGGTTTAGGTATAGTTTAGACCTGGATTAGTCCAGGTTTAGTCCTGGTTTAGACCTGGTTTTAGATCTAGTTTAGACCTGGTTTAGTCCTAGTTTAGACCTGGATTAGTTTAGACCTGGTTTTAGACCTGTTTTAGACCTTTAGTCCTGGTTTAGTCCTAGTCCTGGTTTTAGTCCTGGTTTTAGACCTTGTTTTAGACCTGGTTTTAGATCCTAGTTTAGAACCTGGTTTAGTCCTGGTTTAGACCTGGTTTTAGACCTGGTTTAGACCTGGTTTTAGCCTGGTTTAGACCTGGTTTTAGACCTGGTTTAGACCTGGTTTAGACCTGGTTTAGACCTGGTTTTAGATCTAGTTTAGACCTGGTTTAGTCCTGGTTTAGCCCAAAATGTGAAAACAGGAAAATAGCGCCTTGTAATCCATTTATTTCAACAAAGTAACTGTAATTCAATTACTACTCACTGAAGCAGGAAATGACCCTGGTGTCTCTGTTTTGGATCTTTTTTTCCCCCCTAGGACTAAACCAGGATTAAACTAGGACTAAACTAGGACTATATCTGGTGTATTTCAGGTCTAAACCAGGTCTATTTCAGGTCTATTTCAGGTCTATTTCAGGTCTATTTCAGGTCTATTTCAGGACTATTTCAGGACTATTTCAGGACTATTTCAGGACTATTTCAGGACTATTTCAGGACTATTTCAGGACTATACTAGGACTATACCAGGTCTAAACCAGGACTATTTCAGATCTATTTCAGGACTATTTCAGATTTTTTTCAGGACTATACTAGGACTATACTAGGACTATACCAGGTCTAAACCAGGTCTATTTCAGGACTAAACCAGGACTATTTCAGATCAATTTCAGATCAATTTCAGATCAATTTCAGATCAATTTCAGATCAATTTCAGGTCTATTTCGGGACTAAACCGGGACTAAACCGGGACTAAACCAGGACTATATCTGGTGTATTTCAGGACTAAACCAGGTCTAAACCAGGTCTAAACCAGGTCTAAACCAGGTCTAAACCAGGTCTAAACCAGGTCTAAACCAGGTCTAAACCAGGTCTAAACCAGGTCTAAACCAGGACTATATCTGGTGTATTTCAGGACTAAACCAGGACTAAACCAGGTCTAAACCAGGTCTAAACCAGGTCTAAACCAGGTCTAAACCAGGTCTAAACCAGGACTATATCTGGTGTATTTCAGGACTAAACCAGGACTAAACCAGGACTAAACCAGGACTAAACCAGGACTAAACCAGGACTAAACCAGGACTAAACCAGGACTAAACCAGGACTAAATCTGGTGTATTTCAGGACTAAACCAGGACTATATCTGGTGTATTTAAACCAGGACTAAACCAGGACTAAACCAGGACTAAACCAGGACTATATCTGGTGTATTTCAGGACTAAACCAGGACTAAACCAGGACTAAACCAGGACTAAACCAGGTCTAAACCAGGTCTAAACCAGGTCTAAACCAGGTCTAAACCAGGTCTAAACCAGGTCTAAACCAGAAGATCATAAATTGCGTTTGTTTTGTCAAAATCCAGCAGTGTATTTTGTGTCAGATTAGACACTGACCCACACACGTCCCTGTTTACCCGGGACAGTCCCAGTTTTGAGCCCGTGTCCCCGTCTCAGCAGATTTATCCAAAACCAGTGATTTGTCCCAGTTTCATACGAGAAATGTTTCTATTTTTGACCAGTTTGATCCCTGCCAACAGAAAAGAGGTGCACAGATTATCATTTGTTTTGATAAAATACAGAAAAGCTGCTTAAAAAAACGACCAAAACACACACAAAAAAAAGTGACTATTGTGACTCACATTAGTGCCGAGTGTGTAACAGTGTTCCTTAATCACGCACTCGTTTCACAATTTTATTATTACCAACCACAACAAACCAGAGATGTCCCAGTTTATTATTTTGTAAATTTAGTGTCATTTTCATCAATACTTGAGGCTTTTGTATCATATTAAAGCTCATATACTTTTCATTAAACGAGTCAACACAATATTTACGACACTAAAGGTACAGTGCAATGGTTCTCAAAACTTTATTTTACAACCAGAGAAAACATTTGGACTTCCGAGTCCCACCAGATCGTAACCAGAACTAAAAAAAGAAAGGACTATTCCAGGTCTAAACAAGGTCTAAAATAGAACGACACAAATGTTTGACAAGTTCTAAATAAGTGCGAATCCTAACCAACATTAAAGGGCCCAGTCCAGCAGAAGTAAACAACAAGACCAAAACTTCAAGTTAATTCATCTGATATAAAAGTGTATTGAACAGATACATATGTACTCGAGTTTATCAAACTGTTGACCTTTTTTCTGGACCATTTTTGGTTCTAAAGTTCCATCTGTTTTAAACAGACCATGAATGAAACATGGAACAAAAATTATTTCCCAAATTTCAAAGACCTGAAAATCCTGTAAATAAATGTTTGTATTTCATCATATCTTGTGTTATTCCATCTTTGAACTGTTGATGAAGGGACAGGATTAAAAAAAAAAAAAAAAGTATTTAAAATGATAAAAATTTGCTTGGAAGGACTGACATATTTTATAGAAATAGTTTCTTTCATTTTGAAGTAATATTAAAGTTTTCAGAAGAAAAAAGCCACAAATGATGTAAAATCCTGCACCTTCTACTTGTTTGTACAATTTTCCCTCCGTTACTTTTCCCTCCGTTACCATGAACTTTCTTAATAAAAAATCTCATGAGTCAAAAAGTCAGAGGTTTTTCAACCTAATCTTGTACCATATGGTAGAAAACTATATGAAGCAAATATTCAAACCAGTTTGTTAAGGATATGGAAGTGAGAACCAAGAGTTATCACTGTTTGGATTTATTGACCAAAAAGTGCTGCATATTTCATTCCCTCCGTTACCGACATGAGTTTTTAAATTTTTTGTCTTGAACTTGAAAGAATCTCACAGGTTTAACTTGACCCTGTTGGAGTGTAACTCTTTCCTACATTCTGATACTTTACTTATTTCAATAGTTCCTCTAGTTTCTGAATAAGAGACATTTGAATGTCAAAAATCTGACCCTGTTTCCTCCGTTAACACTTGACTGGACCCTAAAGTAACAATTTTTTGAGCTTTAAGTCAGGTTCTAATGTTGTTCTCTCTTCAGAATCAGAGCTGGACTTGTGTTTTGTTTCATTCACATGTTTGAGTAACTCTTTATTATTATTCTGTTTACATCTCTAAAGCGTGACTGAAATAAAACACAACTCCAGGTTTGTTTGTGATGAGGAAACGACTTTAGAACTCAGATCAGGTCTTTGAAAACGACGTCATGAACTGTGAGACTTGGAGATCCGTTCCCGTCGACATGTTCCAGTGTTAATTTGAACGTAGTGTGAAATCGTAGCTCAGGTCACCGGACGAGACGCCTTCAGTGAGTCTGTTTACACCAGCTCCAGTGTTTCAGGTCTGATCGGGTTTGTGAGAGTCAAACTGAATATCTGTTGTTTACTCTCTCCACTCTCCTCTTTCTCTACTGTTCTTTTCGCTTTCCCCTTCTCTCTCTCTTCTCTCTCGTTCCCTCTCTCTCCATCTCTCCTGCTCCCCCCTCTTTGCTCTCTCCATCTCTCTCTTCTGTGTATCTTTTTCACTTCTTTCTCCTTTCTCAATCTATCTTTCTCTCTTCTCTCTCCTCTTTCCTTTTTTTCTCTTTCATCTTCTCCCTCCCTCCCTCCCTCTCTCTCCCTCTCTCCACTCTTTTCTCTCATTTCTCTTTCTGTTTCTCACCATCTCTCTCTTCTCTTTTCTTTCTTTCTGTCTCTCTCTCTTCTCTTTTCTCTCTTACTTTCTTCTCTCTCCTGTCTTTCTTTTTCTCTTCTTTCTCCCCTTTCTCTCTTTCCTCTCTGTTTCTCACTCTTTTACACTTCCTCTTTCTCTCCTCTCTCTTTTCTCACTCTCTTCTCTCTCCTGTCTTTTTCTTTTTCTCTTCTTTCTCCTCTTTCTCTGTCTCTCTCCCCTCTCTCCTTTCTTACTCTCTTCTCTCTTTCCTGTTTCTCACTCTTCTACACTCTACACCTCTCTCCCTCCTTCTCTTTCACCCTGTCTCTCCTCTTCCTTTCTCTCTCTCTCCTCTCCCTCCCCCCTCTCTCTTTCTCTCTTTATCTTTTCTCTCTCCTCTCCTCTCTCCTGTCTTTTACTTTTTCTCTTCTTTCTCCTCTTTCACTCTCTCTCCCCTCTATCCTTTCTTACTCTTTTCTCTCCCTCTCTTCTCTCTCTTTCTTTTTCTCTTCTCTCTCCTCTGACCTCTCTTTCTCTCTTCTCTCTCCCTCTCTCTTCTCTCTTTCTCTCCCCCTCCCTCTTTCTCTCTTCTCTCTCCCTCTCTCTTCTCTCTTCTCTCTCTCTCATCTCCCTCTTTCTCTCTCCTCTCTTCCCTCTCTCTTCTCTCTCTCTCTCTCTCTCATCTCTCTCTCTCTTCTCTCTCTCTCTCTCTCTCTCTCTCTTCTCTCTCTCTCTCTCCCTCCCTCTTTCTCTCTCTTCTCTCTTCTTGTAGCTGGCAGACGCTCTGGGAGACGACGCTCCAAAAGAGGCCAAAAAGATCGGACACACAAACCCCACAAACCCGTCTGCTCCTCCGCCCGCCAACCCGGGCTGGCCCGGCTCCGCCCCCGGCGCCCCCTCCCAGCCCCCGGGCCCCGGGCAGTACCCGTCCGGTTCTCCTTACTCCGGTCCCGGGGCTCCGTCGGGCCCGTTCCCCGGCGCCCCCTCTGCCCCCGGGGGCTTCCCTCCCCCTGGACCCGGCGCCCCAGGACAGTTCCCCCCCGGAGCTCCAGGTACGGATCTAAACACCACCATTTAAAGCCACAGTATGGAACTTTTTGCAGAAGAAGTGGTTTAACAAAGACTTTTGGTGTCACAGCCATGATTTAAAAGCCTTTTTTATTTAACCATATTGAATCAATTTTAAATATATCATATCGAATTGAAAGTGCACTGTATCGAGGTATGTATCATATCGGCAACTTCTTAACGATACCCAGCCCTACTGCAGACTGATGCTCAGTACAATGAATAACTGAAATATGTGCAGGTTTAACACGTTAGAATGAGCTTCAGTCTTTATTCATGCTGAGATCCTCAAAACCAAACACTAAATATTCATTATTAGTTTTATCGAGGTAGATTTTCAAAAAAGTTGCAGTGAAAAGTTCATTTTTAATTGATGCACGGTCATTTGGGCCAATTCATCTGGAAGCCTGAGGGTCAACAAAAATTTGTCTGAGGGCCACATTTGGCCCACGGGCCGTAGTTTGGACACCCCTGCACTAGACGTTTTACAAAAACCCTCGGAAGTGTGAGTTCGGGCTCCAGCCAATCAGAGAAGAGACAGACATTCTGTGTTGGCGACGATTCCCGAGATCGAGGATTTAAAGCCGGAACAAAGAGAATGTTTGGTGAATTTTTAATTTTTAATATTTATTTAAGGGGAAAGACGTTATTCTTCTTCCTACGGGATTTGGAAAAAGCTTAATAAACCAGTTCTCCTCGTTAGTGGAGCATTACAAACATCACGACCAAACAGCAGCGACTGTTACGTTAAATAAAAAAGTCCCCGCCTACTGTTGAGTGAATAAAATCTAAGGTCACGATTTACACCAAATGAAGTGACGTAAAACCAGCTGAGTCAGACCATCATGCAGGCGCCGTGTCCAGAAAGTTCCACACTGTGTCTTTAATAATTCTTCTTGATTACTGACACCATCATTTAACCCGATCATCTCCACGTCCACAGCTCCCGGTCAGTTCCCCTCCAGTCCCGGAGCTCCAGGGCAGTTTCCTCCACACTACCCGCCCGAGGGGGTCCCAGGACAGCTGCCCGGGGGCCCGGTGCCGTACCCCTCCGGACCCTTCCCCTCTGGACCCGGGGCGCCGGCCGGACCCTACCCCAACGTGCCTTTCCCTGGAGCTCAGCCCGGAGGTAACGGAAGCTCAGAGTCGATATGAACTCACGTCTTTTATACTTTTAGATTTCACATATTCACATTTATTTTAAGATTTAAAAGTGCTTAATAACAGTTGTTTCTTTGTGTCGTCTGCACTGACAACAGCAAAGGATCATGGTCTGTGTAGTTCCCTCAGTTTTTTAGCTGTTGCTGCAGCATGACGAGGCAAAACAACGTAATTCAAAGAGTTTTACAGAATAAGAGACTTTAAAATCGCAAAGAAAGTCATAAGAATCACCAGAACTGTTCATTTAAGCAAAGAAATGTAAGAGTGTGTCGTTCGTTTATGAGTTTTTCAAAATAAAACCAAAAATAAGAAAATGAAAAAACGACTAACAACAAAACCAAAATGAAAAAACAGATAATGATTCGTTTTTTCAGATTTCGATTTTGTGTTTAAATGAAAAATGGAAAAAATGAATAACGGACTGAGACCGGGACTGAGACCGGGACTGAGACCGGGACTGAGACCGGGACTGAGACCGGGACTGAGACCGGGACTGAGACCGGGACTGAGACCGGGACTGAGACCGGGACTGAGACCGGGAACAGGACCGGGAACAGGACCGGGAACAGGACCGGGAACAGGACCAGGACTGTGACCGGGAACAGGACCAGGACTGTGACCAGGAACAGTACCAGGACTGAGAACAGGAACAGGAACAGGACTGAGAACAGGAACAGGAACAGGAACAGGAACAGGACCAGGACCAGGACTGTGACCAGGAACAGGACAAGGACCAGGACTGTGACTAGGACCAGGACCAGGACTGAGACCAGGAACAGGAACAGGACCAGGACTGTGACCGAGACTGAGACCGGGACCAGATCGGACCAGACCTGGTTCAGTCTGTTATGTGTTTTTTTTCCGTTTATCATTTAAACACCAAATTGAAAACGGAAAAATTTAATCGTTATGTTTTTTTCATTTTGGTTTTGGAGACAAATAATGAAGAAAATCATTTATTCGTTTTCTTATTTTTGGTTTTATATTGAAGAAACAATGAAACACAGATTCAAAGAGACGTGTAATTCGATATATCGTGACAGACTTTTGACGATCACGATATTTCTGTTGTTGTTGTTTCATGCCAAATTATTATGATGATTCTGTGTTTGAGCTGTTCTCCGTCTGTGCTCAGGTCCCGGTGCGTTCCCCCCCGGCCCTGGAGGCTTCCCCCCGTACCCCTCCGGAGGCTTCCCCCCGCTGCCCCCCGGCTCGTGGGGGCCCCCTGCTGGTGGGGGCTTCCCTCCGGCTCCGGGTGCCTTTGGCCCCGGCCCCGGCCCCGTGGGTCCGTACGGAGGTCCTATGGTGAGTGCAGATAAACACGGGAACACGGGGCTTTGCTTTAACGCTCTCTTTGTCGCTCTGGTGTCTGTGGATGGCTTTTTTTTTTTTTTTTTTTTTGCTTTTTTTGCTTTTTCTAAGGGAAGAAGTCTGGGAAGTGGAACATTTTAATAACACCTAATTGTACTGTGCTTATGACAGGTTAAACCGCACAACTCACTGTTCCCGAGCAACAAAATCTAAATAAACTGATCTAAATAAACTCAAATGCAAATACTTAACACCATAAAACCATTATTCTACAAAATATATGTTTATTTTTTAATCGTCTCAAACAGAATAGTGACACTTGTGCCTAATATTGTGGATGGACTTTTGTGTTTTTAATGACAGACGGAAGAATCTGCTTTAAAACTCAAAGCCACATTTTGTATTTTCCACTTTTCACCGCAAACTGTCACTCAGCTGGTCTGAAACTATGATCAATATTTACCACAAGTTCAGTTCCTGTCATGTGCACTTAAGCCCTGGTCTGTTTTGGCGCTCTGCTCTGGGGTTTAAACTCTTTAACTTTCTTGGGCCTAAACAGGTTTAATTTGAAGAGACGGGTGCTTCCTCAGCCCTGCATGTCTCACACTGGAGCGGACGGACACAGATACTTTCTTTTTGTGACTTGAACTCAGGAATCATCACACTGAGATTCATTTTATTGACTTATTACAGCTCTTATTACAAGTACAGGAGCGAAACACATTTAACTTCATCACATTACACAAAATCAACTTCAGATCTTTTCATTGACCCTGTGAAGTTTTATTTGGAGCGATTCATGTTTGAGGGTCTGGCTCCACTGTGGTGTGTATTTCGTCCTTTACAAGTGTAAAAACTGCAACTTTTGGACATGTAACTTTTAGAATGAATTGGAAGTGACTGAGGGCGGCTCCACTGTTCGATCTCGACGCTCATATGGAGCAGCTCGTCCTGCGCGCGGTGATTTCAGAGAACAGGATCCATCTTGTTTTTTGAAGCTCTACGTGAGCGTGGGGGTGTATCCCCGTCAGAATATACAGAGAGCATGAATCTATTGTGCTGATGGTAAATGCACAAAATACATCGAGCTCCTGGGGCAGATCTGTGTCGTGTGAAAGAGCCCAGCTCCAGAAAGACGGTTAATTAGTGCTTTGAAATGTACTTTTGAAATGGTGTGTTTGCTGTGGTGAGCCTGTGTGGAAGGTAAATACAAGTGTGTTCTGTTAGTTTCTCTGTGGACCTGATACAAGCGACGAAACGCCTCAGTCGAGTTTGATCGACTTTACACTGACAGAGTCAGTGCTGCGCGTGTTCGTCCTGCTGCAGATGTCGGTGGAGTCGCTCTCACTTTGACACTCGTAAACGCTGACGTGTGCAGTGGACCCAGGCCCCCCTCGTTTTCAGCTCCACCGGGACACGCCCTCTGTGACTCTGTGACGTACACGCCCTCTGTGACTCTGTGACTCTGTGACTCTGTGACGTACACGCCCTCTGTGACTCTGTGACGTACACGCCCTCTGTGACTCTGTGACTCTGTGACGTACACGCCCTCTGACTCTGTGACTCTGTGACGTACACGCCCTCTGTGACTCTGTGACGTACACGCCCTCTGTGACTCTGTGACTCTGTGACGTCTGCACTTCTTTCTCCAGTTTGATGTTCGTAATGGGTGATATTCGTAGGATTCGGCAGCATCGCGTCGTCATTATGGTCCAAATTTTTAAAAATTCTCTGCTCTAGTGTGATTTGCAGTTAAGAAGGGCCCACAGTCTGGTTCAGTCCAGGTTCAGTCCAGGTTCAGTCCAGGTTCAGTCCAGGTTCAGTCCAGGTTCAGTCCAGGTTTAGTCCTGGTTTAGTCCTGGTTCAGTCCATGTGGCTCTTTGTTGTCATGACGTCTACAGCCTTGTCAGCTCCTTTGGACACCGCAGTTTTCTAACACCAAAGTGATAAAGATATAATGTTAATCAAAACATCCACAGGGGTCAGAACTATAGACACTCAAACAGTGTAGGGCTGTTTTTAAAACCAAGAGTCTCCCTGTGATTCCCAAGTTCAACTAAACTCTACTTTAACCTCTCTGACCTTCCACTTTTCCTCTGCAGGCTCTTGTGCTGCTGCTGCTGCTGCTGCTGGGGACTCACTCTCTGAAATAAACCAGTGTTTAGTTTGAACTCCACTGTTCCAAATGAATCCCTCTGTTTGTGTTGCAGCCCAGTTATCCTCCTCGTTACTGAAAGATCAACTGCTTTTTCACTCGGACAACTCCAGCACTTCACTTCACCTCTGCCTAAAATATAAAAATACACAGTTTACACGCTCACGGTGTTTTGGAATTAAAGTGCAATATGATAATTTCACACAGAATTTGTATGTTTCTGTGTAAATGTTGTTTTCATGTTTACTAATCAACGTTTTGTCATTGTGGGGAATTTAACAGAGTAACCAAATCTAATCACCTGCTTCCTGCTGTTCAACACTTGTGTTTTATGGACTCAGGCCCGGGGTTCACTGTCTGCAGGTGCGGTTCAGGACCAAGACCCGTGGTTTTAAAATGTTCGTCCAAGTCAAGTCACATTGGCCCGAGCTCAGTGTCTCTAGTCTCTGGATTCGTCTTTAGCCCGGTGAGGTTCTTCTGTGGCTCTGGGTCGATCGAGCTTCTGCAGTAGAGTCTTTTCTTTCGCACACGGAGCGCAGTCTCGTGATCACTTTGACCAATCAGAGCGAGAGGAGCAGAGTTGAACCGGCGTGAACGATTATAACATGTTTTTTTAAGACAACCGAAGGATTTTGAGCTGAGAAAACATTTATGACCTAAAAAAAAAAAGTAAAAATTGCCCCAAAATTAGACATTTTGTAAAGTTCTATTTGCCCTCTCAGATGAACACGAGACGTTTGTGATTACTTTGCGTCTATGAGAAAAATCCCTTCTCGGCCCAGGGGATTTTTTCTGCTGAAGAACCAGTGAGAGTCACTACATCAACTGGAGACAGCGACAAGCAGCAACACACTATCCAGTTATTTTAATAGATCCAGGTTCAGGACACACACTTAGTCTACGTTCAGTGACCCAAATCTGATTTTTTCCTCCTTTATGCTCCTGTATCTGATCTTTTAATCACAGTCTGAACCACACAGATCAGATTTTTTTCAAATGTGACCCAGGACACTTGGATATGTGCTCCTAAAACCGATACATATCTGATCTTTTGACATGTGACTTTAGTCTGAACGTCCAGGTCACATTCATCCACCTACACGTGTCACAAATGTTCACAAATGTTCTTCTCATCAGACAAAAATTGTGTGTGACTCCGTGTGAGTGAAGCAGTAAAGCACAGATCAATCCCTCCACTCTGTGACTCTGCACACTCATGTTCCTTTTGACGGACTTTGCCGCCGCTGCTCCACAAAACTCCACGGCCAAAAACCTCGTCCTTCTCCTTCTCGATCTCCTCCTTAAAACAAATCATCTGTTCATGTTCTGGCAGCTTTAAAATCTCCAGGTGCTCGATGCTGCGTCCATGTTCGCTGTGTGTGACGTCGCGTGTGAACTTTAAACGCCCCAAAAGTGTCTCACATGGGCACTGGAGAAACGACGACGTCACACACAGCGAGCGTGATCAGAGTTTACAGAAGTCTCCTCAACGCTGGGCTTGTCTCCCAAAATCCGGTCCAGTTCCAGTCACATGAAAACAGGAAATCAGACGCGCAGAATTGACAGATCCGGTTCAGAATAAAATCTCCTCGCACTCTCCTGGTGCTTCACAAATGTCCTTAACCATTGTAGATATCCACGGTTTCCAAAAGCGTGAGAAAGTGGTCGCAGTGTGAAATGCAGCTGTTGTTTCCCGAAAGGTTTCTTGTACGTGCTAATCTACGGCGTGACCTCCCGACCAGTAGGGCTGGGTATCGTTAAGAAGTTGCCGATACAATACACACCTCGATACAGTGCACTTTTTATTCGATATGATATATTTCAAATCGATTCGATACCGTTTACTAAAAAAATAAAGTCTAAATCATGGTTGTGACACTAAAAGTCTTTGTTAAATCACTTCCTCTTGTGCAAAGTTCATATGAAACAAAAACATTTTAATCGTCAAAACAGTGAAAATGTCAAATGTGTCGCATAAACAAGTTTCCTTCTTCTGAAAAAAGCAACAAAACTGTAGCTGTAACAAAATAATTTAGTAAAATAAACCAAAAAATCCTCTTGGTGATATATATCGATACAGCAGCCCACGATATCCAGACTGTATCATCACATTAAACAACACGATATGTTGATATTTTAATATTTTTGCACAGTCCTCCCGACCAGCGCGTGAATCCCGGTGAACTCGTCGTCTCGGGAGTTTCCACACTTTGCCTGCAGCCCAGAGACCGCAGGAAAACCACAAACCGGACCTGAACCGGACCTGAACCGCACCTGCAGTCCGTCTACACCCGGGGTTATATATGTGCACTGTGGAGCTTTTCTGGTGGGCAGGTCCGCTCCCTGACGCTCTACAAGAAAAGTGACAGACTGTATCTTTAGTTAAGATCATGTTGTATGTTTGTATTACTCTGCAGTTTTCATAGGTTTTTTTTTTTTTTTTTTCTCTTTAAATCTCGGTTTTGTGAGGCTCAGTCCTGATTTAGTCCTAGTTTAAACCTCGTCTGGACCTTTGGAATGTTCCACAGTGCGGCATTAAAACTTTCTATCTGCACGGAGACCAAACCAGACCAAGTTACGGGTCAGATCTGTGGAGAGGCGACCCCGCTCACCGTCAGAATGTCTGTTTTTCGAGGTGTTTTTGAGCTTTAAACCCACGTGTAATTGAATAAAAGTAAAGTAGAGCTGCTTAAAGTCACACTGTGGAACATTCCAGACAGAGCAATGACTCAGGTGACGGACCCTCAACCAGAAAAGTTACACAATGCACCTTTAAATAGTCAAGGTTAAAACTTTATAATCTTTAGTCCTTGACCTTGAGCCTGGTTTAGTCCAGTTCAAATCCTGGTTTAGTTCCAAATTGGACCTGTTTTTTGTCATTACTTTACAGCTGTGTCCATGATATAAGTTTCCTCATTTAAATTTTATGTAAATTATCTGGAAATTCTTCATAATATTGTATTGTTGTTTAAGATTTTAAGAAATTACTTTAAAACTGAATCTGTAGCAGGGATCTTGAGTCTGACTTTGATAATCCTGCTTTATGGAACAAAAATGAAGATTAAATAAGCCAGACTTGCCCAAGAAATCAGTATTTTTTAATTTCATTTTATTTCCTTGCTTCATTGAACATCCCTCCCATGCATATTGTAATTATTATTATTATTATTAACCATTTTCTGTTCACTGTTTCATGTTTGAAGCTTCTGTATCACACAAAACTGACTCCTGTGAGGTTTACGTCGTGTCCTAATGTTTCCTCTTCAAAAACAGAACTGGAATCGTGTTTTGTTTCGTTCGCATGTTTGACTTTCTCTTTATTATGAGTCTGTTTACATCTGCAAAGCTCAAAACGCTCTGTTCCACCTCGTGATGTCATGAAGCGGTCGTTTTTCAGGCGAACAGCTCCTTTTACCTCGTGGTTTTGGTTGCGGGTGCTACGGAAGCCGAGAGGGGTCACAACAAATGCAAACGCCGCAACAAATACAAACGCCACAACACACCAAAAAAAAGCCACAACAAACCAAAAAAAGCCACAACGGAAATGACCGTGGGACTCTATTTTCCGACGGACCGATCAAGCGGCAAGTGAAGAAGAAGAACTACAACGTGAAACGAATAACGATAAAACAATAAATTACTTTTACTTACGTTTCCAACTTCTCCGTTCCTTTACTTTTCACGTTGTAGTTCTTCTTCTTCACTTGCCGCTTGATCGGTTTAATGTGCTGTGGCTTTTTAATGTGTTGTGGCGTTTGTATTTGTCGCGGCGTTTGCATTAAAATTGAGTCCCGCAGTCACTTCTGTTGTGGCTTTTATTGGTTTGTTGTTCCTTTTTGTTGTGTTGTCACATTTGCGTTTGTTGTGACTCTCGGCTTCCGTAGGGTGCAGTGTTCGTTCACATTAATCCGATGGAAAACGTCTCCAGAGTCTGAATGATCTGGTGCCTCCAGCTCCACGAGTTCATGTTGGTCCAGATGTGATGGGGACCGTGTGGACTCCTGAAAACTCTGATACTCTGATGTAGGAGCTGGAGTCTCGTCCTGATTGGACACTGTGTCACTGTGACTCGCTCCTTCTGATTCTCTGGGTTCGTGACGTCGGTCGTGTGACGATGTTGTGGAAAACAGTTTAAACAAACCAGAGACAAACAGGAACTATTACTACTTACAACTTTCACGTTTGTCGTCTTCCTCGGCTCGAAATCGGCTGCTGCAATTTCAGACACAATGCTCCACTTCCTTGTTTTTATCGCTCACCTGACGTTGTGACCCCAGTCTGGTCATGTGACTCGCGTTTCAGTCGGTTTCGCGTCACTGTGTGGAGGGAACGGACACAGAAACGACGAGTCTGGACGCAAATCGTTTCCGATCCGTTGATTCGTTTCAGTGTAAACGTGACCTTAGTTCAGTAGAGATTGACAATTCCAGGATGACATCACAAACGTTTTCAATCTGAGGGAAGAACTCGGCCTAAATATGCAGGTTTTGCATGTTAAAGGAAGTGCTCCACTGTGTTTTTAAACTCCACACACCTTCACTAGAATCATTTTGACGATTTCAGACCTAGAATTGCCGATATCGACTTGACTAAAGGTGGAAGGAGCTGGAAAACAAATGCTTCATGATGTCAGAGCATTTGGAGCTTTTCAGGTGTAGACAGACTAATAATAAAGAGTTACTCAAACACTCAACTCCAGCTCTGTTTTTGAGGAGGGAAAAAACATTAGAACATACTCTGGGCCTTTACCTTTAAACGCGTAAGTTTCTATCGGCTGGACTTTGAGTCGTTTTTCCGCTGAGTTAAACAGGAGTGAGTCATTGGGTGTAACGGGGGAACCACCAGGGCGGGGTCAGAAACTACACCATAATGTTTAACTAAAATGTGTCTTTATGCTTATTTTGTGTTGCAATAAATTAATTTGAGCAATGACATAACAGAGCCGCTATCTTTGTTTGCTTTTCTGTGACTAACGTGTCCCCTGTGGATTTCAGCCGATGGTAAATGAGCCTGTTTTTGTTTTATAGAATCACATTTTGTAGACGGACAGATTTAATAAAACGGATTCATTAAGGTGTTTTGTTTTTAATTTCAGATGGTGCCGTTCGACCTGCCGCTCCACGCCGGAATTATGCCCAGACTTTTAATCACGATTGTGGGGGAACCTGTGCCTGGAGGAGAGAGGTGAGGAGGAAAGAAAAAGGGTCAAAAGTTTGTCAGAAAACTCACACCAGTGTCTTTATAAAGGTGCAAATGTCACAAACGGCAACTTAAAAAATTGAAAATCCTGCATAGCTCACTCAGACGGTCCATGTCCAACACGTTTTTTCACCCAAAAAGACTTCACCAAATCAATTTTTCTTAATTTATTTTGCTTTGTAGAGTACATGTAGAGTAACTGTATGTCTCAGTGCAGTGACCTCCTCCTCACACAGATTATTTCACTGACACATGGGAAACAGAGAAGCCCATGGGTCGTCTCGCAGTTAAAACTAAAATCAGACGTCTGTGAGTTGAACTTCGTCCGCTGATTTTGCAGAAATCCAGTGTTTTTCGATCCCTGTGTTGTTTTTTTTCTTTCCTTTTTTAAATGCAAAACGCCGTGTTTGTTCTGATCCAGGGTCAAACTCTTCACATCTTTGTACTAAATGAAAAATGTGTAGACTTACCTAAACCTAAACTAAAACCTGCACAATAGGCCGATCCTCCAGCCAGGTGCTCCCTAAAGAGTGTCTGCCCATTCTCCAAAGCTACGTTCAGACTACAGACTGAAGTGACCCAAATCTGATTTTTTTGGCCTCTATGTTCCTGTATCTGATCTTTTAATGTCAGTCTGAACCACACAGATCTGATTTTTTCAAATGTGACTCAGGACACTTGGATATGTGCTCCTGAAACTGATACATATCTGATCTTTTGACATGTGACTTCAGTCTGAACAGCCAAAGTGCATTCATCCACCTACACGTTATCAACAAGACACAAACGTCACTATTCTGCGCTGAAGTAGGAGAAAATAGTTAATGAACTCCATGTGACTGAAGTGAAGCACATCTCCACTCACCACTCTTGGCTCCGTCTCCACATCCACACTAGGGTTATAACTTTTTGAACTTTTTTTCCAAAATCAAAGTCCTGCATCATGTTTGGATGAACTTTTCGGTATAATTGAAGAAATCAAACTCCATTTTCAACACCCTTTTAAAAAAGTCCCGCCGGAACAAAAAAATATTAACACATTAACACACACATTACAGCCGATGATATGAAATGTGAAACTGCTAAGTTCTCACAAGGTCATTACAAGTCAATTTGACTGAAAATGGATCAATAATAAGTTGAACTGACATCATAATAAACTGGAGTTTCACTTTCTATTCTTGCTTTCACTTTATAAACCATTCGATTCATCGTTGATAAACAACACTGACAATCATCATTTTTGGACTTTTAGTGCCTATTTTATCTGATCTTTACCCTGATGATGTGTTTTGTTCCTGTGTTATTAAAGAGAAAATTGCCTTTGGTTATTTTATGATTGAACAGATATGAACCTTCTGACAGTTTTATTCTGGTTGTTGCTTTACCAAAACTTCATTTTGAGTCCGGGGGAACTTTTTTCAAAAATATGACCAACTGAAGGTCAATTCCTTTCATTACTGGCAAAAGTTCATCAAAATATGATACAGGATATAGGTGAGTTTGAGCTGATGTCATTGTTATTAAAAGCCCGCGTTGCTGCTGGGAAATATTCTGGTCGGAGGCAAGAAACACGGTAGCGTCAAACACAGTGTGTAACCTCGTGTATTTCTCCCCGATGGTAAATTCCTGCTGCATTATCAGATGCACAAATAGAAGCACAGAAGAAGGAAAATGTCTTTTTCATATTCTGAGTGAAAAGAACCACTAACGGTGAATTAAACGACTTTCAAACATCCGCAGAGCAAACGTAGAAGATCCTAACAAACCGTGGACTCAACAAGTTCAACAACACATCCAGACTCTTGGAGGTTTTCATCTTTTCTGCTGTGAATGGCCCAGGAGTTTCCACCAAGTCATTGTGGATGTCGCCCAAGTGAATATTTGTCCAGGTAGTTGGAGATTCAGACCAGAAATTTGGTTTGGTCCAGACTCTGTCGGGGTTGAAAAGTGTGATTTGTCGTCCGTCGATGTTTATGACCAATTTCTGGTCAAATGGTCTTGGGTCCTCTGCCGTTAGAGTGGATAAATAACCGGGATCAATACCCTTTACGTGTTTTCTCGCTCCGTCCGTCATGTTCAATTAGTGTTTCTTGCCGCCGACCAAAATAATTCCCAGCATGCAACGCACGCTTTTGTCAACAATGAAACTCACCTATAGAGGTTGTAAAAAAGTTATAACACTGATCCACATGTTCCTTTCAACGTTCTGTTCCACAAAACACCACGACCAAAAACCTGGTCCTTCTCCTTCTCAATCTCCTCCTTAAAACAAGTCAGTTGTTCATGTTGTGGCTCCGGTACGAGAGGAACTTTAAAATCTCCAGGTGCTCGATGCTGCGTCCATGTTTGTTCAACTTGTGTAAACACAGAGACGCTCGCTGCGGTTGACGTCGTCGTGTCTCCAGTGTCACATGTGGGACACTTTTGGACCGTTTAATGTTCACACTGGAGTCACATACAAGTCACATTTAACTGGAAATGTGAACGAGCTCGAAAAAACATCAGATTTCACACAAAAAAATCTTGAAATTGAGCGTTAAACCTGCAGACTGAACGTAGCCCTAAGTTCTAATTTGGCGAGATAATAACTGTGGTAATTATAGTTTTACACAAATCCAGAAGCAGTGTGTGAAGAAAAGTTGAAATAAATGTTGAAAATGACAAGAAGTGGAGAGTTCTGTTTGACCGAGTCCCACACTGAGGACGACAAACTCGAAGAATTCTGTCCGAACGTTGAGCAAAGTTTACATAAGAAATAAGTTTTTTCTGATCATTTAAACATGATGTTGACAAAATAAAGATGCGTTCATATAATTTTATCTGTCAAATAATAATGTCTGTTTATATTAGAGGAGTTTTGGGGCTAGTTTCCTGACGAGATCCAAATAATGTGGGTGAATCGTTCTTAAAGGGATAATGAAGCTCACACTGATGTTCGTTTGGCAGGTTCCAGGTCGACTTCTTGAAGGGCTCGGACGTGGTTTTCCACTTTAATCCTCGCTTCCCTGAAAACACCATCGTGAGGAACTCAAACCTGGGCGGGTTCTGGGGCCCCGAGGAGCGAGAGGCGCCTTTTCCCTTCGTGCAGGGCCAGAGGTTTGAGGTGAGACACGTAAAAAAAAAAACTGTACCTGATTTTACCGTCTGAAAATGTGACTTTTATGAACTTTTCTCTATGTTATAACATCGTTCCCTCATCGAAATGTTGTCCGTCCTCTCCCTCTGAACGCTCACACATATTCCATTTTGAATTTCCCAGATTTGTGACGTCATAGGTAAAAGTCCTGATGTCCTGTTCTGTTTTTAAGTCCATGACCCATCACCAAATCATGGGACATTATATCAGCGTGTCAGGGGCAAGTTTCATTTTATTTTAAGTTATAAAAAAAATACTTTATTTTATTAATTGAAGGTTTAAACTATTAGAAAAATGCCTTCTTTGTGCGTAATTGTCCCTACACTTTGGATAACATTTTGAAGACAAATGCAGACATATTCAGTTTTAACTCACTGTAACTTATTTCCTGAATTCTTTTATTTTTATTTTCAACTTTTTTCCCATTTGAAGGTTCTATATCACGCAGAACTGCCTCCTGTGAACTTTAAGTCATGTTTTAAAGTTTCCTCCTCAAAAACAGAGCTGCAGTTGTGTTTTGTTTCATTCACACATCAATGGTTCCCAACATTTTTTGCTCTACGGACTGATTTTATATCCAACAATATTTCTAAATCCTAGTTTAGTCCTAGTTTAGACCTGGTTTAGTCCTGGTTTTAGTTCTGGTTTAGAGACGCGGCCCGTGTGGTGTACAGGAGGGGGACGCTCCACGTGGCCTGGTTAAGTCCTGGCTAAATTCTGTTTTACTCCTGGTTTTAGACTTGTTTTAGCCCTGGCTTAGACCTGGTTTAGGTCTGTGCGGTGTACGGGCGGGGGGACAGTCCACGCAGCGTATAGGGGGGTCACTCTTTTACTGCCCGGTACCAAACGACCCTCGGTCCGGTACCCGTCCCCGGCCCGGCGGTTGGGGACTCCTGGTCTACATGGATCTGTGATCCAGCGTCATTCTGGATCAGCATTTGGTCAGAATCCTCACTAGGGCCAGTGTCTCTGCATTTTCCTTTCACTTCTACATAAATGTGTAAATTTGGATTTATTTTCTGTGCTCAAAATAATGAAGACAAAACAGAAACAGAAACAGACTGAAGCTGCTCCTGATCTGCTGCTGCGTCTCCTCCTGCACACGAACTGAAACCACCGTCCTCACTAGAAATGTTCAAACGTTAAGACATGTTTTGTATCATTTCTAATCTTTTTGTAATTATTTTATTGATTATTTTGTTCCAATATTGCTGCTTCAATTGAAATGTTGAAAAGAAAAAGAATTGTTCTACATTTAAAGTCCAAATAGACGACTTATGGATCCTTTTATTGCTGCTTAAAACTGTTTTTCATTGTTTCAAACTTGAGTAATCGTAACTGTTCAAAGAGATACAATAAAATATCCTCATTAATGTTCAATAATGCAAAAATCCACCTTTATTTTGTGATTTATTAATAATGTCTATTAACTTAGGTGACTTTTAAAATATGGGTCCCCAGAAAAAAAAACTTTGGGAAACACTTTCTTAGCTGACGTGAAACCTGAAAACCCCGTGACTTTAAATCCATTTTGACTCTTGGTTTTGTTCTTCTGTCGTCCCTCAGCTGAAGATCCTGGTGGAGGAGGACATGTTCAAAGTGGCCGTGGACGGGACTCACCTGCTGGAGTACGAGCACAGAGTGGGCGGCCTGGAGGAGGTGACGCTGCTGAGGATCATGGGAGACGTAGTTCTGTACAGCGCCGCCCCGAGCATGATCTGAACCACTGTTTCTCTCTCTCTGCTGCTCCGGTTTTTACACTCACTCACGGCGACAAACGGGGCTCCTCATGCACGAGAACGGACTGATTTTTGAAAGAAAATGACACAGAAAATCAGTTTTTAAAGCCATTAATCAATTATAGAATTTACAGAAACGCCCACATTTATTTAAAGTTCCTGTATTATGCAAAACGATATTTTAAAAAAAAGCTGGTGCTCAGAGAAGTGAAGCCGTTTCAAAACTCGGTGGAGCACTTCCTGTATCACCACTCGATGACATCACAAGGTGGAACAGAGCGTTTCCAGTTTGAGTAACGAAACTAAATGTCCAGGATTTGTGCGTTTTTAAACTTGTGTGAATGAAACGAAACACGACTCCGGCGCGTCCGTTTGCGACGAGGAAACGAAAAATAGTGCAATACGGCCCTTAAATATTCACGTTTAAAAAAATAATAATAATACATTTTTGTTCTAATAATTTTAATAGAAGAGAGGATTTTGTCACAGAATAATGCCTCAAATTCACAAGTTTTTGGTTTTTCTTTTCATTTAAATTGTGGATTTTATAGTTTTAGTCGACACATTTTTCTGTTATAATTCACGTTAATACAGATATTATTCTAGAAAACTTGGGATTTTTAAGTTGAAATAAGTTAAATGTTTATTCACTAACTCCTATTTTGTTCTTTAATAATACAGAAATAATAATAATTGAGGCTTTGCACCGTCACGTGTCCCCATGGCAACGGTACCTACGCCGCCATGACACCGGACACACTGTGTCACTGACTTCAGCAGCGTCGGAGAAACATGGGCAGGTTTTGTTGTGTATTTGGTTCTAGACGCTCTGAAAGGGATAAAACGAATCGTTTCTTCACTGTTCCTCTGGAAATGACTCATCAGGATCAAACAAGGGAATTATCGACAAAAGACGGGAATTATGTCTAGAAACATAAACCACGAAGAGATTTCCAATGGTCCCATCAAGACACACTCACGTCACTTTCATCAAGGTATTCACTACCTTTGGAAATCTCTTTGCGGTTTATGTTCTCTAACCATAATTACCGTTTTTTTCCTGATAATTTCCTTGTTTGATCCTGATGAGTCATTTCCAGAGGAACAGTGAAGAAACGAATCGTTTTATCCCTTTCAGAGCCTCTAGAACCAAATACACAACAAAACCTGCCCATGTTTCTCCGATGTTACTGAAGTCAATAACATAGTGTGTCCGGTGTCATGGCGGCGTAGGTACCGTTGCCATGGGGACACGTGACGGTGCCAAAACTCTATAGACTTGAGTTCACTATAAAGCACAGTTTTCAATAACAGTGAACAGTTTTAAAGTGCTTTTTTTTGGGCCTGTTTCCGTAATAATGAATGTACCTGTAGTCAAGATATAGAAAAGTAAATTTTTTCACTTTTTCTGCACATAATTTGAGACTTTTGCTGTCAAAAACTGGCATTTAAGGGGTTAAACTTTCAAAATATGATATAATATTTAGTGTATATCGTATAGAAAAGTTGGACAAAAATCCCTTCTCCATAAAAATGTTGTGGTTTTCTTTTCCGGTTTACATTTTTGTATCGAAGGAACACCGGTGGGATTATTTTAAAGGGCTGCACGAGGCTTAATTCAACATATAAATATAAAAATGTGACAAATATAAAGTTATATTTGGTTGCTATGGAGCCCTGAGTAACTTTGGTAAATATTCACTATTACAATATTCAACTATACTCGTATTTTCTGGTTTGACAATCACAATCTTGTCCAATCCTCTTTTCTACTGGCTGCTTTTCCTTTTTATAACCACTGACAACAGAATCTGCGTTTGTGTTATTACAGTTTTTTGAATAACTCAATATTTTTGGTTTAAAGTGTGCGATGTGATCCAAAAATATCTAATTTCTCTCACCGGGTTTTGATTTCCCGCTGTATTTTTTTACGCACGACTCATGTCGAAGCAGTTTCTGTCTACATGAGGTGAAGTTACGATTTACGGAGCCTGATTTGTGAAGTTGTATTCAAAAATGGGTCCGAGATGTCAACATTTCAACATTATTAAGCTTCAAATGTTTAAATCATGTTGGCTCAGAATATTATAAACATGTGTAAACTTGTCAAAAACATCTCATTAATAGTCAAAGAGTAATTTTATCTTGTGGAATTAATATTTCTTTGCAGTGAAATGCGACTGAGCCTTATTCTAGAAACATAAACCCGACGCATGTGTGAGGAAAACGCTGGAAAAAAACTCCTTTACTTTTGCCATGCTGGTTTAAAGCTGCACTCTGTCACTTTTCTGGTGAAGGTTCTGGGCGCCCGCTCGTCTCCAGGGGGACTCCCAAATCATAAAAGTTTGTTTTTTCCTCCGAGGGGCGGGGCTTAGCTCAGTTTTAAACTCAAAGTGTTTTCTTTTCACCTGAGCTGCTGCCGCCAGGACGAAGAAACAGACTTTTGATTTGACGGTGCGAATTTAGACCTGAAACTGAAACCAAAACACATCCAGCTTTTCTTTGAGTTTCTTTAATTAAGAATAAAGGTTCAGTATTTCAGGATTTAACAGATCACAGAAAAACTCCGTCTCTCTGAAGCTTCATATTTGCTCTGATTCCGTCTGCTGATTATGAAATGAACTGAAACAAAGACCCCGGACGCACGGCCAAGAATTCAGGGAGTCCCTTTGTCATCGTTTTGTCTGGAATGTTCCACAGTACGGCATTTAAATGATCAAAATTTTCATTCAATTACAAGTGTTTTATTATGAAAATATGTTGAAAATCGTGCGTTCTTTCTGTGAGCAGGATCGCCTCTCCACAGATCTGACCTGTAACCCCTGACCTCTGGAGATCTCCAGGTTTAATGCCGTTTTGTGGAACATTCCAGGCCATGCTGTAACATCTCCACGGAGACGAGCAGACGGCAGAACGACGTCTAGAAAAGTGCCACGTTGAAACTTTAAAAATGGATTTGTAATAATCAAACTGAACCAGTGTCGTTTGAGAATTGAACGAAATGTTTTAAACCTTTTCAGTGTTGAACCATAAACTGACTGAACACGTTTTTTTGGTTGTTTTTTTTAAGTTGTGAAGGACAAACAGCGCCCCCGTGTGGCCAAGATTTGAGATTTGTGCCTAAATAAAAAGGAAATGGAGAATGAGTTTAAAAGAGTTTACTGTGATTTTTCTTCTTTTGCATCATTCACTTTACACAAATCTTTTTAATTAACATAATATGGAGGAGCAAAAATGACATAAGTAGAAATAAATAAAAGAATAATAGTTGAAAAGTATTAAATGGTGAATAAAATACACACATTACGCATTAATGCACATTCTGGGTTAGATTAAAAGGATAAAATGCTTGTTTGTAAATTTTTGTATTCATTTTTTTTTTTTTTTTTATTCATACATTAATTTTTATTATTAGTTTATTTTTTATATATATATTATTTTACATTTTTATACATTTATTTTTACTCTTATTTATTCATACATTTATTTTTATTATTTATGTTTTTTTTTGTTTTTATTTATACATTTATTTTACTCATTTATTCATACTTTTATTTATTTATTTACAATTTATTAACATTTTATACATTTATTTTTACTCATTCATACATTTATTTATTTATTTTATTTAATTTTTTGCAATTTATTTTTATTTATACATTTATTTTTATTTATTCATTTGTAAATGTTTTATTTGCACCTTTATTTATACATTTTTTATTTTCTCTTTTATTTAAACAAAAGACAAAATGAAAACAGGATCTACATTCACCCACTAACCTCAGGCTTTCTGGTTCAGTCCTTTCTTTATGTTTGATGAAACAAAAATATAAAATTATAAAATTACAAAAAAATCAAGAGCTCCGAGTCACTCCACGTCATGATGCTGTGTCACCACTAGAGGGCGGCATTTCCGTAATATAGAACAGCAGAGGAAAGTAAAACTCTCAAATATTTATTTTTAAGTCTTTTGGTCGAGTGTTTTATTTATTTTATTTATTTTCACCCGCCTCACCCGCATATACACCACCCACCCGCCTTTTTCCCCTTTTCTCTGGTGTGTTTTAACATTGAGGCGGCTTAAGAAAAAGTGTGTTGAGAGACAAAGCTGAGTTTATTGCACGTGGCAAAAGTGTCTGATTTAAATTGATTTAAACATCGTGATGGTGACAGACAAAGAGAAAATGTTGGCCGAGTTTGTGTCTGGTTACGAGTTAAAAGTTATTGTTTCAATTAAAGGTGAACTTGTTCATTTAACTTGAGGAAAAATGTGGTTATTTCTATACAAAGTTGGTATCTGCAGGTACTAAAAATGTTTACAAAAGGTAATTTTATATTACAAAAGTGATACTAATGATATAACAGGCAACCATTGTACTCAAGGGACAATTTGGACAAGAGTGGGAGAAAATAGTTAAACTTTTTTTTATCATTGAGCAGAGGAGGGTGTGGCACCGGTGTATAGAAATAAAAAGGCACCCCCAATAACACTTTTGATGTTGTAATGTTTTGATTATATTTTGATTCATTTCTGTGGCTCTTTTACTCACAAAGAATTATTCAGGTTCAGCTGCAAAACCACATGTGTCCAGTAGGTGTCGGTAATGGCGCAGTTGAGGCAGACTGAAGCTCTCAGGCGCAGCAGAAGCAGCGCAGTGACTTCTGTGTTTTTCTGTGTTTTTCTGTGTTTACAGGTGGGTTAAATGCACAAGCACCACGTGATTTACAACACAGGATGTTTATACAAGTCTACAAATATGTTTTATGAAGCCAAGTTGTATTTTGAAGTTATTCTGTTGTTATAAACGATCTGTTACCTGCCGTTAGCATCGATGCTAACACCGCTAGCTCTTCCAGTGTTTGTAAATGTTTATAAACCGTGTTTTAGTTTATTAATGTGTAGTTTAACTGCTGTGTGATAGCATGCTATATTTGCCCCTTTTTTTATTGAAATGAGCGTGTCTGTGTGTTTGCCTCGACCTGCATCTAAAGGCAAATTTCTTAATTTAAAATTTTCAAAACCCCTCAGGAGAGCATCATTTTTCACTGTAACCATACTTGTTTGTTGTTCCCTTTCTGAGGCTGTGGCTCCGCAGGCTGGATTCAAGGCTGCGTCAGATAATCAGGCTGATGTTGTATACAGTAATACAGTTATATACTGATATACAGTCACTCACGTGACCAGTGACTGACCATGTTGCAGTGCCCAAGAAGCAGGGGTTACCAGCCCGTACTTCTCGTAAGAACACCGCTGCTGCTTAGTAGAGCGAGGTCCTGCGTCTCTCTTACACGTCGAGGTTTCTGGACTCACAGTGACTCAGGTGGATCCACCCGCTCCTCCCTTCGACCTTAACAGCGGTGGGAGTGGTCAGCAACACACGGTGTGGTGCTTTCCTTTCGATCACTGGACCAGCATTTCCGTTTTATCACCTTGACGAACAACAAGGCTCCAACACCGACATCTATTACTCCTAACCA